CATCATCCAAGCTTAACAGTTAAAAAAGAGAGTATAGTTGAACCAAACCATTCAGAGAGGAGCAAATAGCCTCTTTTTTTAAAAAACCAATCTGATAAATCACCCGTTGAGTCAGATCAGGTTTTGGCTTCCTGCTGGCGCAGTGCCTTTGCCCCCTACTCCTTGGAGGGTGGCGGGGGCAGCCACACTCTTCTTCTGACCTTCCCTCCGGGAATTAGTTTTGCGGCGTAGGGTCAGATGGGCCAAAAGGAGCTTGGACCCGGAAAGGAATACATTTCCTGAAGGCAGTGGACTGCCTTCTTGCCTTTCTGAAATTTTCCACCACAGTCTCAATACCAGTTCTGAAGTCCACTGAGGACGAGACTGGTGCATCAAAGAGAAAATTATTATCCCTCTCCCCTATGCCCAATAAGTTCAGCCACAGATCCATCTCTGTCGCCACCATAGCAGCCAAAGAGCTGCCAATGGCATAGGCCGTTTGCTTAGTGGCACAGAGGACTAGATCTTTGGCTGAACACAATCACATCACTACCTCATGAGATGATCCTTCAACTTTTCTACTCTCCTCTTCCTCTCAGGGCTAGCTGGAATAGCCAGCAGCCATATCACCCTGTACCCAAGACTGGTTTCCCACTGAAGCTAAGCAGGGCTGAGCCTGGTTAGTACCTGGATGGGAGACCTTCTGAGAAAACCAGGTTGCTGCTGGAAGAGGTGTTAGTGAGGCCAGCAGGGGGTGCTCATCCTAATGCCCCAGTAAAGTTATGGGGACACTATACTGTCAAAGAGCACCGTCCTTCGGATGAGACGTTAAACCGAGGTCCTGACTCTCTGTGGTCACAAAAAAATCCCAGGATGTCTTTCGAAAGAGTAGTGGTATAACCCGGCATCCTGGCCAAATTTGCCCAGTGGCCTCTGTCCATCATGGCCTCCTAATCATCCCAATATATACCAATTGGCTTCATCACTCTATCTCCTCTCCACCAGTAAGCTGGTGTGTGGTGGGCCTTCTGGTGCAATATGGCTGCCGTCGCATCATCCAGGTGGATGCTGCACATTGATGGTGGTTGAGGAGATTCCCCCCTCTATGTGAAGCGCGTTGAGTGTCCAGAAAGGCGATATTTTATTGTAATTAATTATTATTATTATAAACCAAAATCGCATAATCAGGCTTCCAGTTTGGGAATGAGAGCTACGGAGCTAGCGGTAACTCCCTACAATTGTAGTCGTCACTCTACCTCATTTGACGTGGAGTCTTAACCGTGAGGTGCAGCCGCTATGTTATCACCTTTTGTGCAGAGAGAGAAAAGCAGCGAGACAGAGTGGGTCCAAATCTTTGATGAGTGGTCGGGTCTGATATTAGAGGCTTCTGGTCTTGGGGAATTTAGAATAAATGTGCTTTTACCGAATAGATCTGAGAAGACACAAAGTTCTTTTAAACTATGCCAACTTCCCTTTAGGCATTTAACAATATTTTATTATTTAAAACGAATACATATTAAATAATTCCATGACAACATTATTATCTTATGTTTTCTAAGTTATTTTTGAATCCATTCTTTAGGTAAATAACTATAATTAGGATTTTTTTTTTTTTTTGGACGTAATGAGGTTACAGTGATGATGAGTGATTGTGTGTGTATGCTACCATCAAGGCTATGACAAGAAATGTATTCTTAATAAAAAAAGACAGCGTAAGCAGGGCTTTCAGATTCCACAAGAGTGAGATATTTAGTCTTCATAGAAAATACAACAGTTTAGACTTTGGAAGTCTCCCTAATTAGCCTTTTGTGATGTTCATGTTTATTTAGCTATGCACACAGCTCTAGGCAGAACGTAGCACCAAAACACACACAGTATTTTTCTTGTCAGCCTTAATAATTTTTGAATCAAGCCTGCAGCTGAAAGGATTTTACTTGATTTGCAATAAGGCTCGCCACGCTTATGGGAGAACCTCAAGTGGCAACATTACGGATTCTGCCGCTACTGTGCCCTGAGATCTTTCCCGACCACCTGATCAGATCAGGCCATTACATTTTCCTGCTGATCAAAGTACAGTACACAGATGCACGCTCTCAACTCAGTCCTGATGCCTTTAAGTGCAAGTTTGTTGCAAAGAAGAGCATGGGTTGTCTCCCCAAACACACCCTTTGATTAGCCTGTTTGTGCAATCCTGAGCACTTTTAATAGGGGCTGTGTTACAGGTCAGCCGTTTGGTGTACTTATAACATTGAATCTCTTCCCACACACAAGATCCATTGCCCCAAAGGAGGCTTCATCCACTCTTTACTCATCTCTTCTGTGATTAGACTCATACTTATGGAAGCTTTCTTTCAGATACTTTAAACACAGAGAAATAGGAATAACACTGTGTGTTTTACAGCCTTGCCCGTGGCACCAAATGATCTCTGACTCTTTAATCATGGCTAAATGCTGTCAGAAGGCCTGCAGTGAGAGACTATCTACGGCAAGTCTGAAACTAAACGCAGAAGAGACGGACCGAGATAATGGGCTTTAGGAGGAAATGTGCTGAGGCGTCTCGCTGAGGGGGGGGTGGGAGAGGCTTTGAGTCTTCAATGGCAACATTTTGTGCTGCGTCTGAGCACCAGAGAAAGGGACTTCTGCAAATTAAGCTCTGTCTAGATTTCCACTTTATTTGTCCTCCTCCGCAATGATTCAGAATGGCTGCTGATGAAGAGGCCGTGCGGACTCTGAGCCAACGCGGAGTGAATTTGCCATGTTGAATGGGAGGGAAACTGTGTGCGTCCCAGTATGAGGCTTCTTTGAAAGTGAAGCGCTCACTTTGGGGCTGATGGGGAGTTGACGAGATCCGGGGGCCGGTGAGAGAGGCAAACAGTGGATGTCTTGTGTTTTTCTGCTCTTTTTCTCTCATCAGCGTGGGAGAACTGAGAGAAGCGTGATGAGTGCTGATTGACTGCGAGCGGAGCAGACGATGAGCGGCTCATCCATCTTCGCTGACCTCCTGCAGGTTTCCTGCCTTTAATGTGCCCTGGTCATTTGTGTGGTGTGAGAGCTCAGTCGACAGGAGAACTCGTCCATGTCAGATTTACTCAAATCAATAGCGTGCCTCCTGCCCTCTGTGAGCTACTTAATGCGGCCTACGTCGCACCTCCTGGGAAAGACTCGCCACATCGGCAGGATGTTCCATGACCCCCCTCTGTGCCATGCTGTCTTCTCTAAGTGCTGATCATCCAACTCATGTTTGTCTAGCATAGACAACGGATGCTGGTGTCCAACGACACGCAGTCTTCATTAGGGCTTTATCCACTTTCAAAACAGCTTTCTGAGCTTAGATAAATGCCTGGTAGCTTAGTAGTTAAATATGGACTAGTTTGTGAGGTTAAACGGACTGTATGCTTGAAACAATTGAATGAAACCATCATCTAAATTACATATTACATGTACTCTACCATCCGAAAAGTTTGGGATAAGTTAGTTTTTGGAAATTATGTTTTTGAAAGAAGTCTTTGATGCTCACTAAGGTTGCAGTTATTTGATTAAAAATATAGAAAAAAGTTAGTAAGTTACCTCTATTCCGTTCTATTTTTATAGCATTTGTCTCAAGTTTTAATTGTTTTTCAAACGTGATCTACTGCGGCTCTACGTTCAAATGCTTGTTTTCAGTCTTTCTATATTTATTTTATCAATTCATCCTTATAATTCAATTAATTTTAAATAAAAATTAAATTAATTATGTATTTGAGATGTTTTTAGTTTATACTGTATCTTCACATCTGATTCTAAACAATATGTCTGTGTAAATGTTGTTGGATGTTGGATGTCTTTTTTTTACATTAATCATGGTTGAAATATTGAAAGTAGTAAAACTCAATGTCTGGCTTTTGCACTTTTTAAAGTACACTTTTACACATAAATTCCCTTGTGGCGAGCAGGACAAGGCCGAGGGACTCGAGAGAGCACCTCGCTTCTCTAACGTTTCTCACCTTTGTCTTGCTCGACACAACCCTAATCTAGGGTTTTATTTAGTTATAATAAACCAAAAATCAAATATCCGATTAATCGGAAAAATAATCGTCCGATTAATCGATTATCGAAATAATCATTAGTTGCAGCCCTAATATTCAGCGTTCATTCCTCCGGTCTTCATTTAATTCTAACTCTAATAATTGATTTGATGCTCAAGAAACATTTATTTTTTATGTTGAAAACAGTTGTGCTGCTTACTGTGATGCATGAATAGAGAATTCAAAAGAATATAATTTGAAATAGAAATCTTTTGAAATGTTTTAAATGTGTTAACTGTCACTTTTAATATGTCCTTGTTGATTAAAATGATTAATTTCCTTAAAAAACAAACCTTAATGACCTCAAACCTTTGAGCAGTAGTGTATAGTATATCAAAAATGATGCAGAAAGAAAGTTAGCTGCTAGCACTGATTTTGAGGTGAGGGAAAGCACAAGACGTCTCAGAATCTCATAAAATATCTCCAGATGCATGCAGTAACATTTATGCAAGAATGTACAAAATCTATGTCTATGGTGGTTTTGGCCCTATTTATGCTAGCTAATGCCTAACACTAGAATGATTAAGTCAGTCTTTTATAGCATCTCTGGGTCACTTTAGGTGCTTTTGCAAGATTAGCTCCTCGCAATTTCAACCATTTTATTGATAGCGTTTACATTAGCTTGTTGATAATTTAAAGAGAATATATGAGCGGATGTAAATAATCTATGCTTCAGCTAACCCCCTCACACAGTGGGATTCACTTGTATTGACAAAACACTGTGCAAACCTGTATACTTCAGCATATGTTCTGTAATAAAATTCTATGACTTCACAAATCTTGTGTATTGGCAATTCCAGGATTACAGTTCACCGGTTCACAACCTGTTGCTCAGAATTTAATACAACTGTGTCATACTGATCAGCGAGAATTTCCACCCTTAAGTCTAACTGGAGTATGGTGGCAATTTTGTTGGCTGGTGTAAAAAAGCATCCTTTCTTCTTCTTTGTGTATCAGGTTGTGAAAGTGGCCACTGGGGTCCCCACTGCAGCAACCGCTGTCAGTGTAAGAATGGGGCACTGTGTAACCCCATCACAGGAGCCTGTGTCTGCACAGACGGCTACCAAGGCTGGCGCTGTGAGGATCAATGTGAGCCTGGCTACTATGGAAAAGGCTGCCAGCTGCAATGCCAATGCCTCAACGGTGCCACCTGCCACCACGAGACAGGGGAATGCATATGTGCACCAGGCTACATGGGCCCCATGTGAGTACCAGAGATAAAACAGGTTGTCAATATAGAGATATGAAGGTTGAAATGTCTTTCTTGAATTATTTTCTTTGTATAGAGGAGTTGTAACTCTAGTGAAAAGGGTTGGTTTCTTTTTAAAAGTCAATTTCTGTATAGACTCATACCTCTTGACTGCAAAATAGCTATTCAACCTTTCCTCCATCATTGCCAAGGAAACACACATTAACCTTTTATGACATGTTGTGTTGTCACAATGGGAACCTGTCATTAAATAGTCTGTTTTTCTAAATGAACAGTAAAATAGTTCTGGTGCAAAACATTTAATGAAATATGAAAACAAAATAACGTACAGAAATATAATTCATGGAAAGATTCCAAAATATGTTAACGGTTAATGAGAGTTTTGTGTTTTTTTATTTAAGAAATGTATACTTTTATTCAACAATTGATCAAAAGTGACAGTAAAGACATTTATAATGTTCCCCAAAAAAAGTTAAATGCTGTTTTTCTACTTTCTGTTCATCAAAGAATCTTAAAAACAATGGTTTCAGTCTCCATAAAAGTATTAAGTAGCGCAATTATTTTCAACATTGATAATAATAAGAAATTAAAATTCAGCTTTGCCATCACAAAAAAATTAATTAAATGTTAAAATTAGGGCTGTCAAATGATTAATCGCGATTAATCGCATCCAAAATAAAAGTTTGTGTTTACATAATATATGTGGGTGCACTGTGTATAATTACTTTATATATATAAATACACACACATGCATGTATATTTAAGAAAAAAATATTATTTATATATAAAATATTGATATTTATATATAATATAAATGATATATAAATCTATATACAGTATATACATGAAAATATTTCTTAAATATATACTCTACAAGCATGTGTGTGTATTTATATATTTAAAATAATTATACACAGTGCACCCACATATATTATGTAAACACAAACTTTTATTTTGGGTGCGATTAATCGCGATTAATCATTTGACAGCCCTAGTTAAAATATATCCAAGTAAAACAAAAAACAAAAACTGTTTTTACATTGTAATTATATGGCACAATATTACTGTTTTTAATTTATTATGGATCAAATAAATTCAGCTTTCCTGAGTATTTTAAGAGACCAATTGTTACCAACCCCAAACTAAAGTGTATCATATTTTTTATTCTTTAAATATCAATTCTTTTGGGTTAACAGAAATTGATAAAATGTTTAAAACCGTTTAATGTGTGCTACTGTGGTCAATTCACCTATTTACCCAAAATTCATTGAAAAAATGTTAACAAATATTGCAGTTTGGAGGATATAATTTGAACTAGGTGTCAGAAGAAACCAACAAAGAAAGAGATTTTTAACCCAAAACCTTATAGGTACCCCATGTGACAACTAGCCCCAGTCTCCCATACTGATCTACATTGGATGTACTTATTCTTTATATATATTCATTGTTAACAATAGCATAGTGGAAATGCTGTGAAGTACTTGTGAGGGTACTTAAAAGAAATGTTTTTTTCTTTCCTTTTTAAGTATTTGTTCTAAAGTCTTTGAACATTCTTGTGTTTTATGTTGCAATCCTTTGCAATGGCTGCCCGAGTTTCATGTTTTTGCTCTTGTGGTTCGGCAGCTGTGGAGAGCGCTGTCCCTCTGGAAGTCATGGCCCACAGTGCGAGCAGCGCTGCCCCTGTCAAAACGGAGGAACCTGCCATCACATCACTGGAGAATGCTCCTGCCCTGCTGGATGGACGGTAAGATGCTGCACTCAGAGGGACCAAAAGGGTGGAGAAGTGAGGGACAAAGAGAAAGTGACAGTGAGAATAAAAGATAGAAAAGAAACAGAGGGGAATAAAGATGAGGAGTTAGATGATAAGGAATGAGGGGCAGCGAGTGAAGGAGAATAAAAGGGCGAGATACTCAAGAGGTGAGTCACACTTAAAAGAAAGTAAGAAAGGAGAAGAGAGAGTAATTAGGAGTAAGGCAGGGTTAAGTGAATGGAGGGAAGGTGAAAGAGTATAAAAGGTAAATGAAGAAGGGGTGGAGGAGAATCTGAATGTGCACAATCCGAATTTACACTAATCTGAGTCTCACAGAGCGGCTGAAGTTATTTAAGGAGCAAATCGTGTGAAGTCTCATTATTGCTCTTTTTGCATAATTTTAAATTCGTAAAGAGGACAAATCAAAAACACAAGTTTTCTATACATGTATATCCACGTACATACATTTTATGTATGATTGTTTATCTTTATGGATGATTCTATGTACTGTGTGTTCACTAAAAAATCATTTATTCCCTCATGTATTCCAAATCTCAATGACTCAAGAACTTTTATTTTGAAAGTTATATTTTAAGTTTAACAAATGTATTGGCTACTCGTTTCAAAAAATAAAAGCGAATGTCCTTTTCAAGCTTCAAAATGACAACTAAAAAAAACTACTATAACTATAAAGTTTTAATAATTGTTCTAATCCTATTAGAATATCAAAGGTCACACAACTACAACATTAATGACACATATGAATAATGTTGTTTGAAACACTTTTCAGCTGATGAACAATAGAAACATTGACAGCCAGTCGGAATCCACCCGACTTTAAAGAGCTCAAGCATTTAAAGGCACAAATGACATAACCGCGGTGTGCCTATAATAAACAGAACATTATCTTGTGTTGGTGTGGACGCCAACATAGATATCATTATTATTAAATTTTCTTGATTTGAAAAGGGGAAGATTGTGAATAATAAGTGAAAAATAATGACTAAGGCATTTCTCCTTGAAAGAAAGTCATATGGGTTTGAAGTGGGAGTAAATGATGACAGAATTGTAATTTTTTCTTTTAAATTAGTCTTCACTGGTCATTTCGAATTAGAGCCCGACCGATAAAGGATTTTGAAGGCCGATACCGATACAAATATTTTGGGGTTTTAAAATCCGATATTCCGATATATTTTTTTTTAATTTATTTTTTTATTAAATATTGTTGGATTTCACACACGTGTAAAAGAAAAGCTAACTTTTCTGCACAAGATACGTTTGATACTTTATCTCTATGTCTAAATGTTCACTCCTCGCAAGTATAACTTACATTTTACAATAACTAGAGATATGCTAGTTTATAAATACAGTAATCATTACTTTATTTAGGCAGAAAAAGTTCATTGTGGTTTCCAAGCTCATTCATTTTAACGTTAGCGGTCTTTCACTGATGATAGTGGCATTAGCTAGCTTTGTTAGCTAGTCTATGATGAGCCATAATTTAGCAATAGATAACGTCATACTGCAAATTGTAAAACATACATTTTCAATATAACAGGCCAAGGAGAGATGATTGAAGCATGTTTCGTCCGTTTTTATTTTATTTTTTAAATATTCATTTATCGGCCATTATAACTGCCAATACCGATATTTTGGAAAATGCCTAATATATCGGTCTGGCTCTATTTTGAATGGACTTGATATGATTCTCAAATGTGCATTTTCTGTTCTCTCTCACTCGACAGGGGTCTGTGTGTGCCCAGCCATGCCCATTCGGCAAATATGGGATCAATTGCAGCAAGGAATGCTCATGCCGCAACAGAGGACTGTGTGACCACATCACAGGACAGTGCCAGTGTATGGCTGGATACAGTGGCCACAGGTAAAAGAGATACCAAATTAGTGAAAATCATTTCTGATCTTATTTCTGTTATTATTCCTTTGTGTTATTAAAACCACCACAGAAGCAGTTTGTTTCCTAGCATGCAAAATTTAGGTCTGAATAATTGATTAATTGTTTTTTTTTACTGCTCCGTGTTTGTATTCCCTATGTCCACTGATCCCACTCTAAGATCCGCACTGGTCTGTTAAGTTTTTGCCCATTAATTACCAGTAATGGAGTTTTATAAGGATCCACCTTTATTTCACAGTGTCGTCCGCAGCAGCTTAGGGTTTATTGGCACACTAAAGTGATTGTCTGCAGAATGAAAACACTTTTAGGACAGACAGTTCTTATCCTCTAATATTTAACAAAATTGCCCTCATTCATTTGGTCTGTGACAGGTGAATTAGCCCAGCAGGAATAATCTCAGATTGCATTAGTACCCCCTCCTCCCTTCTCACACCCGATGCAAACGACGCTGGTGTAATTTCAACATGAAACATACCTAGTCCGTTTTATAATTTAATTGAGCTATTTATCTGTCTCCTAACGACTTCTTTGGACACTCAAGATTGATGTTCTGCCAGGATTGTATATTGAAGATCTTGTGGAAGTCATTGTTCCTTAAGTCACTTTGCTATTCAACAGAGAGAATGAGCCTGGGTCTAATTGTATTCGCGGTAATTAATGACTGCAGTTTTAGTTTTCTGTCGCCCAGTAGGCAAAGCCAAGGGGCTGATGAACCTAAGAAGTTGCCCAGAGCATTGACCCTTGACCCTTAGATTAGAATAACTTTGTAGTCTACTAATTCTGCTTGTGTTATTCTGACGGGCTCCTTTTTCTTCCAGAGGTGCTCTGACTAACGAATAATGTGTACAAAACATTGGGCTTTTCTTCCCTCTGTAAAGTGTCGCAAATGTTCCCAGGTGCCAGGAAGAGTGTCCGGTCGGCACCTACGGACCCCAGTGCGCCCTCCACTGTGACTGTCAGAATGGGGCCAAGTGTTACCACATCAACGGAGCATGTTTGTGTGATACAGGATTCAAAGGGCCTCACTGCCAGGACAGGTTCTGTCCACCAGGCCTATACGGTCTCATCTGTGACAAATACTGCCCCTGTAACTCCACTAACACACTCAGGTGAGACACGCCACTGATAACCGATGAGCTGACGAGAAACAATCGACTAGTAATGCATATTTGTACCATAATGGTTATCAGCTGATTTTTTTTTATTCATTTTTTTATTGGTACAGCCAATATGGGATGTTTCAGTTTTGGATGCCCTACAGTATTTTTACATTTAGATTACCTTTAACATTATCTAATGCTTACTTACAGTTAATGTTTTAAAATAGAATATTTTGATAACACTATTAAATCTTCAGCTAATCTCAAAATAAATATCTATTTTCATTTTGTATGTTGATGTTGTGTATGTAATATAGGGGTGTAACGATTCTCCAAATTCTCGATTGGATTACATTTTCGATTCTATCAATCAGGATGCTCTCTGTCTTACATGCACTTCATGAGGCACACATGCAAGGTCTCTCTCTCTCTGCCGTGCGCGCAATACTGTTTGGAGCAGTTTTTTCTGTCTCGGCATGAACGCTCGCTCTTGCTCGCTCACTCTAGATTCTGGGAGATTTGAACTAATTTGCGTGCATCAGGGATCTATTAATATATGCGGGAGACTCCCGGAACTTTCGCAAGACTTGGGATGTCTGCAAACTGTGGCTTTTTTGAAGCGCAAACGTTGTCAACATAATTCAAAAAAACTTCCACACCTCCGACTTCAATGAAAGAGAAAGGGGGTTCAAGTTCTGTCGATGGGTCTCCAGCATTTGCAGTTGCCATGCTATCTTTTGAATGGCTAAGTAGCTAAGTTAGAGGAGGTTGACCATAGACTCGCAGCACTTCAACATGCGTGTTTTTTTCCGCTTGGCAAGTTGAACGCGTGGGGGCGTGGCATCGACGATTCCAGTTTTTAATTCGAAGTTCGAGATTGTGAATTCATTTCAATTTCAGATTTTAATTTCAAAATCGTGACACCCTTAATGTAATATTGTAATATTTGTAATTGTAAAAAAATGATGTAATATATCTAGTATTTAAATCAATTGTAGGTTGTTGTTGTTTTGTTTTTTTTACAAAATAGCAAAGAATTTAAATATCAGCTATAATTTTTGGCTTGAATTATGCGGTAAATTTATTTGTGCATGCCTACAATGCCCTTTATTTTCTTGCAAAGAACATTTTTGTTTTGTTTCCGTATCATTTGTCAGTGGCACATTTTTGCATTTCTTCTGTGCGATTTAAAAAAAGTTGGTCTATGTATACAATGCACAAGTATGGCTCAGGGAACACTATACTATATCATTAATTTGACTAAATTCCACATCTAAACAGCAAACTCACACTTAACACTTAAAGGGACAGTTCACCCAAACATTTAAATTATCATATAATTTACTCACCCTCGTTTACTCAATCTGTAAAGTTTCTTTCCTCCGTTGAACCCAAAAGGAGACAGTTGACAGTAGTCATTGACTTCCATACTATTATTTTCCTACTATGGAAGTCAATGACTACCATAGAATATCTTATTTTGCGTTCAACTGAAGAAAGAAACTCATAGGTTTGGAACAACTTGAGGGTGATTAAATGATGACGAAAGTTATTTCACACAAACAATACATCTTTGTTGAGTCTCCTATGGTTAAACAGAGCCTTCAGTCCTACACTCATCACTTTTCCAGCCAACTCCTCTCGAGTTAACCTCTGTAGCCATGGGTGAGTAAAGAGCTCCATTTGAGTCCATTTGACTTCATTTGACTTGCAAGTAAAAATTTGAACACCTTTCAACAGTAGCATAGCACTTGCTCTTTATCGCGACCTGTGCTTCATTCATTATTTCTTAGCCTCGTTCCTTGCTAATGCAATGTTAATGCCTGGTATGGGTAGATTAAGCCCTGAGACACTGGGGCTCATTACTACATGAAGGAGAGAAAGGACATCCCATTTATCTGAGTGGAGCTCCCAGACACAAGGATGGATGAACTCAATGGGTTTTAGTTTTCAGATTTGGCTCCCTTGTTCTGGAAACCAAAGTGTTTCTGTTTAGATGCCGTATACACAGTGTATCTTCAGGCATATTTGGACCTAAATGTCTATCTGTCTTTCTCTTTTTCAGCTGCCACCCCCTGACAGGTGAATGCTCTTGTACAGCAGGATGGACAGGTCTATACTGCAATGAGACCTGTCCCCCGGGTTACTATGGAGAAGGATGTAGTGTGCCCTGCCAGTGTGCTAATGGAGCAGACTGCCACGGTCTCACTGGGGCCTGTATCTGTGCCCCAGGCTACACAGTGAGTCCATGTTTATCATTTATCATTGTCTACAGTCATTAAACACTAGTAAATCTTGCCATGCTGAACTATTGTCACCTGAAATTGACTGCGGAGCATTGACGATTACAGCTGCAAATGTTTTGAATTAAAGGATGGTCTTTTTTCAGTTTCCATTCCTATACGTCTGACATTAACATCACTCAAACCCCTCATTAGTAGAGTAAACACCAATATGTCTTGGACAATGGTTATAAACCGCCTACCAACCTGTCAATCAACCACTACACTGAATAAAATGATTTTAATTGTTGATTACATATGGCTTCAAATGAAAATACCTGTCTGATCTGATTCTTTTTGTAAAACGGATATATTTTTGTATATATATATATATATATATGATTGATTAATCTCAGTAAAGCCCTCCAATGTGAATCCTGAACAAATCATCTTAATAGTTAAGTTAAAATTAAACATTTTATTTTATATTGTGCTTTTAACGCCATACAGTAACATCATCAGTAAGTATAAGTTTATGTTCCAAAGATCAGTGACCCTCTCGTCAAAATCAGATCACAAGTGGTCACGGGATACACATTTGAGACACAGGTGTAAACAGCAATGTGTCTTGGTTCACCAGTAAGTGGCCATATATATGACATATGAAGGTGGCAAAATTCATAATTACATAATAAAGGTTTATGATTTTGGATTTTAAGTAAAAATTGGAAGCACCTCTCAGAGAACATTTCTAGTCAGCACTTTCCTTGATCTTTCTTTGAAAAGTTTGTGTGCCTTCATACTTAAAGCAGAAGTGTCAGCGAATACAGTTTATTGCTTTGAAAATGATCTCTATAGTGGTCTCTCTCTCTCACACACACACGTAAACACATCACCTCCTACTGGGAGGCTGGGAACAAGGTGTGAGAGTCTTTAAGTTCAGTAATGCTACTTTCACAATGCTCGTGTCTTATTAATCAGCAGGGTTACACTAAACACAAAACCTTGTCAAACTCAGAAAGAAGCGCTAGAGACATGCACTCCAAAATAGAATGGGATTTCTAGACAAGATTTTATATAACATAAATAACTAAATGTTTTGTTATCCAGCTGGTCGCTCCGTTCCCTCTGATGAACAAAGGTGTTGCTAAAATGAAAGCAATAAGATGCAAGGAAAGAGCATGAAAAAAAAAACTACAGTTTCAAGTATAGTCCCCACCGCTGAACTGATTTCACTCTTGCTGCATTCAGAAATAATGAAAATGTTGCAAAGCAGATAAAATAAAGACAGTGCCGCAGGTAAAGACTAGAACAGCGGGGATGATTAAGAAAGACTCAGTACCAGAGGCTGTAGCCAACTCCTGCCTTGGCCTGTTGCTGTGTCCTGTGGCAGTGCTACTACAGCGATTTGAACTAGCAGGCGGAGGCACAGACTGTATCTTCATTTTCACCACCTGCTCTTTGTGTTATATTGGAGGGGCCTGCTGCCAGTTCTATTAAACACTGCTTGAGGAGCTTTGGCCAAGGCGTCTGACCGAGATGCAATAGAATTGGGAAACAATACTCTATTTCCGAGCCATTCCATTTGAACCTATAGAACAGCAAAGGTTGACATTTGAAATGCAGTCGGGTTGAAAATAAGAGGTAATGGCCACTGAAACTCTCATTCATAGAGTTCTGAGAGAGGGATATTTATAGGGGTGGGAAAGGAACATGTATGCTGGTGCTGGTGCTGCTGGTACTGGAGAGAACGCAGGTGGGAAAACGAGGGAACAAATATGCTTGTAGAACTACGATGAAAGCACACATGCCATGCTCATATGTGCTTTCATGACACTTTACTTGAATGCATAGATGTACTGGTAGGAATTTTAATGCTTAAAGGAGTAGTTCACTTTTAAAAAAACGTTTGCTGATAATTTACTCACCCCCATATCATCCAAGATGTCCATGTCATTCTTTCTTCAGTAGAAAAGGAATTAAGGTTTTTGATGAAAACATTCCAGGATTTTTCTCCATATAATGGGCTTCAATGGGAACCAAAGGGTTTAAGGTTCAAAAGACAGTGTCAGTCCGAACCGCAAACTGTTCAAAGGGCTTTTAACGATTCCAGACAATGAATAAGGGTCTTATCAAGCGAAATGATCACTCATTTACAAAATAAAATAACAAAGTTTAAGTTTTATAAGCTCAAATGGTCGCCTTGCTCTGTTCTGTGATGCACGTTTGTGACTCTTCTGTTCGAACTCATTTATCAAAATGAACGAATCTTTTTTTCGTGTCATTTAGTTCATTCAACGAGCTAAATGAACGAGTTGGAGAAGATTCGTTCATTTTCATGAACGAGTTTGAATAGGAGAGTCACAAATGCACATCACAGAATAGAGCAAGACTCTTGAGCTTATAAAACTTAAACTTTGTTATTTATTTATTAATTTTTTTATGAGCGATTGTTTCACTTGGTAAGACCCTTATTCATCGTCTGGAATCATTTAAAGCCCTTTGAACAGTTTGCAGTTTGCACTGACACTGTCTTTTGAACCTTGAACCATTTGGTTCCCATTGAAATCCATTATATGGAGAAAAATCCTGGAATGTTTTCATCAAACACCTTAATTTTTTTTTTCGACTGAAAAAGAATGACATGGTCATCTTGAATGACGTGGGGGTGAGTAAATTCTCAGCAAAAGTTTTTTTTTAAAAAGTGAACTACTCCTTTAAAATAATAGATGCTATACTGTATAAATAGATATTCTATGAATGACTTCTAGTGAAACTTTTGCTATTTAGCATTTTGTCTAATTTATTTTATATTATATTATAGTCATGGAGTGTTGGCTACAGTATAAGCACACAACAAAGATATATAATATTATTATTTTAATATAATAATTCAAACAATAAACAGAAGTATTAACAAAGAGAGAAAAAATCCACAAACTCACTGGCGTAAAAATGCTTGAGGACTACAACGGAAATAAGTCCTGGACTTTATTGTGTTTTTATCCTCAATTGTATTTGATGCTTTTTTGTTTCATGTGTATTTTGTCATGTTGCTATCCTGCATGATTTGAGAATTGTTCAAAAAGTATCTGCATAAGTTGGAGATGATTGTAATAAAGTGAGCGAGCGAGATAAATGATGACTGATTGAAAGAGAGGGGAGAAACAAAACCTATATATATAGAGAGAGAACGAGAGTTAGTCCCTCTTGGTGCCCATGATGTCCTGCGTCAAAAAGTAGGCCTATCTGTTTACATATGTATATTTATATATCCTAAAAATGATAATTTTTTCATATAATAAAATGAATCCCAGACTTTTGGACCCCACTGAATATTAAAATCTACCAATCAAAGTTTGAAGACATTTCTAGCTCTTTGATTGTACTACTTATTTATGCTAATAGATATGCATACAGTATGTCCTGCTTTTAGAGGAGTTTAGTCACCCAGTTGAATGAGTGCTCTCATGCCTGTGTCAGTGTAATCTGGAGCATTCATGGGTCTCAATAAATCCCTGTGGTCATTTGTGAGCCAGAGGCTCTTTTACCTCCAACCCATTCACCAGTAAATTGCAGGTCTTCTGAAAAGTCGAACAAACTAACTTTCTCGCCCCATATTCGGCTGCCTGCACCGATAGTTTTAAGCCTTTTTTTCCCGCTGAACAGAACTGCCATTGTTAGCAGTCTGCTTGCTGTCACTTTTGAACGGAACAAAGATAACTGCACGTAGATTGATGAAAAATTAATCCACAGATGTAAGCTTTTCTTGTGGGGAGTGGATGGACGAGCGAAGCAGATGGAGAGGTAGAACATTTGAAATGGGGAATACAATGGGGGAATGTGGGAGAGAGAGCATACAAGAAAGAAAAGAGTGGGAGTCAGAGAAAATATTGGAGATGATTGTATCAAAGTGAGCGAGCGAGATAAATTATGACTGATTGAAAGAAAGGGGGAGAAACAAAACATATATAGAGAGTGAGAATCAGTCCGTCTTGGTGCCCATGACGTCCGTTGGTATATCTTATCTTGCCTTCCTCTTAGACCTAGTTCCAGATGATAATGAGAGAGCGGGTCCTTTGCTGCTCAATCCCCGGCACAGGGGAGACGGAGGCAAGAGGTGCACGGCACACTGCCATTACCCCACTAATTGGGAGTCTAAATCATTTTGTCAGCTGTCAGTCAGAGCCAGGGATGAGGCAAGAAGACACCGGTGATGACTGACGCTGGGATGCAGACGACTTCCCTGCTGAGCCTGGTAAAGCGCAGATTGTGCTGGTCTTGTTTGGCTGGGAAACAGGGTTTAAGAACACAGTGTCTGTCAGTCATCAGCAATGGTTTTCTGGGGGATGGATGGAGGTGCCGAGGGCCAGGGGCTGTCAGCTCATTAATGCAGCTGGGGAAAGCGGGCCTTTAGCGTTGAGCTCTGTGTGATAGCAACAAGGACACAAGGTACACACGGACTTCAGTTTTTCTGCTGTGCAAATGTGCTCTCTAACTTTCAACTCGCTTGAAAATGCATCTAACTCATATGGTGCCTTGTTGTAGAGAATGTTTTGCAGGAAATTTCCTGTTGAAAGTTTTACGGAATCCTCAGATGGGATTTAGTGTCACACTTCACAACACATTTCTCATGTTACAGTGTTAAGTTACATAAGTACAGAATAATTCTAATAACTAGAATCTTACCTTTTCTGAAATAAAATGTATGCCTGCCTAGGGTGTTAGTGGTTGCCAGGGCATTGCTATGTATGTAGTCGTTGAAATCTTTTGGGTGGTTTTGCACATTTTTATCCATTTGTAGGGTTGTTCTGGGTGGTTGCCAAGGCATTGCTAGGGGTTTGCTAAGGTGGGTGCTGCACAATTTGGGCGTCATACATGTCTGGGACAAGTTAAAGGGATAGTTCACCCAAAAATGAAAATTCTGTCAGTATTTACTTACCCTCATGTTGTTCTAACCCCCTTAAGACCTTCGTTCATCTTCTGAACACAAATTAAGATATTTTTTGATGAAATCTGAGAGCTGGATCACTCCTCCATACTAGTCCATAAGCTTCTTGAGGGATTGAAACTTGGCAGCTTCGAAAAGTTATTAAAGACATCGTTAAAATAGTCCAAATGACTACAGTGGCTCAAACTTAATTTATCAAGCGACGAAAAAACAAGCATAAATAATGCCTATTTCAACTTTTCATTTCCTTCTCTTTGGGCTTCTAGTCAGTTAAACGTCACACATAGACTGCGTGTGACGTACAACAACAGATCGCCCAGAGAGAAGGAAATTAATAGTTGAAATAAAGTCGTTAAGTGTTCTCGTCGCTTGATAAACTTAAGATTGAGCCACTGTAGTCACTTGGATTATTTTAACGATGTCTTTGAAACTTGCCGGCCTCAAAGTTATTAATCCCTCAAGAAGCCTATGGACTAATATGGAGGAGTGATCCAGGCGTTATTTATGTTTGTTTTTGCGCACAAAAAATGTTCTCGTCACTTGATAAAGTTAAGATTGAGCCACTGTAGTCACTTGGACTATTTTAACAATGTCTTTAATAACTTTTCGAGGCCGGAAGGTTTCAATCCCTCAAGAAGCCTATGGACTTAGTATGGAGGAGTGATCCAGCTCTCAGATTTCATCAAAAATATCTTAATTTGTGTTCCGAAGATGAACAAAGGTCTTACAGGGTTTGGAACAACATGAGGGTGAGTGAATACTGACAGAATTTTCATTTTTGGGTGAACTATCCCTTTATGAGCAATAGCGATTATTTGAAAATGTAATATGGACATTATAATGTGATTTATTTATTTGTATAAATGTATATTTTGTGTGTAGTTCAACAACTCTGCTGTGTGTGTTTTTCAGGGTGATGACTGTTCCCAAACCTGCCCGCCGGGACTATATGGTACTAACTGCACTTCCACTTGTTATTGCCACAACCAGGCGTCCTGCTTACCAATCGATGGCTCCTGCATCTGTAAAGAAGGTACGGCATAATGTGCTTTCCTTCTTCCTTTACAAAGAAATTAATAGTGAGAAAATCATGCAAGATTGTGGGTTTGCATCCAACCTGAAAACAAAACTATAGATTGACCTGTTCAAATAAATCCATATGCAATCAATATATGCAATCAAATAGTAAGGAAAAGTTGTGATCTTTACAATTGATTATTCTAGGACTAATTAATCATTTTCCAATCCCCTCTAAAACAGACGCCAATGTTTAGAGAATTAACCCTGTCTATAAATTGACATTCGGCATGCCTAGCAAGCCCATTATACTCCAAACACTTTCTGGACACTACACATCAGACACTCCCAAAAAATAGTATATAATATACCCATCCGTTCTCCATATATCCATCTCTGTCATTATGGAAAAAAACTGGTGTTTCAGTATCAAAGGATCCAAAGTCCCTTTAGGTCACTTTCAAAGGATGCATAACAACTTAGCACTTACATACACATATGGCCTTTTTAGGCTGTAAAAGCATAAAAAATGTGGTGTGAATCCACAAGAGCCCTGTGAGCACTCAGCGTTTGGCTGACCGCAGCTAACCGTACCTGCGGGACGGCCCTCAGTTGTTGCATAAACATGGACTTGTCCGGAAAGGCTTGCACAAAAAGAATATTCGCTTAGGTCCCTTCAGTTTAGGAGGGAGCTCATTAGAGACAGTACCTTTAAAATCCTCATCCCATTCATAATGCAGAACCCCAGTGTGCTACACAACTTCTCTGCCTATCTCATTCTGCTCTCATGTTGACCTCAAACCATGCATATATTCCACTCATTGACTGCTTTGCCGTGTGAGCCGAGGGAGACAAGAATCCTCTGGCTTCTGACAAGATGTGACCTCACTTTCCCTGCTTCCCGCTCTACTAATTGAACTCTGTTATAAACCAGGGAAGGTTTATTTGGATAGAACTCAAAAAGAGAAAGTCTGCTTAATCAAATAAACAAGTGAAGGAACCAACGGTTGAGTTGACAAATAAATTAACAAATGTCTGTCCCTATAGGTTGGCAGGGTGTCGACTGCTCAATCCTGTGCTCCAGCGGGACGTGGGGTTTGAGCTGTAACCGGACTTGTTTGTGTGCCAATGGTGCAGCTTGTGACCCAATCAGTGGCTCCTGTACCTGTTCTTCGGGCTGGAGAGGGGACCGCTGCCAGCTATCCTGCCCCGTGAGTATCTTCCTGGGACTGGTTCCATTGTCTCTCTGCCAGAGGCTAGCAAGACTGGCCATTTGATTTATAAATATTTGTCATGACAGGGCAATTTAAGCTTAACAAGATGGTTTGTCTGTGTGGTTAAACAGGATGGCACATACGGGCTGGAGTGTCGCGAGCGCTGTGACTGTAACCACGCTGATGGATGTGATCCTGTGAGTGGATTCTGTCGCTGTCTGCCAGGATGGACAGGTGAGTGGGAGACCAGTGACATAATCACAGTGACATGTTAAAATAGGAAACCTGAATTGTTAAAAAAGGCTGGGTTGTTTCAACCCATTTTTTCATCAAATAAGTAATAAGTGACATGTGAAGGCCAAGTATGATAACCAATACTAATTCAGCATTTGTCCTCTACAAATGCTGAGTTTACCATACTTGGCCTTCACATGTCACTTATTACTTATTTGATGAAAAAATGGGTTGAAACAACCCAGCCTTTTTTAGAGTTTAGTATAAATATTTTAGTTTATAGATACGCTTTGAGGTTTGGGTTTGTTCCATGTAGATTAATTACCTGTATTTGGAGGTAAATGTGACCCTCTCTTCATGTAAAATAGATTTCATGGTGATTTTCAACATGTTCAAGTACTAAATATCAATAGCCTATTTTATATACAGTATCATGGCTGTTCTTATAGGAAATGCTTGTACTTTGTAATCTGGCTACCCAGAAATTACTTTACTTTCTGTATAGAGTTGCAGTTGTTACGCTGCACAAACACAGTCGGTGTGAAAGCACAGTGAGAGCCTGCTGTTTCAGTTACGCTACAGCACTCTCTTCACAAGCTGTGTGAAACAGACAAGTCATACTACTGCTACTCATTATAAAAGTCATCTGGCAAAGATTTGAAGACATTGAGATGTCTCACGATACCACATTATGTCTCCATGAGGCAAATTTAATATATCAATAATTTTCCCCCAGAAACATCTGCTGTAGATTATTGTTATAATCAAGGGTTTATTGTTATATTCACCAAAATTTTGGAGGGACAGTGACACGTTTACTTACTGGCGTAGGATTTTTCTTCATCTCTGGTAATAGAGCAATCTGTTTATAAGTGAAGAGTTCAGATGCAAAAGCCTCTAAATGCCATTTGAAATTTTCTTCTTTAATGATGATTTTTAGCAATCTTGTATATTTAAGTTTAGTAATTTCACTTAAATAACAATTAATAGGTAATTATCATTGCCATTTAAGTGAAATCACTGAACTTAAATATACAAACTTGATAAAAATGATCATTCTAGAAGAGAATTTCAAATGGCATTTAGAGGCCTTTGCATCTGAACTCTTCAAGTGTGTTCATTAATTAGTAGTTGTTAATATGGGTGCAAAGGATCACAGTTAAACCGAGATCCATACGGATCAGGCCCCACAGTTCGGCGCGCATGTCATCATAGAGTGAAGATTTTTCAGTTGGATGTGTTTTTTCTTGCCAATTTATACATTCAAAGGATTTTAAATACGAAACAAGAGGCGAAAAAAGTTGTTATATGTGCACACAGCCGCACACATAGAGATAGAGGCGCATTTCAGACCACGCTGGAACACCGAATTGATTCCTCTTTCGCATTTATTTGTGTTAAACGGACACATACGCACACAACTATGTCAAAATACCCACCTCGGCGAGTATTCACTCGGTTATGTCATAAGTTGAAAAAGGAAACGGATGTGTGTTAGCTCAGTATATTCGGTCCGTGTATTCGGTCTTAAAGTGACAGCAGCCTATTAGTCCTGCTGTTATCTGTGTCATTAATGTTAATATAAAATAAAAAATACAGCTTGAACCTGTATTTAATTTCTCTAGTGAGCAAATAGTGTCATAGTGAGGAGAGCAGTCAGGAAGAAAGTGATGACGACAGCTCCTTAAAAATCAGACCAAAAGTGTTTATAATAATGGCTTTTCCAATAAATATCACAATATTAATCAATTTAATCTTTTAATGTAAGAAACAATAAAATCGATGTTGTCTGTCTTTTTAATCCAGAAAATATTAATCTTTAAACTGCCTTCATCCAGGGGGAAATGCATGATATTTTTTTCAATAATTATGAAAACATATGAAATCTCATTTTATTTCAATTGCAAAGCAATAGCACATTTTTATGTCGGCTCCTAAATTAATTCTATATTATGTGTGTTTGTGTGTGTGCATTTTGTTCAGATTATTCTGCACAGGACCATCATGCCTTCAAAAGATGTAATCACAGGACACAGCCTGCAGGCAAATTAATATGAAATCTCTCAAAGCATGAAGTATTTATAATAACTGTTGCTGAACATGTTACCTAATTAGATTGCGCTGACCCAGAATGAAGCCGTCGTTCTGTGGCTTGCTTATACAGCTTTCACACTGCGTTTACACCTTCTGTTGCAGTGGTCTCAGCACTGCGTGTCCAATATCACTGAAGGGCTGTGTTGACGAGTTCTTTAACATAACAGTGGCATGTGAACATGTTATACAACAAGAGAAAATGAAACGGTTGAATTGGTAGATGTGGCTTTGCCTGCAGGCCTTCCAAAACTCTCTCCGTTCAGGTCTCCAAATTCTGGCCATGTGGACTGGGAAATGATGTGGCTTTCATTATCTGCTAGAAAGAGCCAGCTACGCTGAAATCTCATGCTCTGTATCCTGCCCAGGTCTCCGCCATCTGCCAGGCCTAATGGAGTCACCAGGGTGCAAATAGGCCTCCGAGACGTCGAGCATCTGAACACAGAGACTATGCAGAGCAGTGATTTATGGAAGCTATTGAGAGAGACAGAGCTAGACACACAGGTCTAAGACTTTAAGAGAGAGACTGAGCAAGAAATTGCAACAGAACATATGATAAGGAATCTCACACTGAGTCATAAATGGGTTTTTGAGGCTGTACATTTAAATAGGTCCTATCATCAAATTGTACTTGATTTTTGAAATAAGAGTTCTTTAACTGGATCTCTTAAAACATCCTCAAACAACCATTTATTGAAATTGCAGAACATTAATAATTCTTAAATATAATGAAATATAATTAAATAGTAAAAAATAGTAAATATAATTTTTTAAGCTTCTCTCTGCTCTGAAATATTGATTGGTTAAATATTAAACTTGCAAGCTCTATTAATGTTTAACTTGTTATTTTGATTTGGTTATTTTCATTAAATAGTCAAATAGAATGATCCATTAAAATGATTGTTACGAATCCTCAACCATTAATCACAAACTGGAAAGGTCATAGAAATTGGCTGAAAAATTATAATCACAAAATCATTTACATAGAAGTCTCAAAGTTACAGAAGCAGAAAAAATATTCCTGTTTAATTCTAAGGATCAGAAAGAGGGTAACAATGGTTGTGGGAAAATGAAGAAAAAACGCATTATAATATTATACAGTATATATATATATATATTACATTTATCACAAAAGAATGTATTAATTATGAAGCAGTAAGGTGAGGAAGTTAAGAGAATAGCTTGAAGAGCTGTAGTTGGAAGATATAAAAGAAAAGAATGGCTACAGAACAGAGGAGTAAAGCATATAAAGACATGCCCAAGGACAGACAAGCTGAGAGCTTTGTTTTATCAAAAGAGAGAAAGAGAGGGATGTGTGAGACTGGAATTAAATGGTCACTTTCAATAAAACCTGTGCTTGTGTCTAATAGTAGGAGGAAGAGAAAGAGACAAAATAACCAGGAGAGATATAGACTGAGAAAGCAAAGAACGTGTACGTGCAATATTAGCAGCTCCAGGGGCTCTAGACTGAAGGATCGTATAACACCGAGTGTCCTGTAGAAACCCGTGTGCAGGCATGTGCACTCGTGTGTCCACTTAACATGTAAAGTGTGGTGGAAAGTGATGGTCTATGATGGTACTTGCTCTTCACTCATTAATTTGGCTGCTGGTCCCCCTGGCATTTCTCTGCTATGGAAAAGTCTCATATGCAGACAGTCACTTCTTCTCTTTCTTCTCCCACGCTATGCTCAAAAGCCCCTCTTTTTGTCACTATTAGGCTTTCAGGGCACTCTTCTATTCACATTCATTGCTGACAATAAAGAAAATGCAGGACTTTTTTTCCGCCCAGCAGAAGCTCAAACAGGCTCACCCCTGCTTTGATGTGCGTTGTCTTAATCGCACATCCTTGTTGCCCCCCACCCGGACACCTCTCTGTTCTGCCACAGAGGTGGAGCACTTATGATGCCTGTCCCTGAAGTTTAGACCTGGTCTAATTCAAAGACCTGGGACTAATTCCATTTTAATGGGCCGTGCCACTCGCTCAGAAAAGTCTCTGTCAAAGAAAATTGCAAATGAGGTTCCTGAGCTTTCAGCTTGAAAGGATGTGTGTGAGAATATGTGTGCACATCATTTCTCCCTTCTATGCCATCTTGCTTATGGAGTGAGAAATGTATAGATGCTAATTTATTTAAGTTGTATTATTAAAGCAGTAAGTCACTCGAAGCCGAGCATTACACTGATTTTATTAAAGGTAAATGGTGTAGGGCATAACCGTGGTCAAATCATTGTAGTGCTGATTGCTTTTATAATGGCAGCGGCGACACAATTGTTTAATAAATATATCTATTTATAGTTAGGAATTTTAATAGTCACAGTATTTTAATAAACACTAGTTCTGTCAATTGCCCCTTTACTAAGCTCTGCTCCATGTGGTTACTGTTGCTAACTCAAAAAGTGGTAGAAATGAATGAGATGTTATGTTCTGATATTAATTTTGATATCAATTGTAACGTGATTAAAACTGCAAATCAGTCTTATATATATATATATATATATATATATATATAATGCAGAATATATATATATATATATATATATATATATATATACATACCCTCACCTAAAGGATTATTAGGAACACCTGTTCAATTTCAGAAGACCCCACCGGGTACGACACAAAATGTTGCCTGGTCTGATGAGTCTCGATTTCTGTTGAGACATTTAGATGGTAGAGTCAGAATTTGGCGTAAACAGAATGAGAACATCCATCATGCCTTGTTACCACTGTGCAGGCTGGTGGTGGTGGTGTAATGGTGTGGGGGATGTTTTCTTGGCACACTTTAGGCCCAATTGGACATCGTTTAAATGCCACGGCCTACCTGAGCATTGTTTCTGACCATGTCTATCCCTTTATGGCCACCATGTACCCATCCTCTGATGGCTACATATATATATATATACACACTTAGGAACACCAAACTAATACTGTGTTATATATATATAATTTTAGAATAATATATGGTTTAATCTGATGAAATATATTTATAATATAAATCTATTAGAATAAAAATTTTATTTGCAGTAACATTTATATATTTTATTCAAATAAATATTGTTCTTTATATACACACACACTGGTGTTCATATAACTGAAATATTTGTTTATTCGGGGTATATTATCTGTGATAGGATTCTATTTATTGAAGATCAGTGTACTTTATTATATATTTTGTCATATACAGTATATTTATATTTTATAAATTTGTATTGTTTATTATTATTATCACACAGTTTCATAGTGTGTATTTACCTTTTTTTTCTTACTATGGCAGCTCTTTGGTAAGCTTGTGAGAGTGTGTGTGTCCGTGTGCCTTGTTATTTTTTTGTGTTGTAACCCCAATATGACCAGATAATGTCATTACATTACAACACTTTGAAACAATATAGTAGGTCTCTTCTTTATATATTTGTGCGTGTGAACTTGAGCGTGTCCCTAGTGGAAATCTATACACAAACCAGCTGAAAGAGAATGGGAGAGGAGGATCAACCACTCGAAGGACTTGGCCCTGTTAATGAACACTCTACACTGGCAGGGAGGCCCAGTCTGATCAAAAATACATGCAGAGCACAGCACAGAGCGGGCCAGTGCTGCGGCCAAGAGATGCCTGAACCTACACACACCCCAAATCTTTTGAAACCAGGACTTTGCTCTCAGAGAAGACTGCTTGGTGCTCCGTTGCGATCCCAATAGAATATGTTATACTAGCTTACTATAAAAGCAGTGGCCTCAAGGTTCAGGCATTCACCCCTCATACATGACTCTTTTTCAAGCAAGCATCTGATTTATTATGTTTTTGTTTATGTCACTTGTCTGCATCCATCCCCACTTCGTTTTTTTCTGCTGTGATAGAAAATAGGAAAGCACATGGACAACAAGCTCTAATGCTTCGCTCATTCTTTTAACAGGCATCCACTGTGACAGCATCTGTCCTCAAGGCTTCTGGGGGCCTAACTGCTCCATGACCTGCTCGTGCCAAAACGGAGGCTCCTGCTCTCCTGAAGACGGAACCTGCGTGTGCGCTCCTGGCTACCGAGGGACTTCCTGCAAGAGAAGTAAGCTTCCTTTCTCCTTCCTGTCACCTTCTCAAAGCTTGTCGCACAAGTGTTTGATTCGAACACACTTCAAACAAGACGATAAACAACTAGTGGGAATGAGACGGGGGGTCACAACTGTTACATCCAGACGGTGACCCTCTGGGAGTGGAGTGGGGACGCTTGAAGAGGGATGCACTTAGGGAGGAGTCATGAACAAATCTTTAATCACACACATCTTAATCACTTCAGCCCTGGATCGCTGTAGAGATGCAGTGTCCATGTGGGGCTCTCATCAGCCTCTCCATGAGGAGGAGTGTTTACTCAGCCTCTCGGGGGTCGTCTTCGTCTCGCTCTTGCTGTCTCTCTTTACCACAGATAAGGCGACTGATTGCTTGTCATTTTCAAAGATTGAAAACAAAATACTACAGCAGTTAGTCTGTATGGCAGGAGGCAGGGGAATTTCATATCTATCATTCATCCATTCCATTTTTACTTCTAATAAAACGCTGGGATAAATTGCTTTTTACAATTTTTAAGAGGTCCAACATGTACAGTACTAACATGATGTATACTTTTAGATGGACTAATACAACCTAAATTATATATTATTTCACAATTTCGTCTACCCATTCAGGCTTGATAGTTAATGGTAAACAAACATGGCTCGCTGTCCTCGAAGGAGTCTCGTCCTCGAGGCTCGGCTTGGGCTCTTATCTCAACCCTCCTGTAATTGTACTGTGTAGAGGAACAATTATAGAAATAGAGGAGGGGATGGGGAGGTGGAGGGATGCTGGAAGAATTGTCACTGCATGGGATGGCGTAATGACTGCTGCTCCCGTCCGCTCGTAATGATGATTGACATGAGGACTGAATGATTAGCCTCCTCCCAAACCTATGTTTGGAACTTTATTTATATTATAGTAATGAGAATGGGATTTTATGCATTATCCAATGCTTTTAGTAAACAACATCAGTAAACTAATTCTTACAATTTATCATGTATTTTTTTTTTTTTTGAAGAATGGATGAGAGTGTCTGGGAATGTTTCGTGAGATTCGCCCTGTAAGGAGTTGTGAGTGCAGGTGTGTGTGTTCAAAGATTACAGAGTAAAGGGAAAGGGAATGTGATTAATCTTCACCGCACTGTTCGTTGTTGTACAATTATCGTAATTACTAAAGCCCACCACCCATGGTGAAAAGGTCAGCACACACTACTCCTGCATTACACAAATCTACAGCAATTAAAGCAAATCAAGACTCTAATGAAGAAAAATGAACCACAGGAGCTCCCATCTTGGACAGAGCTGAGTGACAGAGACAGACTGAGCCCTCATGCTCTGTGAAACGATGAGCGGGACCGTGAGGCCGACAAAACCCCCTCATTATTTCTGCTTATGCTAGTTCAGGTGACAGTGCCTCCTTGACTTGGGGTTAAACAATAGTACCTGGAGGAACCTTTCAAATCTAAGTTGGCCATCGATGATAATACTGTTGTAATGGTTAAATGAAGAGCTCAATTATACACTACCTTTCAAAAGTTTGGGGTCGGTATGTTAAGAAGTCTCTTATTCTCACCCAGCCTGCATTTATTTGATCAAAAATAGAGTACAAACAGTAATACTGTAAAATTGTATTAATAGAACTGTTATCACTGTGATGTCAATCATTACTCCAGTCTTTAGTGTCACTTAATCCTTCAGAAATCATTTTAATATGCTGCTTTGCTGATCAAGTAACATGTATTATTATGATCAATCTGGAACACTGCTGTGCTGCTTAATATTTGTATGAAATATTAAGCACTAGTTTCTCAAAATTATTTGATGAATAGAAAGTTCAAAATAAAATATCTATTTAAAATAGAAATCTTTTTTAACATTATAAATGTCTTTGCTGTCACTTTTGATAAATTAAATGCACCCTTGCTGCTAAAATAAATGTAAAAAAAAAAAATCCTAGTTCTGTCATGATACTCTAGATGGCTCCTTAACGCAACCTGATGATATTAACAGCGTTAACTACTTGGCACAAGATGATTGGTTCATGTTGCATCTGCAGCCAATGAGCTTGCTGCTCACAACATTTAAATGACTGGTTAACATTCACTATAGCAATATATTTACAGCATGCTTAAGAGTTCCTCTGAAACCCACTATTTTCCCTAGCTCCACCTATATATTTATAGTACAGTAGTCAACATTTGAAGTGGATCAAAAAAGTTCATCAAAGTTGTCCCAAGACAAGAACCAATATTCATGTATAACTTTGATAAAAGATTTCATCCACTTCAAATGTTGACTACTATGCTATTTGTGTGGCAGCAGTATGTCTTACATACTCACAGCAGTTCAGCAGTAATAACGTAATAATAATATTTTTTACTGGGTAACGAGACAAAAATGTTGATAATTCTAATGGTTATGAATGTCCGTTATGCAATGCACTATATTTTGTTTTACTTTTTTTTTTTTTTTCATTTGTCCTTCTGATAATGCGAATTTGTATTCATATTTTCCACTTCCTGTCCTTTGCTTGTCACAGTTTGCCCTCCTGGTTTCTATGGGCACCGCTGCAGCCAGTCATGCCCTCAGTGTGTGCACAGCACGGGGCCATGCCACCACATCACGGGTCACTGTGAGTGCCTTGCCGGCTTCTTCGGCTCACTTTGCAACCAAGGCAAGTACTTCTTGTTTCTCTGCTTTCTCTCTCTATTTTCCTCATCCATGGACTCCCTCAGATCCTTGGAGGCTAGTTTTGCTTGCAGAGAAGTACGAGAGAAGTATTGTCACTTCTCTGTCTGACCAGTGCTGGGCATGTTACTTAAAAAAAGTAATTAGTTAAAGTTACTAGTTACTTCTCACAAATAATAACCGAGTTAGTAACTGAATTATAAAAGTAACTGATTACCAGGGAAAGTAACTATTGCAGAGGTGGGAGTAACTGAATGCAAGTCTCAAGTCAAGTCCAAGTCTTAACATTGCAAGTCAAAGTGAAGTCAATCTGTTGTAAGGGTCAAGTCAAGTCAAGTCATACTTTTTGTCAAATCAAGTCAAGTCGCAACTTAGTCATCAAGTCACACCAAGTCGCACACAGGCTAGTTTTACACAATTTTTTTACTCTGGGACATTTATTACTTTATTTAGACACGTAGGGCCGATGGGTTACAAAAATGAATAAATTAACTTCATAAATAAAATATCATTAAGAAGCACTTTAAATGCTCTAAAATAAAAATAAATTAAATGAACACAAGTAAACAAAAATTAATAAAACTTTTTCCATCTTGTAAAAAAAAAAAAAAACTAAAAAGATATTTCATTCTAAATTAGTACTGTATGCCAAAGTTTGTATGTTCTCACTCTAAATATCCAGATGATTTGATCACATATATGGAAATTTTAAGAAAACAAATCTAATCATTTAAATTATTTAAATTTTTTAATACGTGGGTCGTTATAACTTGCGTTCACAACTACTTTCTATATGACTTTCTCCCGACCGCAACATTTAAGTTTCGTCCCACTCCCGCGCGCAAAAAGAGTTTTTTTTTTTTGTTTTTTTTTTTCATTTCAAGTCATTTCAACTATAGGCACAAGTCCGAGTCAAGTCTAAAGTCACAAGGAGCAAGTCTAGAGTCAAGTCGAGTCTTTTCAGAGATCTAGTCAAGTAAGTCTCAAGTCCAGAAAATTGCGACTCGAGTCTGACTTGAGTCAAGTCATATGACTCGAGTCTCCCACCACTGAACTATTGCGTTACTTAAAAAAAATTAAAAGTTAAATAGGCCTATGTCAAATAACTTGGATGCACCTAATACTAAATATGTAAAATTAATGAAATGGACACTATTGAATAAATTATTATTATAAAACATTGTACATTATCGTAATGTTGCTGTGGGACAATGTGAGAGACACCTATAAAATTCAATATATTATTTGAAATATTATCATTACTATAGTAGAACCAGTGGTGGAATGTAACAAAGTACAAAAACTTCGTTACTTTACTTAAGTACATTTTTCACGTATCTTTACTTTACTTAAGTACAAAAAATAGTGCCTACTTTTTACTTTTACTTCGTTACATTTTGCAGCAATTATTATACTTTCTACTCCACTACATTTCTACATATTCTGTTACATTTTCGTTACATTTTCTGATCAGTTTTTCCCTGCCAAAACGTAATCTGACTGTCCGTTCGTTGCACATTTGTCTCACCAGTGACGTTTGGTTGCCATAGATACAGTATATCAACCCGGTCACACTTAATGCGTCTCACACGCAGTGTGTTTATCGTGCAACTCATACGCGAAAATTTGTTTTTACGTGCATAGGAAACACACCGTGTGTAATATGTTTGGTTTGGTTAGGATTATGGCAAGCCAAGAAGTTCAGAATTACACCATAAATTAATCTCGTTTATTGCCAAACATAGTTATTAACATATAGTAAGGATACGCATGATGTGTATATTGCCTAATTGCAAGCTTGTTTCAGAAATGGTGACATTTTTTTTTCCATCATTATTGAACATAGGAGTAGGCTATTAGGTTGAATGAGTTAGAATTAAATGTTTTATTAATCATTAGAAAATAGACATTAAGATAATAAATTGTTATGCAAGTACTTTTACTTTTAATACTTAAAGTACATTTAAAATAAAGTACTTTTTACTTTTTACTTAAGTATAGTTGTCATTGTGTTACTTCTACTTTTACTAAAGTAAATATTTATCTGGGTATTTGTACTTTTACTTAAGTACTGAGATTCAGTACTTCCTCCACCACTGAGTAGAACAATAAAACATAATTTTAGGTTTAGGTTTTGAACTTTTAATTTGTTTAAAAAAAAAAAACGAATTATGCTTAAATGTACCAAAAAATGAATAAAAAAAAAAAAAAAATACAAACACTATTTGTTGTGAAAATTAAAATGATAAGAAGTTTAACAAGAAGTGCTCCCAGAACGCGAATTCCCAGAACGTTCCCTGCAGGTTATTTTTTAGATTTTATTTTTATAAACATGTAAATTAATTAAAACGTTGCAGATGATATCAATAGGCTACAGAGATTATTCTAATACTGACATTTGTCATTTATTTATAAACAAACTATATATTGCTCAGACACACTCGGTCTCTTTCGCGGCGTTCGCTTCGCTTTAGTCCAGTCCGGCGCCTCATAAACACACACACACACACACCAGAGAAAAAACTTTGCAGGTCCTATGGCGGAGAGAGAGCCTATTCGGATGGAAACCGCTTCAGTGAGCTCAATTAGGCTATAGTAACGCCACATTTTATTGTCATTAACGGAAACGGCGTTGTAACGGGGGAAACAGTAATGTCGTTTATTTATAACGCCGTTATTCCCATCACTGTGACTGACCACCTTACAGTATTGTTCTAATGGAAACACACTTTAACTGAATCAATACCCCAAGGTATCCATTTCTCATGATTATGTGCCAGAAATACACAGTTTTTGCAAAACCGTTGACACGTTATTGTTGCTTCCACATGATTTACAGTTCTGGTGGATTTTTTTACACAACTCTCAGGGGCCAATGTGGCTGTGTTTCCAGCCAGTTGACAGAACTGTCACTTACAATATAGTAATTATTATGTTTTAAAAACGGTTTTGTGTTTTGAACAGTGTCGTTGCAAATTCTGCTGTTTTAAACTTGTCACCAAGGTAACATTATCTAGTCGGCTGACATGGATTAACAAACGGTTTTGTTTAGATTGCTTGTAGCATCAGTAAATAGTCAAATTACTGCAATTTGTTTTGCAGCAAATAAAAGAACATCTTTAAAGGTATTTTTAAAAACGCATTTAAAAATACATTGATTAAAATACAATTATTTTTTATCGTTAGTGAGAATTTTCAGCTGAGATTTACATGGTTTTCAATTATGCTTTTTCAAAATGTGAAAAAAAATCACGTAAGCAGGAAACACTTCTTGAGGCAATTTACACTAACTGTAATGACATCACTCCAAAGGTCTATTCTTTTAGTTGCTACTTCCCCTGCTGATGAACCACAGTGAACCAGAATCAATTATGTAGATAAAATGGTGCGGCATAATCGTGTACCTTAAAGTTGTCCTGTAAATGTATGTTTACATGCATTTTGATTGGTATGTAAAGATGGTCTTGTGGTTCTCTCTAGGATTATATACATAACTGTTACCTGTCACCCAAAATGTGTCACCTCGACCCATAGGGCACTTTGTGTGTGTGTGTTTGCGCGTGCACTGCCATTGGCAACGTGCCCATCTGCAGAACGCCACGCTGACTCTGCGCCTCCGCCATACTGAAAATAATTGGCATTATCACTGACACTCTGACAAATAACCTTCAGAGGAAATCTGAATATTGCTGAGCACATTCTTCTGAGCGAGACACAAAGACTGAAGAGTCAGGTCAATATCACCGGTTTCTGTTTTTGTTGAGCTTCTGTGGAAAACAAGAGATAGTGTAGAAACAATGATGTGTTAATTTCCACTAATATACTTCATTCTTCAAGATTTATGTCTAGGATGTCTACAATACCTGCAGAGAGCTTTACATTAACATTCGTATTCATCATAATGGGAGTTTCACTGCTTTGGCATAAAGTTAAAAAGTTTGAAATCCACCACCTTTGGTTAATGTCAAAACATCTACTGTAATATATTGCTATATCTGCAATATATATGTAAATATATATACACTACCGGTCAAGTTTTAGATCAGTAAGATTTTTTCTGTTTTTAAATGAAGTCTCTTCTGCTCACCAAGGCTACTTTCTTTGATGAAAAAAAAATGACAAACAGTAATATTATGACAATTTAAAATGACTGTTTGTAATTTGAAAGCTGAATTCTCTGTTGAATCATTACTGTTGCTGATTACACATCAGTTTTCAGTGTCACATGATCCTTCAGAAATCATTATAATATGCTGATTTTATGCTCAAAAACATAAATTATTATTTTCAATGTTGAAAACGGTCGTGTACCATTTCCCCCCCCAAAATTCTATGATGAATAGAAAGTTCAAAAGAACAGCGTTTATTTAAAATATAATCTTTTCTAACATTATAAATGTCTTTAACTCATCCTTGATGAATAAAAGTATTTTCTAATTTCTTTCCCCCAAAAATAAAAAAATAAATTCTTACTGACCCCAAACTTTTGAATGGTAGTGATTAATGTTACAAAAGCTTTCCATTTCAGAACAATTCTGTTCTTCTGAACTTTCTGTTCATCAAAGAATCCTGAAATAAAAATGTAGAAAAAACTGTTTTCAACATGGATAATAATCATAAATGTTTCTTGAGCATCATATTATAATAATTTCTGTAGGATCATGTGACACTGAAGACTGGAGTAATGATGCTGTAAATTCAGCTTTGATCACAGGAATAAATTACACTTCACTATATATTCACATAGAAAACCGCTGTTTTAAATTGTAATAATATTTCAGAATATTACTGTTTTTTTTTGTATTTTATCAATTGCAACCTTGGTGAGCAGAAGAGACTTCTTTTAAAAACATAAACAATCTTACCGATCTAAAACTTTTGACCGGTAGTGTATATATATATATAATGTCACCTTTTGAATGGCTGTCAATGGAAAAAGATGCTATGAAATTGTCAATATGAAATGAAATAACTTTTTTAGCAGAACCAAACCCTAAGCTCTTGATTTACTTTTCCATGGGATAATACGAAGGATGGACGAAGTTAGCTAAATTACGCTGCTCGCTGTCCTCGGTCACTAAAATAGCACTGTAAATATTTACTCCATGTCGACTTTTATACAGACAGTTATGGGTTTGTGAGTTAAGTTTTAGGTCAATGAGGCAGATTTCCAACTCAGAACTAATAAACCAAACCACAGCGCACCCAACTGAGACATTCAGATGAAATATAGATAGACCATCTCACAATAATTAACCAGTCTTTTCATGAATTAAGGAAAGGCTGCATGAATATATAGAATTCACTTTCATTGCTTTCAGAGCTGTCTCGTGAATAAATATTTAATATGTTAAAGCAGAAGAAGGAGAAGGTTCGAGAAAAGGCTTGTTTTAATTTGTCCAGATCATAATTACTGGAAGAAAGGCAGGCCTCGGGGGCAATCGTGGCTAGCCCACATACCTACTTTTTTGGAGTTTGGTCTATGCCGGCGTCCTCGTATGTCTTGAGCCCACGTTCACCCGTCTCAAAGCGAGCTAATGAACTTCGGCTAGTCACAGTTGGAATGAAACGAAGCCCGTGACATGAGGGGGTCGCTAACTAATAAGAGGAAGCTTTGAATTAGTTGAAAGAGTTTCCACAAAATGAGAAGTGTGTGGAAATATAATTATTAAAACTCAGTGGCTCAAAGATTTAGTCTCAGCTTCACCTCAATGGACAATTCATCTGGTTGGAACATCTGATTCCATGGTGTGGCGTATTTCAGCTCTCATGAGAAGCCGAAGACATGCATGAGAGGGAATTGGAGGTATCTCATTGTTTGTACCTTGCTGTGAACTCACCGAAACAAGAAGGGAGAGGGGAACAAAACATGATGGGCTTTGAACTCAACTGAAATTTATAATGGAGGCAAGTGTCAGAGTGTGGTGAAATATTCGTTTTATTAAATATGTACACAAGCTCTAATTTTAATTTTGTAGTACAGCCGAGTGAAGCTGGCGAAGACGGATAATTGGACAGTGTGACAGAAGCACACGTTTGAAGGGTGATCGAGCTTTGAAATGCACGCAGACACACGACCTACAATCACTACTTCACACGTCACTCTGGTTTATCATCAGTTACTACTCATCCAGCACTATTATAGCATGATGATCTGTGATCTACGAAAAGTTTGAAATGGGGAATTGCAAGACGTTAAAGTTTAAAGTTCAGAAAACTATAGTACTTCAGTACACTAAACAATTTAAACGACTTTTATTCAAGTCAAAAACATTGCATTACATCACTGGATCCACTGTTCAAAAGATTGTGGTCTGTAAGATTTTGTTTTTAAATGAGTGAATTACTTTATTACTCAGCAAGGATGCATTAAAATGACATTTATAATGTTACAAAAGATTTCTAATTCAATTAATGCTGTTATTTTTTAAATTCTTGTTTTCCTGTTTCCACATACACATTCAGCAGAACGCTTTTCAACATTTAGAATCATCTTGAGCTCCAAATCAGTTCAATACAATTATTTTTGATGGACAAAAATGAACTTTGTCATCTTGTGAATAAAAGAATATCTAATAATATTTCCCAATATTATTGTATTTTTAATCAAATACTTGTTCACAGCCATTTTGTCTTTTTCGAAACATGGTGCTGCAGTAGAGTTTAAGAAATAATCATTATTATTTTACATCATTTCAATAATTTTGCTTAGTGCCGCTGCTGACACACTTCACATCCTTCACATCACTGAGAAAGCAAAAGCTATTTCGGAAGGATCTGTAATTTGAATGTAAATATTTGACGCACAAAGATCAGTGTAAGGAGTAAAAACATTGTTAGAATCCTACAGATTTTCTGTAATTACCTGAAAGAACGACTCACAGGTTTAAGTGTTGTTTTATGTGTCTTTGTTTGTGTCCCATCAGTGTGTCCCAGTGGCAAATTCGGGAAAGCCTGTGCTGAGATCTGTCTGTGCACTAACAATGGAACCTGCAATCCCATTGACGGCTCCTGCCAGTGCTTCCCAGGTTGGACTGGAGACGACTGTTCACAGAGTATGAACCAATTTGTCTTTCTCTCTGCTTTTGTCTTCAGTTTCGCCTTCTTTATTTCTCCCACTCCCTGTGTATAGTCCGACTACTCTGTCCCATTCACTTACATTCATTTCTCTCTCATGGACGTCTCATGTCATAGTGCCATGTAAATCATAACCACGTCCATTTTTCTTTGCCAAATACCCCACAAGCACCGCTGATGGAGATCAACAATTTCCTCAATAAATTACTTGATAGCACACTCTCAATAATTCACACCGCACAAGAGAGCGGCAATATGAAATGGGGACGAGAGCAACAATGTCCCGGAGAATTTATGGCTTATTCGCTTTTCTCCCTCCCCTCTCGAGCTGTTAATCTAACGCTGTTTGCTGTAAGTGAAGGGGTGAGGATTGGCTGTGGGAAAAGTGAGGGATTTCAATTATTAATTCCAAACAGTGACATTTCCAGCTTTAAATTGACTAAAAGGTTTAACTTTATACTGTGGCTACGGCTCTCATTTGAATGTGATTTTCGTCTTTATTTTTGCAAAACATGCTAATTTTACATCAAATGCATCATTTTGTGTAGGCCTGTAAATGTGCGTTAACACACGTGTTTTATATTCGAACAAAATACACATCTGTATCTGACGGTGTCTCTGGCTCCGCAGTTTGTCCCATAGGCCAGTGGGGCCCTGACTGCTTGAACTCATGTAACTGTCACAACGGAGCCCAATGTAGTGCCTACGACGGAGAGTGCAGGTGCAGCCTGGGCTGGACCGGCCTCTACTGCACGCAGCGTGAGTCTCCCTCACACACAAATACACTCACATTCACTGTTATTACATGTACAATTAAACAAATCTCTAATATACACAAACACCCTCTCCCACACACTTCATGAACTTAAAGTGAGACAGTGACATCTGTTGGCAGTATTTCAGAAGTGCACCAGAGAGTGACGTCCTGATGCCACAGAGTGGTCTTTAATAATAAATGCACATTTTTTCATGTCAGTCATTTAACTCATTAAATGACCTTGCTCAAGGCTGAAATCAAAAACCATCAGCATCACGCCTGCTAAAAACCAAATCCATCTTTCATTCATTACGTCAATCATTTCATGATCCCTCCTCTGCTGCCACTCTGTTTGAAAGTTTTTTTTTTATAACGGCAGTGATATAAAGTCTTGAGGAGTGATGAAATCAGTTTGTGTTTTGCTGCAATGTTTGCTCCAGTAGGCTTGTTATCTAGCCGCACTGTCTTTGCATGCTTGTGTATTTATGTACTGTTCTTGTGTTTGTCTACGAATTGCTATTCGTGTCCGAGGCTGTTGTGAAAGGTACACGTTACATGAATTCTGGTAATTTGCCAAATTCTAATGTTGCGGCTTCTTTTACACTCTGGGTTTCCTGTTTGCCGGCCCCATCCGAATACACCAACTGTGTGTTGTAGGTTAATATGATGTAGCAGGGTATCTCTTTCCTTCAGGCTGTCCCTCAGGGTTTTATGGGCGAGACTGTGCAGAGGTGTGCCGCTGTCAAAATGGAGCTGACTGTGATCATATCACTGGCCAGTGTGCCTGTCGGACTGGCTTTATTGGGACCAACTGTGAACAGAGTGAGTGTTGTGGCCTTTATGAATTGTGTGTTCTTGTGTTAGGGGGTCAGTTTCGAAAGAGACCTTTAGCTGTGTGCGTGTGTTCCTCATCCACCATCTCAGGCAGTCCATCACAACATTTATCTGAGTGCTTGTTTTACACAGTTTAGCAGTGATGTTTAGTTAATGGTGTTTGTCTGTGTTTTTGTTCAGAGTGTCCTCCCGGGACATTTGGCTACGGCTGTCAGCAGCTGTGTGAATGTATGAACAACGCCACCTGTGACTATGTGACCGGAACGTGCTACTGCAGCCCGGGATACAAAGGAATCCGCTGTGACCAGGGTACCACTCTTTTTTGATGGAAAATTCCAAAATGCTATACTAAACGAAGGAACCGGGTAAAATCTAGAACACCTAGAACACACTAGCAACCACATTAACAACCAATTAGTCTGCAAAAAACACCCTAGCAACACACTAACAACCAGTTAAACTCTTAGCAACAACACAGAACATCCTGGGAGCTACATATAAAAACACTGACAGTGTTTGGGAAAGTTACTTTTAAAAGTAATGTATTACAATATGGGCTATATGCACGCATAATTTCCGCATTTGACCTAAGGATAGTCTCAGCCTCAGACGTCACGCCCACGGAACGTTGGCTAAACGTCTGATGCATATGGTACACTTAACTGGAAACACTTCAGGAATGTCGAAGTCGTCATCTGATTGGTTGAATTTTATCGGATTTCCGGGGGGCGTCAGTGTCGCGTTTATTTTCGGTCCGCCGGGAAACAAGCGCAGATGTGTGATTGCGGAAGAAAAACTGTTGTGTTTATATGAGTGGCCTATGTGAGTGACAATGAGCATTTCTCAAGATCAGCTAAACGTAGTTGTATGTCCCCTACAATCTATTATGGAAGATCAAGTGAAGTACTTAATTGCGAAGGATATCAGCTGCGTTTGTGGACAAACATGAAACAGACGCTGACATCGCAGCTGGCCGATTCAGTATTCATATATAGGTCGCGCACACTGGATTATAAGGCACATAAGATACTGCAGAGTCAAACGTTTGACTGGGTTTGCGTTATGCATCCACTAGATGTGCTAAAGGCTAAAGGGAATGTAGCGAGTGCGCGGCGCCGGAGATGAGGCGTTTATTTAGTAGGCGTGAGCGCACTGGGGCGGGGACGTAACTTACATTCGTGTGACAAAGCGGACATAAGATGGACATGAGCGAGTTCGTGGGTGAATTTAATAACACGGAGCGTTGTTGGCGCCTCCGGTGACTGCTGACTGACTTGTTGCACACCGGTCTGTTGTTGTGGGGACATTTCCACGCCCCGAAACATGACGCTGAACGAAACGAACTGTAATTGGTTGTTTGACATGTCGGTCTAACGCCCTTATGGGCGGGCCTTGACCAAAGAAAGCTGCTATGAATTCCAGACCTTCAGCCGTCAGTCTGAAGGTCTGGCTACGCGAGACTAACCTAAGGATGCTCGTCTGTTTCCGGTTGGGGAGATTAAAGTGGAGGAAAACGTAGAGTCTTCAAAATTTACTGTCCTCCCGTCTTTGAAACGAAACTTTCATATGTTTAGATGTAATTTTATATATAGTTATGTTTATTTAATATAATTTTAAAAAGAAGCATAAACACAATGAGGGGTGTCTGTTTTGTCTGTTTTTGGGAATGCTATCTTTTTTTTTTTGGCAAGATATACACCCCTAGTACTAGAAAAATCACGATAACAGTGCAGGGGTGGTAGCGAAATCACTTTTTCCAGCTCATGAAGTTACTAACCCCCTAAATAAATTCTGTTTTTGAAATCTGGTGTATATCTGGTTTAGGCACACGCTAGGGATTTTGTCAATATTCTATAATATGGTGCTTGGTATCGTTGGAAAGGGACATTTTAGGCTTTCATTTAAGCCCAGTATTGAATCTGTCTGACAAACACAGAGGTCACATGACTTCTTTAAACCAAAAATATCACACATTTTTACACAATTTCCTGCTAAACTGTATGCTTTCTTTTATCCATGTGTCATGAAAGAACACCAGCGACACAAAACTCTTCAACTTCAATACTCAAGGCACTCTGATGACTCAGAAAAATCTATAATACACCCATGCTATTTATTTGTGAGAGCCTTAAATTAGACTTGTGCAGCCAGCACAAGTCTTCAAAATAGAATAGAGCCAATAGAATGGACAAATAGAATATCCTATTAGTCCTATTTATTCATGTAATAAAAAGTATGGGTGGGTATATTATACATTTTCTGAGTAAAAGCATACAGTTTAGGCCGAAACCTTTTTACCTTGCAAAAAATCACTGCGAGACGTTGTCCCCCAGATGATACCGATGGACCAAATTTGGGGCCCTGGTTAATGGACTACAAACAAGATTTTGATATATTATGAAGAAAATGTGAGTGGTGCACCGTGCACTTTTTGTGGTGTCTGCTATCGTACTTGAAACAAGAGATTAGCATGCATGGGAGATTTCTATTGTACCTGTACTTTTGGTAATGAAGTACTCTGATCTGCTCCATTTCATTTCTAAATAATCATATTCTGTGTCCCAGCGGCTCTAGTGATGGAGGAGCTGAACCCCTACACTAAGATCAGTCCCGCTCTGGGTTCAGAGCGCCAGTCGGCGGGTGCTGTCATGGGCATCATCTTCCTGCTTCTGATCATCATGGCTATGCTCAGCTTGTTTGTTTGGTTCAGGCAGAGACAGAGAGACAAAGGCCAGGACATGCCTAGCGTCTCATACACACCAGCCCTGCGTGTCACCAACACCGACTACTCCCTCTCTGGTGAGAAACCCCTTTGAGACTAATCATCAAATATTGAATAAGCTGCAATAAACAACTTAAGATGCTTTTTTTGCCAGCTCAGTAATTGACAGTGAAAGCAGCAGTTTCAGCATTGCATTATGGGTAACCTGGTTGCTACCACACTTGTCATACTGTAAGCTGATAACCTTGCTGAAGTATGTTAATCATGTGGAAATACTGCATATCTATTGTCATTTTTTATGCCAGCTGCATAGATGCTAGTTTTATTGATTTGGCTATAAATGGCTCCATCAATTCTGTTAAGTATCATGAATTTCTGTCCATTAAACTGCCCGTGTCTACTTTGTTATTGCAATAACAGGATGGTCATTGTTTGTGTACTTGTAAAATGTGATATGTAGGAGTTTTGAACACTGATGTCTTGCTCTCTACCCTAGAAACATCTCAGAGCAGCAGCAGTGGCCAGTGCTTCTCCAACCCCAGCTACCACACTGTGGCGCAGTGCAACATCTCGTCCTCCATCACTAACAACCTGGACGGCACTCTCACTCTTAAGGTGAGTACATTATGGTCAGGACTCCATATAGGTTTGGTAGTTGAACTATTTTCAAAAACTGAATTTTTTTCAAGAACCATATTAGGCCAATAGTAGCTGCTCTTGTGCTTAAAATAATTCATAAAGAAATGTATGCTACAACATGACTCAGAAACAATAGCAAGCTCTACGTATTCACTTAGTATCTGTAGACTTATTTGTTAAAGGGATTAATTTGCATCAAGAGGAAAGTTGGATATAAAGTTGTACACTTTCAGCTATAATGTCGAGCTTTGACATATACTGTGTGTATATATATATACTGTGTATATATATATATGTGATGCGATCTGGGAAAACCCGTCGGATGTCGCGCTGGTATGTTTTCAGTAAGGTCTAAATATAGATTGAATGTCATTTTTTGTCAAAATTGGGTTTCGAATAATACCTAATCTATGATGATTACTAAAAATATGTGATATGAAAAAAGGCAATAAAAAAGTCGTCCCGCTAGCAGGACGTGACCGTTAATTAAACCTGTTTTTCTCAAAATTCCATTTCTGAAAATCATAGCGATCAGCCAACTTCAAATAACCATAACTTTTGTTACAGACAAACAATAAAAGAAATAAAAACAGATTTGGAAAGGGCTTGAAAGGCCCAGTTTTAATAAGGTCTCAAAACCTGTAATATGTCAAATTTCACTATGTGGTGGGTATATATATATTAATTACTTTTTAAAATATATTGAAACAATTATTTTGAAGCCTTGGACTTGGTTTTAAAATGTGTTGTTTTTCCTAAGACAGTACTTTTTAGGTTATGTAGTCATGGCAGTGAGATACATTTTACATCTTATTTGTTCTTAATGAAACCAAAAAAGGTCAAAAATCATTACATTGCTGAAGTCTATCAGGACAATGGTCTTTCAGAGTGTCTGATGTTTTTTGTCTCTTTTTCCCTTTAGAAAGGAGACAGGAACAGTTCAGAATGGAGAGCGTACTGCAATCTCAACGACCTGGGTCAGTGTACTCACTTAATTTCTTCTCACCCCCTACTCAAACCATCTGTTCCTGTCAGACGAAAGTACTCATGCAATTTGAAATGGATCAGATATATCATTATTTTCTCCACAAAACAAATAAGACATTTGTTCTCCATTTAAGCACCAGAGAATTAAACTACTTACTCATTCCTGGGGGTTGCATGAACACCAGGCAGACGGTGCTTTTGGCACTGGAGTAAGACCTCCTCCTGCTGTGTTTTTAATAAGCCCGTACTTTAGGTGGCACATCCATGTGGTGGAAGGTCAGGCTTTTGCCTATATTATCCAAGGTCACTCGGACTAGGGGGGAGAGAGTTCATTACCTCTCAGACACCCCATCCCAAGCCACCTCACCCCATTATGTCCACCTGCAAGTCTGCTGATAAGGCTTTGGCACAGCACAGCACACAAGGCCTCAGAGACAAGGATGTACGAGGATGGGTATTTCCATCATGTTCTTTTGCAAGCCCATAGAAGAAGGAAGTAAAATAGGGTTTCACCTGGGACATTTCCCTGATTTCTAATCACAGTGCTGAAGAGATTTAACTTGTAGATGACAGTCTTTTTTATAAACGGGAAGTTATTTCAAAGCCTGAGCCAAAAGTTGTTACATTATGATGAAGATGACAAAAGTTTTCTTGGACAGTTTTGCTTTCAAATCAAGTGAAAGTACAAACAGTCCTTTTCTTTGAACAGACTAAACTTTATATAGAGGAAAACTCCATTTGAGCACTCACTGTTACTCTACTGCTGTCATGTCCAAATTAATATTGCAGTGTGGGTTTTGGTGCACTGTTTGAGAATTTCATTTATCGAACTTGACGTCACCTTTAAGGCATGTCTCAGACTCTGGGTAGTCAGCTGAGAAACGTGATGAGTTGTGATGTGATTTGGTTAAAGGTTAACTCCTAGTACTCATAAGAGTGACTAGGTTGGGTATTGTTTAAACGCTTGCTTTTGCTTTTACATGTAGGTGGATGGAAAGACTTTCCTTTCTGTTAGTCATTCCTGGTCCTTCTGTTTTTTTCCTGACTAATTGCAATAACAATCTTTATCATAAAGTCAAATAATTTAACCATACGATAATACTAGGTCTTCCCCTGGGTGCTTATAGAATAGAGTCTCATGTTGGTTGGAAAAAGCTTCAGGAAATGTTTGATTGTCCTAGAAAATGTACTAATATATTTCAATATTTATATGTAGAAAGATGTTATAACATTTCATTTACGGTAAATAGCTTTAATTTAAAACACTGATATTTGATATAAATTTGATAATATACATATACACTATCTTTCAAGAAATTAATCATTAATCAATTTGATATAAAGACTTTTACATTGTTACTTTGATACATTTTTACATTGATATTGATCTTTTAAACTTTCTATTCATCATAGATATGACGGTTTCCACAAAAATATTAAAAAAAGGATTAAGGATGAAACATATAAGTTTGTGAGCTTCAAATCAGCCTATTAGAATGATTTCGGAAGGATCATGTGACACTTAAAACTGGAGTAATGATGCTGAAAACTCAGCTTTGTCATCACAGGAATAAATTATATTTTAAAATATATTAAAAAGGAAAACAGTTATAATAAATATATAAGTAAATGCAGGCTTAATGAGAATATTTCATTCAAAAGGGCATAGCCTATAGCTTTACCATTTCCCATACTGTTTTTAAATCATGATTTACTGAGAATGTGTTCATGTGCTTCATTAGGTGTATCAAGAGGAGACACACTTACACTGAGGGACAGCAAAACCACCCGAATTACCAAAGGTAGTGACTATGTTGGACATTTGCTGATGTAATTTGTGGACACTCACACTACACAGAAGATGTCCTTTTCCATGTTTGTCCCCTTAACAAGGACAACTGCATTCACTTTCTTTTTAAAAATGAAGAATGACTTTCAAAGATTAGTACATTCAGTACTATAGTGATCACACTGGATGTGCATGTGACTCATTCGCAAATGCGTTACATTTTAAATGGTGTAAGAGATTTATAAATACTGTTGTGCCATCACTTCCTTCTTTCTATAAAGCACAACTTAATCACTTCCTCTATATTTCTGGATGATGTACAGTAATACAGCCACCTCTATCTTTTACTCTCTCTACACAAACATTATATGTTAACTGCTGTAACAAGATTTTCCAGTCTAACTTTCATCAGAAAAATTCGCCCTGGGATGCTGTTTCTAAACTGTACATCATGGAAAGTGCTAATTTTGCATCTTTGCCGAGAGATTGTCTTGAACGCAACTTAATTTTCCTATAGCCATTTGTATATGTAATAACATGTATTACATTTTTCTCTCCCTGAGGATGATGTGGTGATTACATTGCAATAAGATATCTTTTAATATCTTTCTGTAATGTGTGTAGATTACATAAAAGCCTCCATGTGTAGCTCCAGCTCGTGCTCCCTAAATAGTGAGAACCCGTACGCCACCATCCGAGACCCGCCCGGCCTGGCCTGCAAGCACGCTGAAAGCAGCTACGTGGAGATGAAGTCTCCTGCACACAGAGACCTGACCTTCTGCTCCAGCACTAGCACAACCCTCACCACTGCCAGCAGGAACGTCTATGACGTGGGTGAGTCTGATCAAAGCAAATGAACACTTACTTCTCTGTTTTATCATTTTTCTCTCTTTAAAGGGATAGTTCACTTTGAAATTAATTTTTGATATGTTTTAGCTTACCTCAAGGGCATCCAAGATGTAGGTGTCTTTGTTTCCACAGTATTTTCAATTTTGATATTTTTAGGTCAAACCATAATGGAGGTCTATGGGGTCCACTTCAAAGAGCATGCACAGAGAAGTCCAAATTAAACATGATTTAATGACTCGTAAATGTAAGTAGACATTGATGGCCTAAGACACGAAACGAGCGGTTTGTGTGAGAAAACGAATAGTATTAATAGCGTTTTTACCTCTTGTAACCACAGCCACAAAGCGCCCGGGCCCTCAGATCACTTGGACGTGGCTGTGGTTACAAGAGGTAAAAACGATATAAATACTGTTCGTTTTCTCACACAAACCGCTCGTTTTGTGTCTTAGGCCATCAGTGTGTATTTACATCTACATGTCATTAAATCATGTTTAATTTGGACTTCTCTGTGCATGCTCTTTGAAGTGGACCCCATATACCTCCATTATAGTTTGACCTAAAAATATACAAATTGAAACTACTGCGGAAATAAAGACACCTACATCTTGGATGCACTTGAGGTAAGCTAAAACATATCCAAAATTAATTTCAAAGTGAACTATCCCTTTAAAGAGCATGATGGATTGTAGGGCGATGGAAGATCGGATAAAAACACAGCAGCTAAACCGTTTAAGGGCTTGTAGGTCAGTAGTAATGCTTTGTAATCTATACTAAACTTAATAGATAACCAGTTCAGAGATGATAAAATTGGTGTCATATGATCATATTTTCTTGACTCCAGCAGCTGCATTTTTGGACTAATGTTTATTGCTTGTTTATTGAGGATCTTTATAATGTAATTTACACCATATGGAAAGCTATGTGTTAAAGATTCAGAGAGAGTTTCAGAAATCGAGCCGCTCACCTCTGGCAACCTTTCCTTCTCAGAACCGACAGTGAGTGTTCTTCAGGGACCCAACGGCCTGGCGACCGGATTCTCCCAGAGTCCTTACGACCTCCCGCGGAACAGCCACATTCCTAGCCACTACGACATCTTGCCCATGCGCCACAGCCCCACACACACCCCACCCCCTCCAGAGAGCCCCCCAAGCTCCCTGCTGTAGAGCCCAGGCCTGCCCCCAAAACACGGGACGCAAGACTGACAGTTCCCAGACCTCGTTTTTTTTTTACAATCTCAACCTCTCTCTCTCTCTCTTCTTATCTCTCTTCCTCTCCAACACACATTCAAGTACAGATGCATGAGTAGATTATACTGGACATGACACAGGTGGAGACCGTATTCCTCTTTCCGTTGAGAAATGGACTGTATACCAGAACAAGAGCTCCAGATTTGGACACCAGCGATTATTCATCACCCCCTCTCAGAGACTTTTTTTTTTTAAAACAAGCTTTACATATAAAATCAGGAAATACAAGGGTAGAAAAGCATTCTTTGCTTATAGGTCTACGAAAAGACATTTGGAGGGAATAAAGGAGCATTTGAGAGGTTTTCATGGAAACATACTCACTATGTTGATTCTTAAAGACACTGGAACAGATAATCAATGCGACTCAATGATCCAGAACTTTTAATTTGGAGTTGGCAGTGGTGGTGACCGTGAGGGGGGCAGACCTCTTTTTCACCCTGGAGCGTTTAGTCTGGACCTTAGAGACAAAAGCATGGTTTAAAATAAGAAATATTAAGAGTTCTTATTGTGTAAAGACGGTTACCGTTATGAGGAAATACCGACCAGGACTTTATAATACTGTACATTCGTCTACCACTCAGAAATATTTATAAAAGTTTATGAGGAGAGCCTGGGGTCAACATGAGCTCTGTGATAATGCTCATTTGTGTAACAACCTGGTGCTTTCTATTGTACATAGACGTTTATGACTGTTGCTATCAGTGTGTACGTCTTAAGAATTGGAATTAAGTTGTGAAGCTATCACGTTTAGTTTTTCTTCTATGTATGTTTACATTTTTAAAACATCTGTTAGCAGACCTTGAAAGGTATTATTTTGTGGTTATGTATTTATGATGTTTATTTATACCTTGTTCGTGCAAGTGATGTTTTTCTTTATGGTGTAAAAGTTAAACATATTTAAAGGGGGGGGGGGTGGAGTAGCATGAAAAAATGATTCCCATAGTGACCAATTATTTTCATGTGCTTGTGCTATTTGTGCACAGTATTAATATATAAAGTCGACATTATATGTTAGCTCTTATGACAAAATAGACTCATACGTGTCCTAAAAACAGTATAAATAGATTTGGAGACATGTCGCTTTCCTTGTGTTTCAGTTTGTTTGGTGATTATAGCTTTGCAGCTTTGATTTGAGTGGCTGCGTAACATCATAATAGCAATAACATAGTGACAATCATTCATAAATAAAAGGGGAAAAAACATTTCATCAAACCAATCATCTCTACAGCTCCGCAGTGTTTCCTCGTGCACTTTTATGAATTGTTCAAGATCGCTCAGTTTATTTAATGTTCTTACTGTTTAATTGCTGGTTTACATGAAAAAAGTCCACATTTTTGTAAGCTGTCAGAAGGTTGATTAATCACGTTGTTCGGCTGTCATATTTTTGTGTACCACTAGACTGTACAATTGACTCTCTCAAGTTAAAGGAATAGTCTAATTTGAAATTAATTGTTGATGTTTTAGCTTACCTCAAGGGCATTCCAAGATGTAGGTGTCTTTGTTTCCACAGTATTTTTGGAAGTTTTACCTTTTACTAAACATATTTAGATATACGGAAATCTCTGTGAATTGACGTTGACGCACGAGAGATAACTTCCGGCGCAACGTCTGGAGACACTGACAGTTCGGTTCAGTTGGACATCTGATTCAGATCAATGGGCTATATGCACGCATAAGTTCCGCATTTGACGTAAGGATGCTCGTCCATTTCCGGTTGTGTAGATTTAAGCGGAGGAGAACCGAGGAAAACGGGATTATGGCAGAGTCTTCAAAATTTACTGTCCTCCCGTCTTTGAAACGAAACGTACACACGTTTAGATGTAATTTTATATATAGTTATATTTATTTAATATAATTTTAAAAAGAAGCATAAACACAACGAGGGGTGTCTGTTTTATCTGTTTTTGTGACTAACGTTTCATTAGTATAACCATGGAGTATAAAATTCAATATAAATTCTCGGTATTGCATTGGACTCTATGATCGGCGGAAGTTATCGAGCATCCCTAATGCTTCACCGGAAATACCGCCGTGCATAGAGCCCATTCGACGGCTGTTAACAAGAGGTAAAAACTATATAAATACTGTTCGTTTTCTCACACATCCCACTCATTTCATGTCTTAGGACATCAGTGTGTACTTACATTCACGAGTCATTAAATCATGTTTAATTTTGACTTCTCTGTGCATGCTTTTTGAGGTGGACCCCCTAAAACTGCATTATATGACTGATAGACAACAACGGTTTGACCAAAAAATGTCAAAATTGAAAATGCTGTGGAAACAAAGACATCAACATCTTGGGTGCCCTTGAGGTAAGCTAAAACATATCAAAAATTAATTTCAAAGTGAACTATCCCTTTAAGGTTAATCTTTAAAACATGAATAGTTTCATGTATTTTTAAGCAAATCTCTAAATGAATAGTTTATATTGTTAATTATACTGTTGTGATGCCAGCTAGATATATTTAGTGTTTTATTTATTTAGACAAAACAGTAGGATTTTGATATCGTTCATTTACCATGAAAATAATAATTTGGTGTGTCTGCACTGAACTTCATGTCACATACTGTATAACTGCTCCCTTTTAAATAAACCAACCACTTTTACTATCTTTAGAAATCAGGACGTTGTGGCCATGCCTTAAGGAACTGAAATAAAATAAAAAAAAAGGAATAAAGTAACTGGGCATAATTAATGAGATAACAAACCTGTTACATGAAAACTAAGCTAAGAAAGGTTAAACAATATGTAAGTAATAGAAAAGCTTTGAATTAACTACATATTTTATTTGCTCTTTTAAATTGGAATTACAGGTGACAGAGTAATAGTATAATCATAACAATACAAAATAAATCACAGTACAGTGCAGACAAAAGAAACAAAAAGAAATAAGGTTCTCGAGGCAATACGTGAAAGATCCGACAGTCAGAAAAGTAATATCTGGGTAATCTTACTAGGACACACCAGCTATGTGCAGTGCATGGGCAGGTCATAGTCGTGCCATCTGTGCCCTCACATCATTGGCACTGGCCCCTGTTAGCACCAGAGACCCCTGCCTCTAGACTAGAGAACAGTCCTACAATCACAATCAGGGTCCTAAAAGAACAGAAACGGACCCTGACGCTTGTATAATCACCAGGTCTTTTCCTCTCGATGGCGATAAGTACTGTGTGTGCTGCTTATAAGATATAGGAGACTCACTAAAAACAGTCAAATGACTAGCATGCAGTAATGTCGGTTCAGTCTGATTCAGTAATTACATTGCAGCCTTTAAGGGCCTTCAATTCCACCTGGAATGTGTTCTGATGGGAATGACCTTAGCAAACTATGTTGCTTTACCTAGTGCTAGGGTAATTAAACTCAAAGGGATCGATGAAGAAAAATAAACCACTGCTGAGGTCTACGGTATTCTCCCACCCCGAGGTCACCCGTTATATAACATGCATTATTAGTTCAGTCTTTCAGTCGGAGTAAATTTTATTAGACAGCCATTAAGCGAAGACGAGCATCACAGCTTGTGGTAGTTTCCTCATCTGCTGGAATCAGGACAAAGACTTTTTTGTAGGCTAAAACACATAATACATTCATAAATGATCACACTGTGTCTCAACGCCATCACTTCGCCACCAAGATTAAAAGGCTAACAACTCGATTCAAGTGACTACCACGGAATAAATACAAGTTACAGGTCTTATGATCATTAACTGTAGTGGCGGGAGATATTTTACATTCAGTGCAATAAAAACAAAGAGAAAGTATCCAGTCTATTCCCTAGAGTGCTCTCATGTGATGCGGCCGTCAGCTGGCCGCTATTCACTGCTGCGTGTTTTTCCTGTTCCGACTTTAACGACAGAGCGTGACCTGCAAAAGTACAATGGGTTTGAGGTTGTGATGTTAAGAGATAACGTTGCGTTTAGGGGAAGTTTTCCCTCTTTTCATTCTGAATAGGTCTGTGGTAGTGTTTCAAAGAGAACTTGTGCCTGTTTGGTAGTTCGGTCCCCTCTTTAGGAAACAATCTGCATTTATGACATCAATTCTTGTTTATTACAAATTGAACTTTTGCTATGCGAAAACAACAACTGAAAGGGCTGGTAACACAAAAAGAAAAAGTCCATAACGGACTACATTACAGTGTGATTCTAGCGCGTGATGAAGGCATCGCCGCACTGGCACGGACAGCTGAGGAGGTGTTGCGTTTTAAGCACATGCATGAAAGCGTCCGTGTAATGTTCCATCAAAAAAAGGCACTAAAACCACTATTCTACCTCGATGCAAATGAATGGCGAAGAGAAAACAGCGCAGTAGCTATGTGCCTTAAGGCCTCTTCCATTGGCCTGATGGTGAAATCAAGAACGTGATGCGGTGCCGCCCCGTGCCGGGACTGTACATGCAATGCGAACCACACTTGGAAGATGGCTGAAAGGTGAAGACTGTGGTCTTTGGGCCCTAATCGTCATCTAACATCTATCAGGTACATCATCTCTATACAATCACAACATTAAATATAGCAAAACCTCCAATACTGCACGTTTCTCCCCTCCACCCCAGAGACAAGGGGGGGCTGCTACTAAAAGACATACATGAGCGAACCTCACACGTTTGCGAATGAAATTATATATTAAGACATTTCAGTGAAGATCGGCACAAATGATTATTAAAATTCGGCAATATAAAAGCCTACCATGGCAGGAAGGAGGGAGGGAAAAAAACAAGCTTAGTCCAGACTGCAGGTGGTGACCCTTTGAGATTCCAGCTTTGGAACCAGCCTCTGTGCTCAAGCCTAGTTGTGCAGCTGCATCTCAGACCCAAAGCAGTCTTGAAGGGGGGAGGGGAGGGGGGTGTTGCAGGTGGGTGGTTGGGGTTTGGGGGGGGTTATGGTACGGGTGCCGCTAGATGCTCTGGCAGCACTGCATCTTTGGTTTATTCTCAGTAGGTTGCACCTGGATGGACACTACATTGTTGCTAGGTGACATGTCATTGTCTCGGCGGTCGGACATCTGCTTTTGGGATACGATCCGATAGATTTCTATGGGACAGAAGAGGATATTGATGTTAAGACACAGTGACAACACGAACTGGCAATGAATGTGGACTTTGTGTTGCCGTAAAAGCCTATAAACCCTACAGTTATTACCGGACACAATTACAGCATTGCAACTGACTGCGATGCCTTTGAAACATTTATTATTTGTTTCTTCTGCAGATGCCAGGAGCAAAACAGAGGAGCAAAAGACCACAGAGACTCTCTATTGCAGTCACGTCAGGCTAGAAAAACCTACCCGACCAAGTCAGGGCTTTTGATGAGTCATTCATAAGGATGTGGCCTTCGGCCAATCATTTACAATCTTCCTTTTTTTTATCATTTTAAACATTTCCTCAAGCCTGTTTAGTGTTTTTCATCACTTGTCATTGTACATAAATAAAAGTTTATCATCCTTAACCTTGTAAACTGATTAGTATCCGCTACGTGTGCTGAAACGCTCTTTTGCAAAGCATACGACTCACCAGTCAGGATGGTCTGAAAAGCAGTCTCTACATTGGTGGAATCCAAAGCTGAAGTCTCTAGGAAGGACAGACCGTTTTTCTCTGCAAACATGGGGAACATAGGCTACATTAACGTTCATGGTAACAAGCTGATAGAGTACACAAAGAAACCGAACAAATGAACACACTCCAGGAGTTAAAGGTCCTCTTTTAAGTCTTTATTGTAGATCTAACCTGCAAATGCACGTGCTTCGTCGGTGGGCACGGCCCGGAGGTGACGCAAGTCGCTTTTATTGCCCACGAGCATGATGACGATATTGCTGTCTGCATGGTCTCGGAGCTCCTTAAGCCAACGCTCCACATTCTCATAGGTCAGGTGCTTGGCGATGTCATACACTAGGAGGGCCCCCACGGCTCCCCGATAATACCTGTACATCAACGCAGGGAAAATGATTCAATCATCCAATTAAGTTTGTCTTCATAATAGTTCATCAGAATATAGAAAATTGCTTCCCCTCTGAAACAGCTTTCATTTTTGACTGACATCATATTTGACTCTACTCAAACTCTTTAAAAAAAGTCAGGTGGATTCGTTCTTCAAACAACAAAAAATCATTCTGAAAGTGATTTCAACAATATCGTTCCTCTGTGCTGTTATCATTTTATCTGTGGTGTGGACTTCCCTAAGATCATTAAAAGCTTATAGAACTGACGGTGCTTGGTGTGAACGAGCTTTTAGACTTTATCAAACAAAACAGATTTGTCCATAAAGGAAAAACACTTACGCCGAAGTGATGGCTCGGTAGCGTTCCTGTCCAGCTGTGTCCCAAATCTGAGCCTTCACCGTCTTTCCATCCACCTGAATGCTCCGTGTAGCGAACTCCACTCCGATGGTGCTTTTGCTCTCAAGGTTGAATTCATTGCGGGTGAAACGAGACAGAAGGTTACTCTTCCCCACACCAGAGTCTCCAATCAGGACCACTTTAAAATAAAAAAACATCATGGTTTATATCTGATAACACCATAACCTAGTTCAGCCAATTTGCAGTTGTGTTTAATGAACAACGGTCTTATGGGTTTGGAAAAACATGAGAGTGAGTAGATGACAATTTTAATTATTGCATGAATTAGCCATTTAGCCAATTGCATGAACTAGGCATTTAAATAGGAGTGTGAAATCAAAGACATCTCGGTCTAAAATAAAATATAGGAACAAACCTCCTCATGTTTGGAAACTATCTAAGCGCTTATGAGTCGACACATTACATAATTTAAAAGTGAAGTGCATTTAAATAAGTTTTAAAAAGTCACAATGTGGGAAACATGACCATTTTTGGTCATTTTTAGCTATTCTAGGCTAATTTGAAGATTTATTTATAACATCGAACATGACTAAACTAGATTAGAGAGGTTGTTGATCACTATGATTCACGTTAGCACGTCGTTTCTTGATGACAACATGGTAAGAAACCTCACAAACTCCGAGAACAATGAATGCATTTCAAAGATGACTGAATAGGGAACAGCTTGTTTTATGGACTTATTATAAAATGATTAAATAAAAAATGTCACGTTATTTCATGCAAAAAAGACAAAAACAACGATAACATAAGCAAAGAGAGGTCGCGTCAGCTGATACCTTGTATTTCCTTAAAAATAACAGTAACTATAAGCTGACACAAAATAATTGTTTTAAGGACAGTCACCCAAAATGTGTTAATGTTGTTCCACCAAAACGATAATATTTTTGTCGGTGGAACACAAAAGGAGACGCAAGGCAGAATGACAGCCTCGTTCATCTTTCACTTTAATTGTAAGGAAAAATATATAATGGAAGCGAACGGTGGTTTAAGTTGCCCCAAATATCTCCTTTTGTCTTCCACCGAAGTCAGTCGGTCATACAGGCTTGGAAAAACATCTGGGAATACAGGCCGTTTCCCATTTCCGCCTGCTCCGTTAAACCCCTCCAGCGACAATATCAGCTAACTTCAGCTAGCCGCTTCAAGGTGTGGTCCGATCTTCGGTAAACTGTGCTTTATGAAGTCAATTAACCAACATCTGTATAGACAGAGTGCGGCGTAACTGAGTAATATAAGACTAAAATGATACTATTCCAGCCGAGGAGCATGAGTTGTTTTGGGCTGTTTGAAGTGAGCTAGCCGGTTAGCTGGCCTTTATGTGTTTAATATAAAACCACACTATCTAACAATAACCACAATGATCAGAGCCGCTTTAACTTACATAGTTGACGCAAATGTTGTATATACTAACCTTTAAACAAGTAGTCATATTCGTCGTCTCGCGTCCCCATTTCGATTAAAACAAAAGCGCAAACAATGGAAGAATGTGAAGCAAAAGTGTAGCCGACCCGTCCCTGTCCTCTCCGCTACTGCACTGCAGTGTATTTGTGATTAGGCAGTAGCCATGCTAACACGTTAGCAAGCAGGCGAACCAGTGAGCGTCCCCTGAAGTGTTCCGGGTTAGGGCCTTTACAAGCTGTCAAAATAAAAGCCCTATGATAATATTTATTTTATATGGCAGTATTTCAGTATGTGGAAATGTATTGTATAGCTTGTTTAATGTATATCTTAATAATCTATAAAACAGCTAAATGTTTGTGGATCGTGCATTGGTGTTTAAAATGCTAATATATGTTAATATGAAACGTGCTTTTGACAAACAGAAAAGCACAGTCGCATGTCGCGGATGTGATATCATTGTGTTCTTAGGAGTTAGTTTTAATTTAGACTTGTGGGTTGTTTAGGTCATACGTTATGGTGATAGCGGTTTTGAAGGAAACAAACGAGCTCATTTTCACAATAATAAGTTATTAAAACTGTAGATTTCCAGTATGCGACAGGGCGGTTCCATGGTGTAATGGTTAGCACTCTGGACTCTGAATCCAGCGATCCGAGTTCAAATCTCGGTGGAACCTGTGTTTTTACATTCCAGAAATTAGTTTTCCCGATTATAGTTAACCCTTGTGCGTTCTAATGGACAGTTTTGTTTTTCGATCACTGTGCCTGCGTTAATGCTAACTGTATAAAATTTGGAATTTATTTTACTATTTCACCACCATTTCCCTTTAAAAAAAAACTCAATTTTGCACTAGGTAGGTAGCCTACAAAAAATGTCCCCATTGAAACCTATGTAAACTGCCGTTTTTAATCCCATGGCCATTTAACTATAAAATAATGCAATCTTTGTTAAGAGGCTTTCAGTCTGTTTGCAATGCTTCAAATAAACTATTACGATTTTTTACCAGATGGTACAATTTTTCAGGTTTGGCATAAAGCAAATAATCGCTTTATTTCTGAGTTCTGCTTCTGCATAGAGCCAATTGCTGGCATCCAATGGGGAAAATCTGGTACTGGGTCCAAACAAAATCTTACCGAAAAATGAGCATTTTTTTGAGGTATCAACCTCAAATTTTGAAAACGACTTAATTAGATTAATGGCATTGATTATCTAGCTGTTTTAGAGTTCAACATGTTTCATAAAATATATATTTTATATAAAATAATGTTCATAAATAATTTTCCTAAACTTAAACCTGTATAACTTTTTGGGGATTGACTTATTAATTCTTTAAATTTTGACTTCAGCAATAATCGTTTTTAAAATGAGACCAAACATAACTCTGTGCTCCCAAGCTTCACATGTTTATGACAGTTTTTTGACAGACAGTTTTGTCCTCTATGGACCTATGTGTAACTTTTTAATTGATGCACAACATGAGCATGAAAAGACCTGTTCTAAAATCATGACTCAAAGGCCAATAGGCTAAGTAGCTCAAACACTGTGATAAATTTCTATAACGGATTTCGCTACTTTTTTTATTCTTTTTTTTTACACACAAGATTACAAGATTTCCAAGATAAAAAAATGAAAGGTGTAAAGAGGTTTTACTTGTCTAAAGTAAAAGCATTCTGCTAAGCGTCTCACAATATTCATAAAAAAATAATAATTCCCTACGACCACTAGGGTGCAGTGTTGTGCATATCTTCAGTCACACAGAAACACTAAAATGGTTGAAATGTATTGAACACGTGATTGTAAGGAGTTGTGCTGTTGCAGTCCCCCGGTTGCAGTGGGGATGGGAATTGGGAAAGTCCCCATAATTCACACTGACTCAAAATAAAATTAAGTTTGAACAGAGATTTCATATCATATTACCTGTATGTAGGCTACATATGTCATTCATATTGAGTGGATAGTTTGAAAATGACAAAACATTTTAAACACAGTCTGAACCTTTTGACGCCGCCAAATCATTCTGTAGTTATGTCACATTCATAACTGGTTACACAATCATAGCAACCAAACCTGTGACTCATAATAGACAACCATATGCATTTCCTGGCAATGCTTTACCACACATGTTTTTAATGCCAATTTCAGTTCTATTTAGCTAGCCAGCCCTTTGCTCATACTCTGTTGAATAGCCTACAGATTCATTTATTATTTTTATTTTAGTTTTCCGATCAAATGCTCTTTGAAAACACAAAAAGTTTGACTGGCGTTATGATTATGAGAATGTTTTGTACTTAGATGACTATCCCAGCAAAGTATATTTACTTAATTTTTCATATTACATCACCCAGACTCATATTGTAGGACTTTATCTAGAAGCTCTGTGGAATCTCAGGACTGTAATCAGCATTGCTGATGTATGTTCTGTAAGTCTGACAGTAATGTTACTGGTTGTTGACTCAACTTTGAAAAGAATCATCTGTTGGACAAGTTGGGGGGTTTCCTTCACTGCAAAACTTTATGGTATTTTCCTCTTAGAAATTTCTTAGTTGTAAATAAATAACAAATAAAGAAATAAATTGTATTCTAGATATATATTATATAGACCTATTAGAAGAATCAAAATGTTTTATGTAGAATTAACTTTTACAGTTCGAAAGTACCTACTGTTTTTGCAAGTCGATGATGTTTTACCCATTGCATAAAACGACTTGACGCCTGAAATGGAAACTACAGATATTTCTTAGTTCACTGGTCAAAATAGTATTAAAATCGTACTTGTTCTATGAATTAAATATTGGGAAAATACATTTTGAGTGCTAAAGGTACAGCCCAATAGAGTGCTGACGTTATGACTTTGTAGGCCAAATTAAAACACAATGACTTGGTTGCAATGAATAGGATCCACTGAAGAGATTGATGTGCAACTTTGCAATCAAAACCCTTGCAAATCCAAGAAAATGCTTTTAAAATAGCTGTCCACTGTAATGACCACTATGCCTGGTCAACCTTCTTTAGAATCCTCAGAGTCTTAAAATGCTTACATTTTTTTTGCAAAAGTATTTCAAAGTAGGCCTACTTACTTGTCTGATTTTCCATGCATTTAACCAAACAATGTCTTAGGCAATTTAAATTCACATTTCAAGTTTGGGTTTATTAGTTATTCCAGTCAAACCCAAGCACACAGTGAAACAATAACATTACTTCGGCTCCTCAGGGAAATTATAGACACACTGAGGTAGACACAAACAGAATACATATATGCAACACATAAACCAATTTTATGCTATGTATGGTAGAATTAAAAGTAAGTCATCTACATTTTTGTACTTTTTTTACCGCTTACATAAAGCCCTGACATATCGATGGCGGGCTAGAGTGCTAACATGAGTGGGCTGTGTATAAATTCTGTTTCAGACTAACACAATGTGCAGCCTAATAAACATAATTGCTACATATAAATGAAGAACCCTGGAGAGTCCTGTTGAAATGCACCGCATATTGAATGTCAATGGATCTTTTGCATGGCAGATCCCTGTGGACATCAACAAACTCTGTGGTACATGTAGTTGGAGACCAGTGTTGGGTGTAATTAATTACAAAGTAATCTAATTATTGTAATTTAATTACTTTTCCCTTTGTTACTTCTGGTAGATCTATATAAAACAACAGTGGATTTAACATCAAAATATATTTAATATTAAAATGTATGTTTAATGCAACCTCCTTTACACACTTTGGTCAGTTTAAGAATAATTTATGCAAATTGTTTATTTAAAAGAATTCAAACATGTATGCCCTTGTATTGTTACTGGTCAAGATATCCAATAAGTAATCCAATACTTTTTATTACAGTAATCTAATTACAAAGTTCAATATTTAATTAGTAATTAATTGATTTATTTAGAGTAACTTAAAGGTGCTAATATGTATTTTTTAGTGGCCTCTATGTTTGAGACTGCAACCAAAACAAGAGCATGGTACTCAGCTACACTGAGACTTTCAACACACCGGAGAAAGCATCACATGACATGTTGGACACTCATGTAAACTCCCACTAATGTTACAATAATTGGTTACTTTTATCAGCTTGACGTTAAACTAATGCTCCATGCTCGTCGTACCATGATCATGTTACATTTGGTGTATCTTTCACAGCAATGTCAACTTATATGAATGTAGCTATAATATGATAACGGAAACGGTTAGTAAACTAGACAATTTTAGTGTAACAGTAAGATCGTAGGAAGTAACTTTACTGTACTGAACGTGTCTGGACATGAATATGATAGTAGTGGGATGAGTGTCTTTTATGTTAATTTCATGTCTCATATGTTGTAGTTTACCTTACTATTTCATTAGTTTACCATTGTTTCTGCATATCTGAAAACTTGTAATTTATCACAATAAAAATAGCGGAGGTCTCTCCATTATTAAAACGCTCTGCCGATGTTGATCCGTGTTTTTGCAAGTCGATACGATTCACGTTTGGCCTGACGAGCTTTAGCAGATTCATTTTTGCTTTTTGTATTTATGTGGAGTTCGTGTTGCAGTGCCATCGCATAGACTGTATATAAAAAGGAGAGCGGCTCGGGAGCTGCATGGCAAATGATTAAGCCAGCCCGATCTCATGAAAGTTCGTATCTATGGCACGAATGTCATTTCTCGTGGCATTTATACGCCAAAAACAGTTTTTGCGTGTATATGGCACGCGATTTTCGCGTACATATGACACGCACTTTTTTGCGTATAATACGCACGAACTCCCCACCCCCCTCCCCCCTAAACCTAACCCAGGGTTTTTTAGTGCGTACCATATAGACGAAAAAAACACTTTTGGCGCATAAATGCCACGAGAAATGACACTCGTGGTATAGATACGCATGCAGTGATTAAGCTCAGCTCTAGATTTGACTTCAGACAATACAACTGAAAACTACTCTGTGAAGGCTGTTAGAAAGCAAAAATATTCCACTCCACAGCAGACTGAAGTTTATAAGGCAGGCAAAGAAATGACTTGTTTTTGTTTTTTTAATCAAAATGACAAGCTATATAACAAAAAAAATATATTCTAAGAACATTTTGCCAGTTACATTCCCAATATGAAAATGTTCTGAATGTTTCCATGTACGTGTTCAAAACGACTCTTTTTGTAATGTTTGTTTATCTTGGTTATGTGAACGTACAGGGAATATTCCATTCCGTTCATGTTCTCTGAAGAAGTTCATCCAACATCCAACTAAAATATGTTTGGAACGTCCATGAATGATGTAGCTATACGTTTTTGTGCTAATGTTTTAACATTTTTTAGAGACCAGATAACTTTGAACAAGCTAACATTAAACAACATTTGTTCATTACTATGAGATAACCTTGCCAGAACATATGAGCCAAAGTTTTGAGAACATTTCCTGTTAGCTGCATATAAGTTGATGTCTCTAGTCCTGCCATTTGGGTGGCCAGCATGTGCATTTGGAACCACTATTACACACACAAGGGGCTGGTGGATGTCCTAATCCTTCTGATGTTTATGGGTTTGCACAGCCAGCTGGGTGGCCAGTCGGCATCCACTAAAACTGCTTTATTAAATCACTTATCTGGGTTTAAGAAGTGTTGGTCTGGGTGTCTTCTTGATGAAGAAAGCTGAAGCACTTTGAAGACTGTCCTTCAGTAGTTCCTGCACCTTTTGACCTCTGAGCTTTCTAAACAAACATTCTCCCACCCCCACACATGTTTTCTAAAGTAGAATCGCATATGTCCAAATAGTTTTTCCAAGTTCACCTCTTAAAAAGTCTCTCAATTTTTTGTCAGTGGTTATTTGCCATATTGTCCACAGATCCTGCTATTTTAGGGGATTCATTGCAGCAAGACATCTTATGCTACTTTCAGTTAAGAAGACACATTTTTGAACAAGCTGAGTTAGTTGAGGTTACTGACCACCTACAATGGCATGGAATATCTGAGTCAGAGGCACATTTTGTTGGCAGTCACACCATTAAAAATCTCTCTCTGTCTTGTTAAGGCTGCATCACCTTTTTCAAAACCAGTGTAGGACCACGTTTTGCAAACAAACTTAGTGAGCCCCTCAGGGCCTATAGAACAGCTGTACTCCCATAAACTGAACCATTCATAAGGTGATATGTCCTCTCGCAATAACTAATGGCAATTATAATAGTACAAAATGGAATAAAATACATTGACTACTTGACATATTATGGAAATGCAACAATGGTCAATCGATATGGGTTTTTAATGGGACCAGTATAAAGAGCAGGGTGGCTGATAAAATTGTAATAGTTGGGCCCAAATATCACTAAGAGTAAAAATGTACTAGGCTAGTACAGCTAGTACTAGTAGGCTAATATTTTCAAATGTACTAATGTACTAGTAGGCTAATATTTTCAGCTGAACAATAAAAAAAAATTAATATATATATATATAAATTGTTAGGCTACTTGAAATAAAATAAATGTTAACTGAACTAAACTAAGCTAAACTGAAATAATAATCAATAAAATCAATAGCTAGGGTAACAAAAATGACAAAATCATTTAAATTTAACCAAAATAATTCAAATGAAAATGGAAAACATAAATTGAAAAGTAATAAAGAGTATAATAGTATATAGGCAATGGCCTATCTCAGTGATGCTAAAATAGTACCACTGCGTCTGTTAATTGGCCAAATATGCCGAGTCTGTGTAGTCACTATCTCTCACCATAGAGTCTCTCACACTTAAAACTGTGTTATTTTATCACTGTATCTTTAAATCTTGCAACCAAGTCCAACACTTTTAAACACATTCTGTCGATAACATTCAGCACCACAGGCTTTATATGGACTACCTGTCGGGACGCCCCCATTAAACCACAGACAGTCCCCGGAATGCTCAAATGACGTCACGGGTGCTGGCAGTCACGTGCCCCGTTGGCAGGTTTTGATAAGCGCTTGCGCGAGTCTCGAGCTGAGCGCATCTCTGAAAACGTATAGAGAAGATGAGGCACAACCCTCCCAGAGGGATTGTTTATACGTGATGGAGGAATAACTCATTTGTTTGATGAAAATGAATGGAAATACACAACTCCCTTCTTCCGTTCTGTGATTATTAATCAGAATAACGGCGCGTGCTTCAATGAGCGTGTCTTCTGAATCGTCGTCCTACTGAAACAGTGAGTGTGTGCTATGCTCATTTCTATTTAATGGTTACGGACATTTGTTTCTTTTAAAAATGTTAAGCGTCAATGGGTGATAAAACGATACATTTGAGGAATTTTAAAGCAATATATTGTATAAACATGTAAGACTGACCGGAGATGGAGTGGCACCTGTCATCACACGTCGATAATTGTGCGCTTGTTTTGATTCTGATCGTGTATTTACACACCATGTGATGGTAGTCATCACATAACACCATTTTCTGGTAAATCTAGAAACGTGTCTGTTATTATAATTCAGATGTGTCTGATTTAAATGCCATGGCCCTTATGATTTATGAATTATTGTAAGGCTGACCAAGCCCAGCTGTCTGGATGCAGTATCATCTCCATATATTTATTTCACCATGTTCTCATGTTTGTTTATTAGTTAAGCTAAACGTGCAATGTTCTAGTTTTACTTGCACCTAAAATGTATCTAAAATTCAAAAGAGGATCTGTTTTTCCTGCAGGGACATAACCACAATAGGCATTATAGGAAATGTGTGCTACTGCTATTCATAATTAGATGATATATATGCTCAAATATCAGAGTTACAAAGAGATTCATGCATTTTGTCTGGTGAGATCATGTAATGTTGAGCAAACCATGACAAATTTGCAAAGGTATTTCAGAGGTTGCTCGAAGCATCCATCATCTACTTTGGAGATTTAGCTTTGATCCTGGATTTAGAGTCGGTAGTGATTTATATCTGGATTCAGAGAAATTTCATGAGCTTGTCCTGATGTTGAAGTGTGATATTTGCCTGTATATCCTTTGCATTTCACGTCACTGTAATTGCATATTTTGTAATTAATAACAGTCTTTGCTAGACCAACTTTAATGTATTTTAGCAATGTTCTTTAATTTCAATTGGGTGTTCCTTTTATAATGCATCATGATATTACAGTAATTGTATGTTGAGACATTTTGACTAATACAATTCTTGTTTGGTTTTATTTTCTTATCCACTTTGGAAAGCAGGATTTGTTTCAAAACTTTAGCTGTTTCAAGTTTGTCAAGTTAAACAAATACATTACTTTATAAAAGGTCTTAAAGGGATACTCCACTTTTTTTGGAAATAGGCTTATTTTACCACTCCCCCAGAGTTAAAAAGTTGAGTTTTACCGTTTTCAAATCCATTCAGCCGATCTTCTGATATTTAGAAGAATATCAGTAACCAGACAGTTTCTGGTCTCATTGACTTAGTACAGTAGGGAAAAAATATACTAAGGAAGTCAATGAGACCAGAAACTGTCTGGTTACGGATATTCTTCTAAATGTCAAAAAAATCGGCTGAATACATTCAAAAACAGTAAAACCGTTACAACGGTAGTGGTAAAATGAGCCTATTTCCAAAAAAGTGGAGTATTCCTTTAACACAAATGTTACAGTAAATAGAGTTGGAGAAGAATTACTGCCTGTCCTATACCTTGGTAAAGTCTCCTTGACAAAACATTTCCACATTGAAATAGCTTGCCTGCCTCCTCCTATCCAAAGTATGCAGATGTCTGCTTGTTTCCCGGCATGGTGCAAAGGAATCAAATGTCCGCCCTGTGTCTTAAGCAGGACCAGATGCTCGGCCAAATGTGCTGCAATAGTTCCCCCTTCTTGTGTTTTCCTCCAGGCCTCACTGCTGTCCCAGAGCTGTGCAGTATCTGGAGCCTGTTGGCCCATGGAGCCCTTACTCAGGGCCACAGCCCATAGCTCCAGCACAGCTGGATAAGATCATGCTCATTTTTATGGGCAGACTGTTAAATTGGCTTATCCTGTGGCTTCTACACGCTACAGGTTGCTGAAAGAAGGGCAAGGCGTATCGTGTCAACAGCCGTAAGCATGCAACAGCTCTAGATAAAATTATTGGAAAACTGTGTTTTGTTTGGGACAAGGCTTTTCCCTGATATGATGAGTCATGTAATGCTGCTCTCTGCTGAAGTGGTTTTAAAACATAGTTCAGCCAAAAATGCCATCATCCCTTATTCGTCCTCAAGTTGTTCCACTTCCAAACATGTATCAGTTTCTTTCGTCTGCTGAAGACAAAAGAAGATATTTTAAAGAATGTTAACCAGACAGTTGGCGGTAGCCATTGACTTCCATAGTAGGAAAACAAAATACTATGGAAGTCAATGGCTACCGTCAACTGTCTGGTTAACATTCTTTAAAATATCTTCTTTTGTGTTCAGCAGACGAAAGAAACACACAGGTTTGGGAAAACTAAAGGGAGAGTAGGCTAAATGGTGACAATTTTTGAGTGTACTATTCCTTTAATGCCATGAGCAAAGGTGTCAAATTAATTTTAGGTCAGGATTGGGCAAAACATCACTGTGAGATTTTTATTTTTATTTTTAATATTATGTATTATTATAATATTAGGTAATTCTATTTTAAAATTAAATATATAAAATATTATTGCATATTTTTATGAAGTTTTTTAAAATGCTGCTTTAATTACAATAGATATTCGGATTTTATCTGAAAAGTGAGCAGTCGAAAAATAAATGGACATAAATGTTGTTTATCATTTGATAAATAATGCATTTATAATTTTTAAATAAGTAATTTTAGTTTATTTGTTGTGCACATTTTTTTATGTCTGGATATTATGTAAAGTAATAATATATATATATATATTTTTAATGGACCAGTACTTTGTGTGCAAATCCAAGATCACATCATGCATCCACTCACAACCTCTTACAACTTACAGATTTATGTCCATTATGTGAGGCTGTTTTCCTATTCGGAGGTATCATTCTGTTGCGTTGTGCTTTCTGTGCTGTGTTTACTGGTCTGGAACTTGTCCAGTCATTTAAACTGGAAAAGGGAACCATCGATCTCTTACTCCAATTCTTCGGAATGATGAGTATGAAGTTGGTGAAGGAGTTCCTTATTTGTATGGCTCAGACACGCAGTGTAATTTTCTTTCACGACTTGTCCATGAATTTCCTCTGCGTAGGACGCATTCGGGTATCTCTGATGTAAGAGCCATTTCCAACGCACTTCCGGGCGTTTTTGAGTCTCTCTTTTTGACGTTACCATGGTGTTTCTCAATATGGGAGCGACTTCCTACGAGTTGTCTGAAAAGTGTTGAGTCAGTGCAAGAGTGTCTATAATTGCATCACATAACGATGAAATGTGCCTCAGGGCTTTCCAGTGTACAGCGTGCCTGACTTTAATATTATAACTGTATAATTCTCTGCAATTTGCCTGGAATTTAGCTCTAACTTGTCAATTTAAGCTTGCCTTTCTTTTCCTCCCCAGCAGTTGTTATTTAACTGTTGACGTGTGATTGTGAGGTCCTCATTATTGCATCATTATCTAGCTTTCTGCTCATCTCTGACTCTTTTTTTTATTAGTTTTATGTAAGTATTTTCTTTCCCCCTTGCATTTTAAGGAGAATGATAAATATTCACTGGCTTTTCTTCATGGTTGCCATGGTGAGGATTATAATTTCTCTCTTCTGATGGTGGAGAGGGCACAGCCAGCCTCTGCGGATGGCGTGGTTGTTGGACCGAGAGATTATGTCTAAATATAATCCTAAATCTCTCACGTAACATGTGACACATCTGCTATATTTTCTTCTCAATCTGTCTGGAGAACATTACGTGGTATCTATCTTTCTAGAACAACGTGGGTGTGATTAGATCTTGATGTCTTCGATTGTTTATGCAAGTAGTTTGATGGGATTAGGTTTTCTTTGGGTGATGTTGTTGAGCAGAACATGTGAAAACGGCCACAGTCGAGACATCTGGAACAAAGTGTGCATCTTTGTCGTTGCATGTTGTAGAGACTCCTCCTTTAAAGCCAAAAGGTTTATGAGGATGAGAAGGATTAGAGTTTTAAGGCCTCAGCATCTAACTGGGATCATGAAATCTGCCGATGACTTGTTGTCACCATTTCCAAAATGTTTGATTAGAAACAGCAACTTCCCGTTTTACACCGTCAGCATCACCGGTTCCTCAATTGACAAATTTCTTCACTTCAACACTTCGTCACGACAAAACAACTAGTCAGTAGGTCAGTTTCAATTCCTAAGCTCTTAAGCCGTGTCCCGTGACTCTGTTGGCCATTACTGTAAATCACAAAGAAGCCATTTGCTATAAAGCTGCAAGCCATCAAAGACCTTTTAGACGGTGTCTGTCTACTGTAATGATGACTACTATGGTATTTTATTTTTATGGTAGTATGGTAGTACTTGTTCAGGGAAAAATATTACTGCTGTTTACTAATTTCAAAGTAGAGCCAGACCGATATATCGGCAGGCCGATATTATCGGCCGATATTAGGCATTTTCCAAACTATCGGTATCGGCAGTTTTAATGGCCGGTAAATGAATATTTAAAAAATAAAATAAAAACGGACGGAACACGCTTGAACATGAGTGTTGGAGTATAGTTTGTCCACCAGAGGGCACTCTACACGTCCCGAGTTGGTCACAAGACATACATTGCTTGAATAACAATTAAAAGGACACCCCCAACTCAAATAAGCATGAAAAAATTGTGACTATCATTCAGTTTTGCTGCTGTTAAATAAGCCGAGAGTGAAGCGGAATTAGCTAGTAATAATTACGTTACGTTGTTACAGTGTAGTTGACTGACTGTGCTTTTAACTTTTGACAATGTGACTGAAGTATTTCTTTAATAGCGCATGACAGTTATAGCAATGAGATGTGTCATCTCTCCTTGGCCTGTTATATTGAAAATGTTTTACAATTTGCAGTATGACGTTATCCATTGCTAAATTATGGCTCATCATAGAATAGCTAACCACAAAGCTAGCTAATGCCACTATCATCAGTCTGTTCTGTTGTGACAATAAAAGAAACACGTTTCTTTTTAAAATGCATGATCATATTATTTTAGTTAAAACTCATAAATAACTACACATAAATAATGTTAAGGAAATCTGTTAATGTTTTGTTGTATCGGCCGATATATCGGATTTTAAAACCAGCAAATATTTTTATCGGTATCGGCCTTCAAAAGTAATAATACTCTTTTGTAGGTAAAAATAAAAACCTTTCATATGCATACACCGAGAGCATCACACACCTAGATGGTTGAGTTCAAGTTTAGAGATAACTATAGCCTATTTATAAGTGATTTGGCGTTACTGTATGGCCTACCAGTGGGTGCCCTGTTATTTTTGGTACGCTGAAGGCATGTGAGCATCAGTCATGTGTGATCGAGTATGTGTCAACTTGAGTGTTGTAAAAGCCCCAGGCCTCTTCTGGAAGAGAGGGGAATATCAGTGGATTTAGTGTTAGTGATGCTTGAAGTGACAAACTTCACATTGATTCAGTCTTAAGGAATTCCCTTTATTTTCGGAGCTCTTTTCCTTTTTATGTTTTTTTTTCTCCGTTCCTGTGCATTTAATCCACGGGTACAAACTCTGACTCATGCTCAAAAGCATAATAAGGCATATTCTTTTATCCCCGGCAGGAACGGGTAATTGCTTCCGTATGTCTAGTTTATATTTCTCGCAAAGATTGTTACATGAGGTTGTGCTCTGCATCTGTGGATGTGTAATGCTAGTCATATCCTTTTGTAAGCACATAGGGGACTAAATGTAAAAATGTGGTATTTCCTATGAGTGTTTTATAAGTTGCACTGTGCTGTGCTGATTTGGTTTTTAAACCCCTCCCGGTTTGAAAAATGATGTTTTCATTTGTAAGGATATTTGAATCTGAGCACCTGGCATTAACAGTATTATAGTCTGCAGCATGTCACGATTCCCTCACCCTCTTCACGTCGTTGTGTTGTTTTTCCAGCACACATAGTCCTCATTCTATGGGGATGAAAATGGAGGAGAAAAGCCTTCGTGTAGCAGACTACTTTGTTGTGGCAGGACTCACCGACTCCTCTAAGCCTCTTGATGAATATGTCCACCCGGAAGATGGTGGTCACCGGAGCTCAGCACAGCTCAAGGCACCCATCACTGATGTGACGGTGGTGATTCGCTCACTAGGTGAAGAGGTACCTCGAGGCTTTACCTGTGTGGAATGCTCCCCCTCTGGACTCTCTGCCGAACTGAATGGAGGAAGTCTCATGGGGCCGCAGATCTTCCTCTGCTACAGGAGAGGCAGAGACAAACCGCCACTCACAGACCTGGGGTAAGGCTTTAGACTTCAGACATGTTTGTACCAAAACCTACTTCAGGTCATTCACACCAAGAATGATAACTGTAAAGATAACTATAATGAATGAACTATATTAATGCCCACAACAAAGCACAAGAACATTCTGTGTATTATAAGTGCATTGCAGTTATATTGTCTGTCGCTTTAAATACTCAAGCTCCTTAAATTCATGTGGATTCTGATTGGCTTTTAATGTTTTGACTTGCTTTTTAAATTGTATTATATTGTTGTCTGAGGTCAACTTTTGACATTCGCTTGGTTTTTGCATTCAAAAACATCAAAATGAATAAGTAATAGGCTATTTTGTACCCTAGTTTTGAGCCTAGCTGAAAAACACTCATTTTTTTTATGGGCGTCTCGCATTGAAGACTTGGAAGTAAACGTCCACTGCTGTGAGTGGATAACAGTTTCAACTCACCAATGTTGTAAAATGTTGAATGATTCGCCCATACATGTTCGACCCAGAGTCCGTGTGTTGCACAATTCCTGTCAGATCCAATATAGACGGCACAGCACCGTTCTTTAATCTTAATTGGTCTGCAAATCCAGTCTTGTTTACAAAACAATCCTCAGTGAAACGAAGCGAACAGACGGACAATGTTTTACCTCATCAGTAGGCACTGCACAATATTTTGTATTGCGCGGTAGCTCGATCCGGTTTGTCATCACCAGGTAGGCATCTATGTTATTTAGATATGCGTGTAATACGCGAATCGGTGGGCGGGGCTAAACTGGCCGTGTTGAAATAGGCGTTGATCTTCTTCTGAAGGAGTGGTGTTTTATCCTCTTTGACGTCATAGTTGCCCACTTTGAAAAACAAGTCGTCTGCTGAGGCTGGTGTCAATATAAGCTTTTATTGGACCAACAAGGACATTTTCAGTTCTGAAACTTACAGGATATTCTTATAATATGATGACCTCTTAGATGTCAAAATTTGATTTCTCAGTTCATCACCCCTTTAATGTTTTTACTGTTTTAAACAGTAGTTAACCAGCTTTTCTTCTCTTAGTTGCGCCAAAAAGATTGTAGACAACGTTATTTCCTATACCCAATTATTTTCAATACTAGAAAGTATCATGAAAAAAGCAAAATATTTGTGCTTATTTTTGCTAAACATCATGTAGTTATCTTAGCAACATGCTAACACTCAATACTATTGGAATCAACTGTAGGTGAGTTGTGTCTCTTATGCTACTTTAAATGGCTTTTAACTGAGCTGCTCCCTATGTAGGGAGTTTGAAATCACTCATTTATGGAGTACCATTTATGACGCTGTCTTTTAAGGTAGCTACAAAAATAGGCAGTAGTAGACTGTGGGCCAGCTCAGTTGGTTTTGGAAACTGTTGTGCTTTCACTTTTGTTCAATATCACTAGGCATTCTAGGCATTCACTATCCTCATGTCCTTTCTTTCATGATTCTTAGCGTCCTTTATGAGTGGAAGGAGAAATTGAAGCCGGACTGTCAAATAATACAGACCACGCCCTCTGGCCGCCCCGCCAATATCAGTAGCTCCTCTTCTCAAAGGATCTACATCACATATCGGCGTGCCTCTGAAAATCACTCTAACTCCACACTGGCTGTCACAGACATCTGTGTCATTATTCCTGGCAAGGGAGAGACACCACCACATGCTTTCTGCAAAGTGGACAAGAACCTCAACAGCAGTATGGTGAGGGCTCAGTGCAACAGTCACCTGACACCACTGAATAGATGGTGGTGGAAACCATCACCATATATATATATATATATATATGCTCTAGTAATTCATAATTATATAAAATATAGTTGAAATAAAATATAAAATAAATGTATATTTTTTTATATATAAAATATAGTTGACCTACTTTGAGATAAAAAAAAAATCTAAATTATGACTTTAAAAGTAAAAATAAATTCATAATTTGAACTTTTTAATCTTTTAATTTCGATTTAGTATGCTACATTTCTATTTAGTATGTCATAATTTCAACAAAATTTGGACTTTTTAACCTTAAAATTAGATTTAAGTTTTCTACTTGCATCATTTCTACTTTTCATCTCATAGTTACTGAACTGAAATTATTCGTATTACATAATGTATGCAATGTTGTGACGCCTAAATTTACTTATAAAACAAGTAAATTCAATTAAATTAAATTCAGTCATTGCAACAATCAATTTAAAACAATTAATTTTAGTTTTGTTTTGTATTTTTAGGTTTGACCCTATAATTTTAATAGAGGGCATAACATGGGCAATATAGGACATTACATTGCTATAACATAACTATTATTATTGGCTTGTCAATATCGGCCAGAATTTTAACCTTGGTGCATCTTGTGAAAAAAAAAATGTATTTGGGTAGAAATTACGAGAAATAACATCAGACCGCAAGAAGCAGCCGTTTGTATACCTGTATAAAATTTGAAATCAACTTAATTTCTATTTTTCCTGCTTCTACAGTGGGGATCCTCTGTGTACATGTGCTACAAAAAATCTTTGGCCAAAACCAACACACTTGCATTCACAGCAGGTACTGTATCTCAGTCTTGAGATGATTTTCACAGTTGTGTGTTTTGTTGTGCATTTTCCAATGAGCAGCAGGAGGGACAGGATGCGTTTATAGTGAAGACCATCAGAACAGAGGGATACTATTGCGGATGAGTGAAACCTGATACTCCCTTAAGTAGCAAGAACAACATGATGTCATTGTTAGGCTTAGTACTCACAGTATACAGTTCTAGGCTTTAGCTGCTGCCTGTGTTTAGCTTGTCATATAAAAGTCTGGGTCAAGTAATTAATTACAGGGCAAACGATTCAGTGATCAGTAATAATTGTTGTCTTTACCAGAGCTCTACAACCTAATTGAGGGTTTGTATGGTATGTACAGGTCTTTTGTCCAGATATCCAGAGGAGGACTACGATTCCTTTCCTTTGCCCGAATCCGTGCCCCTATTTTGCCTACCGATGGGAGTGTCCATTGAGTGCTGGCCCTCTCATACCAAATACTCTCTTCCCGTCTTTTCAACATTCGTTCTCACAGGCGCCTCTGGAGAAAAGGTACGGGCACAAAAATCCACGCACGAACACACACAAATGCACACTGACATTCAGATTTTCGGCAGGTTTTCTTCTCACTGCAGCACCATCATTCTTTGGGAAAATCAGACACAGTAGAAGGTGAATTGTCTTGTCTGCTTTAGCAATGTGCAAAGAATTTAAAGCAGCTAGAAACCGGCACAGGTGGAATATCAAAAGTGCCTGTGAATAATGGGCCTCAGAAAAGAATTGAAAATAAGATGAACATGTGTAATTGGCCTGTTTAATAATGCATTGCTAAAGTGCTGTTTGGGTCAGCTCAATTATGTCAAACACATCAGTACACTCCGCTCACTCTCCTCACTGCTGAATAAGTCTCAAGGCTATTTGTGCTGCAGTATCGTATAATTTATTCATTTAGGTGAGCGACTTCAAAGAAACATTGCTAAGCTAAGATATTCCTGAACTGAAAGGCTGCAAAAATAAATCTTTTGTATCACTTTTTCACTGGGTAGATCTGAGAAAAGCAGATATTGATGGTGATTCCTTTCAAGTAGGCTAAAATAGGCTAAAATCAAGACAGCTTTTTCTTTTTGTTTTGTTTTATGAAACTGTAAACCAACCCAATTCCTAGAAGTTATGTCTCATGACGGTGTATATCTTGTGCTCTCAGGTTTATGGTGCCGCCATACAGTTTTATGAGCCCTATCCAGAAGAGCGTTTGACTGAGAAGCAGCGATCTCAGCTCGGCCTGCAGGCTAACGGACTCAGGCCCGATGGATCCATGACTGTCCACACCAACAAAAGCATCTGCCTTCTCTCTCACTGGCCCTTTTTTGATGCTTTCCGTAACTTCCTGACCTTCCTCTACAGATACTCCATCTCAGGTCCACACACTCTTCCCATTGAGAAGTGAGTTCGGAGGACAATTTTGGAGGTTGCTGGGCTAGAGCTGAAATTTAAATATCCAAAAAACATTTTGCAGCCACTATATAGTAATTTGTTTTATATCTCCTGATTTTTCTCTCAGGCATATTTCCCATTTCATGCACAAGGTTCCTTTTCCTTCCTCTCAAAGGCCACGGATCCTGGTGCAGGTGAGTTTTGTTCATATCGTGTCTTTGTTTGAGCACTGTCCTTCTTGAATGTGTCAAAACAAATGACATTATGTGGTCAAATAGCTGCTAACCCTGGCCCTCATCTCACTTGTTTGTGTGCTTGTTTTTCACAGCTGTCTCCACATGATAGCCTGATGCTGAGCCAGCCTGTTTCCTCTCCGCTCCCTCTGAGGTAAGTCAGACACAAGATACACTTAGGGTGACCACCCATCCCGCTTTGCCGTGTATTGCATGGAATTTCCCCCCCTTGTCCCGCACGTCACATATTGAGGAAATGTCCCGCCTTTTTAAGAAAGCATTTTACTTATTACTTTTGCTGCGTAGTTTTCAGCGCTTCGTCATAAGTACAAATACAACAGCTGTGTTTTATATAATATCCAATGGTTGAAAAGAAAGGAGTAAACACGGCAATTTGTAGGTTGTGACGGCTTGTCAATCAAAATGTGGACTGGTGATTCGTTTCATATGCTCCCTGTCGGAAAACAAATGGATAATTCGGTAAATTAACATTTTAATTAAACAGAATTTATCTGTTGTTGTTTAACCTGGTGTGGTTGTTTTAAATCACACCCTTTCTAAAAATATGAAAGTTTTTGGTTTGGATTTTTAAAATATTCTTTATATATAATCTAATTTCATGGTGTTTTATATTTTATTTGTTTACTGTTAATTTTGTTGGATTTTTGTGACTTGGTCAGAACTGTTTCTAAAATATTTATATACATGATTCCTGTGGAAGATTTTTTTCTGGAAGGGTCTAAAGAACCAATCATTTTTATCAGCTGAAAGGCATAATATAAATGTTTTTATCAAGTTAGATAGACATTATATAACAGTTTCAGGGTATGTTTTAGTGTTGGTAACGTGTCCCACATTGTCCCACACAAACTTATAATTGTCCCACATTTGGTTTGTTTGATGGTGGTCACCCTAGATACACTGAACATGTCTGATGAATGCTGAGCAAAGCACGAAGTGTGGAAATTATATTTTAGCAGGACCTGGTTAAGTGTGGTAACTTTATAGCATGTTTAATGTGATTGGAGACTTCTAATGCAATATTTCGCAGTCAGGTTTGCAGATCATATTACACATTCTGCAGAAACATTCTACTCATTTAAACAAAAAAATTATCGGTACTTTCCTGTTACCCGGACCCCACCATATACCATTCCGGAACTATAGTCATCCCTGATTGGTCTTAACCCCAGTGACGGGTAGGTTTAGGGGCGGGGTTAGGGGTAGGCCATCGTGGGGTCCGGATAACAGGACAGTACCAAATTATCTTTAATCATTTCAAACAATTTAACTTGAAGGGTAAAGAATGATTCATGTAGATTAAAAAGTATTTATCTAAATCACTGTGGCAGGATCAGCTCAAGTTCTATAGCAGTTTGTAAGGATGTTGCATTTTTCCATTGTTTGTTGAAACAATATAACATTTTGGTTTGGTTTATTTTTACGTTTATGCATTTAGCAAATGCTTTTATCCAAAGCAACTCACAAAAGAGAAACAACGCGAATTAGTCAAAGATCCAACAATATTCATAATGTACAATGCCAGAGATTGATCAGGAAGCACCCAGCAAACAAATTTAGGTTCTGGGAATGTTCTGGGAACATTAGTTTTTGGTTCCCAGAACGTTCCTAGAACTTTCCCTTAAGGATAGTATAACTCTCATGGGACCATTCGGGAACATTAGGGGAACGTTCTGTGTTTGCTGGGCAGATTAAGTGTTTTTTTGTTTTGTTTTGTACTGTATGTGTTGTTTACATGCCTGTTTTTGCCCACAGTGGCGGAAGGCTCTCCACACTACTGTTGAACCTCGGCCCGAAGAATGCAGTGACCCTGCTTGTGTTAGCTGTGACTGAACACAAGATCCTGGTGCACTCCTTACGTCCGGCCGTTCTTACCAGCGTCACCGAGGCCCTGGTATCGGTGAGTGGAAGACTATTGATTTTCACTCATGCCTTTACCAATCCTGCATGGTTTTGTCTTGCCGTAACTTGTTTTACCTGTCCGACAGATGATTTTTCCCTTCCACTGGCCATGTCCATACATTCCTCTCTGCCCGCTGGCCCTGGCAGATGTGCTCAGTGCTCCATGTCCTTTCATCGTAGGGGTGGATTCGCGGTACTTTGACCTCTATGAGCCACCGACGGACATAAGCTGTGTGGATCTGGACACCAACACTATAACTCAGTGAGTGACCTTTTGACCGCGACATAGTTCTGAATTCCTGTGAGAGCCTCTCCTCACCTTTGACCGTTGACTTTTTTTACCACATAAATTCACCAAATAATATATAATAATGATCTTTATCATTATGCAGATGGTTAAAAGGATAGTAATATATAAGCCGTGAGGAATGTAAAGATAGGACCTTACCATGTGTTGAACAAATGTGTTGTTTGTCTGTCAGTAAGTTTGCAAACGCTGTAAAAGCTACATTAAAACATTAAGGAGCCCACAGTTCTGTTGTTCACATGCTTGAACTTGTTTTTCCCTTTCTTAAATGATAAACACGTGTGGCCTATTTCAGAAAAGAAGAGCGCAGATCCCTGACCTGGAAGATCCTGCCAAGAAAAGCCTGTAAACATTTGATCAACACCCTCAGCAATCTCCACCAGCAACTGGATGAGGGTTAGTGAGGGCGGGTCACTGTGCTGTCAACAGAGAAATGAGTTCACTTAATTCTGTCCCTTTCAAGGCAATATTAGTTCACTTGACTGCACGGCAAATGCCATTCTAAGTGGCATTCAGCTCTCATTTTTGGCCTCTGACAGTATCATTTATATTACCTTACAATATTTTACGAATGCTTGACAGAGTCAGAGCAAAATGCAGTCATCCTTGAGATGTGATGAGATTTAGAGATAGAGTTGGATTTTTTCAAATGCTGGGATATTATCTGGAAGCTAAGAGCTGATTGATGCTTTAGTCTTTGAACCAGTCTTTGAACCCAATTATTCAGTGTATATTTGGTTCTCCAAAATATCCTGTACAGAATGTACCATCTTGCAGTACTAGGAAAAACACTGAGATACTGTGATAAAAATGATGTATCTTTCTGTGCTAAGTGACTGTGATCCCATATGTTTTATGGAGAACATTATGTGTCCATTGATACGGATGTTTAATAACAGACGGAGCCTAAGCTCTTATGAGAGGAGCTTATATAGTATGCCCTTATCTTGAATAGATCCTACTATATCTTCATTATTGAGTGAGATATGCTATGTATAAAAGACATTGCAAATTAAATGTAAATCTCTTTTTGTTTTAAATTTGACTTTTATAAACTAACGTCAAAAGTTTGGGGTCGGTAAGATATAGTTTAAAGTCTTTTATGCTCAACAAGGCATAAAAGTTGATATGATAAAAAATACAGTTAAATTGTGAAATTTTGTTTGTGACTTTTATTCTAATGTGCTGATTTGGTCCTCAATCAACAAATTATCATATTTTTGTGTAAACTGTGATACTTTTTTTCCCAGGTTTTTTTAATGAATGAAAAGTTCAAAAGAACAGCATTTATTTGAAAGAGAAATATTTTGTAATATCACAAATGTCTTTGCTGTCACTTTTGATCAATTTAATGCAATAAACGTATTATTTCTATCTTTTTGAATGTGTGACTTAAGCATAAATTTTCCGCAGGTTATCAGCTAAGCCGTGAGGAAGGACAGATGGAGGCCTTCATGACCGAGCGAGAACCTGGCAGTGGTGGGAAGAGTCTGGAAACCTTGGAGCTGGAGATCCAGGAGGCTTTTCTGCGCTTTATGGCTGCCATCTTGAAGGGCTACCGCTCGTACCTGTTGCCCATCACTCAAGCTCCGTCTGAGAAAGCAACTGACGCCAGTTCACTCTTTGATTTGCAAGGTGAGCAGCCAATATGGACATGATGCTTGAAGCTTTCTCCTTTCACATTGTATCAGTACAGTTGTTTATGTTGATAGTTGTTCAGGGACAGCTGTTATAGAGTTGCGTCATCAGTGTCGAAAAGGAAAAGTTTCGGAAAAGTACACTGTGGTACATTAGTGGAATGCTGAAGCTCAGCAGCTGCTCAGAATACTCGAATCTGGCCCTGTGCCTGTAGTGTCTGGCTTAAATCAGGCTTGAAATTATTGTGGCGATTTTGATAAAGCCCCATTGGAAATTAGACATGCCTGACAGGTCCAACAAACTGCAGGGATTAATAGACTGTCTGAGAACACATCTGCAGCCTCTTATGTAATCAATGAACTAGAGTGTGTTGCATCTTTCACTCTGTCTACACTCTACCCAGGCTTTCTCAATGATGACATTCTAGCGACTAAAGCGCAATTCGCGACACGCCTTCCTAAATTTGACTGATTAAATGTTTAATCGCAGTCGACAACTGTGGCAGTGAATTATAGGGATCAATAATGAATGCGGTTACCTTTTCTTATTGTAATGACACATTTTAGACTTATTGCTTGATGTCCTTGACTTTGAATATGGCTTTTTTTCAGGCTTTTTGAAGAGTCGTGATCGATCACACCAAAAGTTTTACTCCCTCATGACCAAGACTCAGATGTTCATTCGTTTCATCGAAGAGTGCTCTTTTGTCAGCGATAAGGATGCGAGCCTTGCTTTCTTTGATGACTGTGTTGACAAGGTATGAATCCTTGGGTCTATATAACCCCCTGAGAAATGCATCTCATGCTTTTATCCAGATTAGAGGCCCCACTAGATTTAAAAAAAATATGTTTCAATTGTGCTGCCTCTTATTTAGGTTTAGTCAACTCAAATATCAGAGTTTTCACTTAGTACAACTTCATATTTCAAACAACAATTGTTTTTACAGTGTGTCTGCTTTTACAAGGCTTACAAAAAGTTACCATTTTCAACTAAACTCCATGCTCTTAGCAAAGAGCATGTGAAAATACAAAGCTCAAGGGAGTGCATACAGCTTGATTTGTGAGAACAGTAGAGGGAAATGTTGTCATTATTAGCTGTGGTGTTATGATCCCTTGGGCTTAATGTCAGGCTATTCATTTTCTGAGAGTGTTGTTCTCTTGTTCATTCTTTTCTCCTTTCTGGCTTTTCATCCAGTCCTATTATTTTTAAATTTCTTACTACTTTCTTTTCTCTTTTCTCTTTAAACTGTTTACTTGCTTGCTTGGAAAGTTGTTCGGCACAGAGAAAGGAGGGAAGGTGAGTTGCTGAATTTTAGTGTCTTTTTACTTCTGACGGGGGGAATATGTGAATAGCAAAACTGAAAATAGTCACCAGAATAATTTAACTTGACTGCAAAAAAAGGTCTTTCACATTTCACATATTAATTTATTATTAACATCTAAACCATCATTAAGACTGTTAAAAAATGCTCACCCTAGTTTTTTTTTTACCTCAGTTGACAGCGGTGACCTGTTTTTTTTACGTGGTCTCACCAGTGAGATATAGTAGTATGAATCTTGGTTTTGAAGATGTGTGCCGTCTGCCTTCATTATTTAAAAACATTGCTGTTCAGATCAGAGTCTCTGCAGAACCACTGAGATCCTGCATGCATAATTAGTTTTTCTGTGCCATACACTATTTTGTATCTCCTTATGTTCGCAACCGTTGTCCCCTTTCTCGGTATGATTCAGACTGAAGTTATATCTTCAAGAACTGCCTCGTTTTTAAAGTGCTGACAAATATATTCTTGGAGGACTGTTTTGTACCTTTGAAGTACATTTATATCTTTCTCGACAAGACCCCACAATTTATTCTTGTTTATAGGCACAGGGGTCATCTCTCACCTGTCCTCTTTACAAGGCTTTGGTGAGATGAATGTGCAGCTCTCTGCCTTACACTTTCAATTATGCTGCCATCAGTGAAAGTCACACTTATCCTGCTCTGGCATGTCCTTCCCTTTCGAGAGAACCTTGGAGGACAGTTCTTTAGCACTGTGGTGGTAATGAAAATGACAGCTTGAGTTGATTTAAACTGGCATGGGTTTGTGGGTTATGTTCACAGAGGACATTTTAAAGGAACTAGAGCAGTAAAGGACAAACCACGTACCGCTGTATCCTGAAAGCAACTTGGTTATAGTGTAACACCTCAGTGATCCAGAACTTATCTTAAAGTTCATTCATCATACACAATTTTTCACCCTCTGACCATTTGAGTGAAATTTTTGGTGCAGTTTTTCCTTTAAGGCTACAGTGTTCTAAGTACACAGCTCTCTGGAATACTTGATTTTAATTGAACAATTATAGTGTTCTGCTTAAAAAGCAGGATCCAATCTTTGTCCTAAAGATTGTTTATATTGTTTACATATCAAGCAGTCATTAACAGAAAAAAAATATGCATCAGACTCAGTTAAAAGGACCTGCTTGAACTTATTACTTTGTTAAAAATGGGGATTAATACGGTTTCAGACTTTATTTTGGACCGTATTGATGGAAAGTGGCTTTGGGCGTCCTGGTGCATTACATAGCACTTTAATTGTAGCCACAGTCATCGATGCCGTTTGATTGATCTAAAACCTTCTCAGGGAGACTCATCTGGCAAGCCCAGGAAGAGCTCGATTGTGTCCTGTTGCTCTTATTGTCTGTCTAATAACTTTGTAACAAATGATCCAAAACCCTTTTGCTGACTCTGAGGATGCTTTACAGAGGCTTAAAGTGATTTTCTCTCTATCAATAGATATAAAGTCATGTTTTATTTGATAGCACCCCTCATTTCCAATGTAGTATAGTGGCATGGGCTTTATGATGCATTTATAGTCCATTTACAGGTCTTGTAGACAGACTTTGTCTGAAGGCTAAATGCACTGTGGCTCCTCCAAGCCCTGGCTAGCCTATAAATTGCACTGGAATGGTTTCACGCGCCTCAAGCAAAACAACATTAGGCATTAAGTCCAGGTCAGTGCACTTCTAGTGCTTTGTGGCAGATGGGGAGGATTGGGTGGACTCTAGGAGGATCAAAGTTTCTTGGTGCAGATGTGAGATCAGTCGGACACAGCAGCTTGGGAGATTATCAGGCTCATTTACACTAAAACTTGTGCTCCGTCTGATCTGAGGTCAGATGATCTGCGCTTAATGTCTCTTGGCTAACTGCACTGCAGCATGTCCAGACAGTGGAAAATCCCTTGGCATGGTTGAATGGCAGTATGTGTGTCTTGTTCCAGATTCAGTTCTCAATTCTGACCCAAAATATAGCCCTGGATTGACATGTGATCAGTCTGTTTAAAAATATAGTAATATGGAGTAAGTTAGCATGTGATAATAGAACAAAAAGACTTTTTTTAATACTCGCAGTTGCCATAAATATTCTCCAGTTCCTCTTTCTACTTCTTATTTTACCACCTTTTATTCAGTGACCACTTTTAACAAACACGTAGCGTCTTACCTAAAACACGATCTTTTCTCCATCATGGGTTATCATTGCTTATACTGTGTGTTTTTGTGGAAACGTAAAAGAGTCCATGTCTAATGAGGTGTGTTTTTACTCTAGGTGGACAGCGATAAGCCAGAGGACACAAGGCTTATTGAACTTGACAAATCCCACCGTAGCGAGCACACGGTCTACATCACCCCACCAGAGCTGCCGGCACTTCCAGAGGGAGAGGAGCCACCTATGGTTCATAGGTACGACAGTCGTTTCTGGCATTCTGGCTCACACACTCCCATCCACATTGTGTATAAATACTGTGCTAATAAACAGTTCACCACACCACAGATGGCATTGTAGCACTAGCGTAATCCCCTTCAAAACCTCTCCCAGGATGCAGCGTGTAGAATACACCTCTCTAAGGATCCTTTCCCCAGAAACTCTCACTAAAGCAATAATACACTCTCCTCCGAGAGAATGTGATTATATTATATTAAGTGGATCAGTTATTTTGGGATTTAGTATTATTTTGTTACAATGGGGTGTGTTGACATTAAAAGATTTGTCCCATAAATTGAATATTAGCCCATTTTTTGTTATTTTTAATTTTGTCTTTACGTGGCATGCTGTTCATAGTTGAAAAATCATAAAATAGTTTACCATATTGTTTTTTTTTTTAAATAATTTGTCATTTAATTTTAGTAACATTTCCTATTGTTTTCTTATACATTCTGTGAATTTAATTTCTATTAATATATATATATATATATATATATATATATATATATATATATATATATTATATTTTATATTTTATAATATATATATATATATATATATATATTATATTATATTATATTTTTAATATAAATAAAACATATTTTATTGGATTGTAAAACTACTAATATGTTAATACCCTTGAAAGGATTTTTAATTTAATTAATCCAAATTTAGTTTTTAGGATTTAGGAAAAATTTTAGAATTTAGGAAAAAAACAGGTCCTAAATATATTCTGTTTTAGTTTTAAAAAATCTGGTATAATTTTCACTTTTAAAATAGCCAAAGAATATTATATTATATTATATTATATTATATTATATTATATTATATTATATTATATTATATTATATTATATTATATTATATTATATTATATTATATAGTGTAATAGTACACATTTATGCTTAATTATAAATATTAATTTTACTGAAACCTAACCAGGCAACGTTTTAAAATCTGCAATCCTATTTTTAGTTTTATCTTCGGTAAAGCTGCAGAAACTACATGGTTTTGCCTGCAATTGGCTTTATGTAGTGTACTGTTGTGCTGCACTACTTCCTGAACTTCAGCCAGCTCCTTGTTTCCTGTCTGCCATTATTGGCCAAATTGATTAATTCAGGTGTGTCTGATAATTGTTGCCATGACTACTGATGTCAGGTACACCTGAATTAATCAATTTGGCCAATAATGGCAGACAGGAAACAAGGAGCTGGCTGAAGTTCAGGAAGTAGTGCAGCTGGGCATAAAGCCCATTTGTGCAGCATAGTGTACTGTTGTGCTTTTAATAAATAAATGAACTAAACATATCAACCAATATCAAGTTGGTTATCAAGTAAGATAGAACAGTGTTCATACTGTTGATCTCTTACAGCTACAGTGGGTTCCCTGTACTGAACACCCAACTCTGTGAGCTTCAGGATGGTCCCAGAGTCCCCAAAGCAACATCAGCCATGAGACACATCAGTCCCATCAGCCCAGCTGCTATTTTCAGGCGCTCCCAACAGGTTGGTATTTCAAACACTAATCTCATCCAGATCACACCCCATGATCCCACCTGTCAAGTCTTTCCCCCTCCTCTCTAATGCCCGTCCTCTCTGTGATCCTCCCTCTGTAGGAGATCAAATCAGCCCAGAGGATGGCTAAGACGTACTCCTCCATCCCACAGATGTGGTCCAAGTGTCTTCTCAGGCATTGTCACGGTCTGTGGTTCATCTGCTTGCCCGCGTATGTCAGTGCCTGTCACTCTAAGGTGCGTGTGCTGCATACTGCCTACGACGTGCTGAGAAATATCCAGGACAAAAAGTTGCAGCCCCCTGATGAGGTAAAGTCGCCTAACCGTCTCAATTGATTGGTTTTGTTGATTTGTGAGTATCGTTTGTACTGAATCTAGACAGCGGAAATTTTCGCCTGTGTTGTAGTTTTGTAAGTAATGGTTTGTTTCTGCTCCAATGGAGGTGTGTTACCGGGTCCTGATGCAGCTGTGTGGGCAGTATGGACAGCCTGTTCTGGCTGTCCGGGTTCTTTTTGAGATGAAGAAAGCCGGAGTGCAGCCTAATGCCATAACCTATGGATACTACAACAGGGTGAGCGCAGTTTTCTTTTGTGCTACATGGAGACAAATTGCAATCTAAATAATCATATATATATACACAAAAGATCTATTCAAGGCATAATTACTTTTGGTTTTGTGTTACGCCCCATGAATCAATATGTAGGAATTTTGATGCCATTTCCTGTTCAAAAACATGCAGTCCCCCCAAAAACTCTTTTTAATTAGATCAATATCTAAATGACATGTTTATCCTTCCAAGTAAACCAGTTTGGGTAGTACTTTCTTTTTTCTGGTGTTTTTCTGGTTTTTGAGGTTGAAAAAATGTCACTCAAATTGTCCAAGTTGCATGTGCCTAATTTGACTAGCCTTAAAAGTGATTAATTTTCGCCAAAATATCAGTGTTCGAGTGGAAAAAGAACAAAAAGACATCAACAACAACTCAACTATTTCTACTTAATTTAAAAGTTGATGAACATTTATTTTGTTATCTAATTATATGGTTAGTTGCAATTTATTTATTTGCACTTTTTCTAGTAGCCACAACTAGAACAGACATAATCAGGACAGATCTGCAACCCATTTTTGGGTCCTAACCACTGCCCTGGCATCAATTTTGTGCAAACACCATTTGGTTTGATATCTAATGCAACAACAACATTTGAACATTTTAATGTCAGAATGTACTTTGTACATTTAATGTACATTCTAAATGTCAGAAATCAAGTCATATTCATTTATATAGTGCTTTTAACTATGTAGATTGTTCCAAAGTGGCTTTATAGTGATATTAGGAAATTAAAGTAACAGATTGTTTTGGCTTTATGGCAGCTCTAGAATAAAGTTATTTTCCAGTTAAAGATACTTTTGATTAATTCACTTCCATTGCAACGATCATTAGTTATTAACTTTATACTTTAAGATACACTCTAAAAAATGCTTGGTTGTTTTAACCCAATGTTGGGTCAAATACGGACAAACCCAGCCATTGGGTTACATTTTTAAATTACATTTTTTACCCAATGTTTGAGTTTCTCCATCTTTGACCTAAAATTGGCTTAAAACAACCCAGTATACCCAGAGTGTATTAACCCGCTAACACGACACCGTATTAACAGAACATTTCAGAAAAGTTCTCTCTATGCAAACTTTAAAAACGCGATCCTGTGAGAACACTGATTGCGTGAACATGTGTATTAAGATTTTATTTTATAGGTATGTGCGTTTAAATATATGTGCGCAGGCATGTACGTAGTCCTTCCCTAAAAAACGACCTTCAACAAACTACTTGTCTGGCCTAATACAGAATTTTATCGCTTCGGTATAGCCTTGTGAAAAGGAATTATCCCGACAACGATTATCTGTACAGAAGTTAAGGGAAGGAGGCCTTCACAGGGGAGGACTGCGTTGTCGTCGCATCCAGGTGCAGGTCCTTCATCAGATCTGGATACTGCCTGGATCCGGTGGACTGCAGTATACCTCGGGAGAAACAGAGACTAATATTAGCGTAGATGCCATTCTTCTTAAGATGTAACAAGTACATCAGGATTTATGGGAAGTGTTCCCGGTTCCACCTGACCTAATCTATGCATCCTAACATTGAATTATACAAGTCTATAATGTGTTCTGTGTATGCTAGGTCAAAGAGATGTGTTTTTAGTCTAGCTTTGAACTGTTTGAAATGCTAGGATGACTGTTCCAAAGTTTTGGTGCTAAATAGGTAAAGGATCTACTGCCAGCAGTCGATTTTGATATTCTGCAAAAATCTGCCAAACCAATTTATAGGTGTGTTATATACTGATACTTGAGGGCCTTTCTCATGCCTGTTATCTTTCATTACACATAAGTGTAGACTAGCAACAATTTCCCTGTGGGCTTCACAAGTTGTCCCAAAATACTAAGAGGACACACTCACAGAGACATAAGTCTGGGCAGCTGAGTGTTGTTCCAATTCTATCAAAGTAATTACAGCTAGTCCTTGAGAGAGAACACAATCTACTTATGATTATAAGAGGGGGTAGAATTATTTAGTTAATCTTCGTGTGTGTGTGTGTGTGTGTGTGTGTGTCTTACTGTGGTGTTCTTCTCTCCCCAGGCCGTTCTGGAGAGCACATGGCCTTCCTCAACCAGAGGGGGATACTTCCTGTGGGGAAAGTTGAGAAATGTGGTTCGGGGTGTGGTGCTGTTCAAACAAGTATGGAGGAGGCAGACCACCCAACAGAAAGACACCCATCTCTCTGGTAAAACCCCCAACTCCATTTCACACATTTCACAGAAGTGGACACACTCTAAATAGCCTGCAAAGTCAGATTCAATCCAGAAAAATGACACATGATTATGCTGCCTTCTAAGATCAACAAATTATTAAAAAAAACTAAGGAAAAAAACATAATGTACTGTAAAAGCTCCAGAATCCATCCAAGATGGAGGATGAAGATCTAAAAAAAAAAATCTAAATATTTCTAAAATTGAAACAGATTTTACCCAATTTACTCAATCATGGCTATTTTTATATATGTATGTATATATATATATATATTATAATATGACTATTTTACCCAACATGTGTTAGCTTAGGAAAATGCTGTCGGCAAATTCTTTTGAAATCAATTGTCTGAGTCTCAACGCGCTTCATGTGAGAAGAAATTATGCTTAGAATTTGCCTTTGAATATCCTTCCAAATTGGCTGATTTTGAGAATCCATTTTGGTTAGGAAGTTCTCAATGGAGACACCAAGGCAGCTCACTAGATTTTGGAACATAATTCATTATTGAGCAAAGGCAATTGAGTTTGGGCCAGGTCATTGGGCTACATTCATTACTTCTAAAAAAAAAAGTAATAATCATTCTGACTATTTCCACACCAGGACATTTATGTTAAAATAGTTATATAACGAATCAGACTTGTTTCTTTGAGACACAAGCCTAGTCAAAAGGGAGCATGGACTCAATATAATTTCGCTCTGTCACAAAAACTTTCCATCATTTTACACAGAGGCAGGATTACTTGAGTTTTGTGCCCTGAGGGAGGTACCATCTCCCAGCTATCTCACCCCTCCTCACTCGGGCCCTATACAGCCTGCCTGCTGAACCAGAGAGGCTTTAATGGGTCCAATTAAGATGAGAGTCGATAGCCGCCTCCTCAGCCACCACAGTTCACAGTCTGCACTTGATGTGATCTCCTTTCTCACACAGTAAGCAGCATATTTGAGAAGTGCACAAGAGGGCTTTAGTAATTAAAACAAGCTGCCTCAACGCACCACCCCCAACCAACTGCAGCCTTGTCGTGCAGATCGAAATAATCTCGCACACAAAGTACTAAAGTCCCGATTGGCTGGTTGAATGCTGTTGGAGCCATTTACTGTACTTTCCAATGCATTTGTCCAGTCCTTTATGTTAAAAGGGTCATCGGATGCCCATTTTCCACAAGTTGGTATGATTCTTTAGGGTCTTCATGTAAAGTTTGTAACGTAATTCCTAAATGGTTGTGTAAAGCAACACGCTTTTTACCTCCTCAAAAACAGCCCTGTTCACAGCGACCCATTTCGGTGCATGTCTCTTTAAATGATAATGAGCAACTGCTCACCCCACCCCCCTCTCCTGTGGGGCAGGTCGAAATGAGACACGTAAAGTGCTGCCTTGGGGGACAGTATACAAATGGCTGATGGAGGAAATATGCTAATACGGGACAGTCTCTCAGTAGTTGTGGGCGGAGCATGAGCAATATGACATCATTTTCCTCATGAATATTGAGAGTGTTTAGGCTTTTTGAGGATTAAAAAAAAGGTGTGAATGGATTTTTTACATTGTATGCTGGTTGTGTCCACACAGTGCAAAGACACATTTATATGCAAATATAAATATGAATATAAAAGTGAATTTTGCATCTGAATACCCTTTTAAAGTAACACAAACTATTTAAATTTTGGGGTCAGTAAGGTTTGTTTTAAACAAATTATAATTAATCAAAAGTGACAGGAAAGACTTAAACGTTGATACAATACAAAGTTTATTGCAAAAAAGGATTACAGTTTCCCAAAAAAAACTATTAAGTAGCATGACTGTTTTCAACATTGATAATATACTAATGTTATGTAAAAATAAATGCTCTAGAAAACCAAATCTGCATATTATAATGATCCCTGAGGGTCATGTGACACTGAGAACTGTAATGGCTGCTGAAATTTCAATTATATTTCCTAATATTGCTGAATTATTGATTTAGATGTAGAAGATGTATATATAACTTTATGACTGCTTGGGTAAACAAATTATTTTCTTTTGTAAAATAAATTCCTTTTCTTTTATCTTTTGGGATAATTATTATAACTTGATATTTTATGTGCTTTGAAAGCCCTCAACTTCTTCTCATCATGTGGGTGGCTGATTTTTTTATTTTTTGGATCAGAAAAGTCACTTTGATTGTGTACTTTTATTGCTCTTCTGTTGCCACTTTGAAATATGATGCAATCTTTAGGCAGAAAAATGTTGTGTTTTGAAATATGTTACTTGTTAGTTCTCCAGCTAACTTTCTTTTCTTCTGAGCAGATGCCAGTGATCTCGACAGTGTCAGCCATGGCAGTCTGGACAGCTCTAACGATTCTGCAGAGCGAGCTTCCATTGATACTGACTTCACTAAAATGGATTCCAGTGATGACAGATCCAGCACAGGTACCCGGGCTGCTTTCAGTCTGTCTGTGTTCTCCTTCCATCATCAGTCCTCCACTGCGCTCTCGGCACAACAGGACGTGCCTCTCTCTCTTTCAAACTCATCAGAAGTCTCTAGGAGAATCATTATTTTTCACTGTGGGAGTGAAAAGACATCTCTCTCTCGTTTTTTTTTTTTCTCTCTTTCAGTCTTTTCTCTTTTTTCATGCACACATTAGTATAACACATTTGGTTTAGTGAACAAAAGCATAACACACATTCACATGCCCCCTCAGATGATCCAAATGAATTTTGAATGCAATTTCTAAAACAAAAAAATTTGATCAAATGAATGATTTCATTAGGAAATAAACTACTGTTCAAAAGTTTGGGGTCAGTAGGATTTTTTAAGAAGTATTTTATGCTCACCAATGCTGCATTGATCAAAAATACAGAAAAATTGAAATATTATTGCAATTTAAAATAGATGGTTACTATATTTAAAAATGTCATTTATGTGATGGCAAAGCTAAATTTTCAGCATCATTACTCCAGTCTTCAGTGTCATATGATCCTTCAGAAATCATTCTAATATGCTGATTTGGTAGACAAAAAAAAACATTTATTATTATCATCAATGAAAACTGTTGTGCTGCTTAATGTTGTTGTGGAAACCATTATACATTTTTCAGGATTCTTTGATTGGAAATTCCAAAAAGAACAATATTTATTTAAAATAGAAATCTTTTGTAACATTATAAATGTCTTTACTGTTACTTTTGATCAATTTATTGGATCCTTGCTGAATAATTGTTTTGTTTTTTAAAAAAAAGCTGTCTGTCCCAAACTTTTGAACATTAATGTGTAACATTTTTACAGTATCATTTAACTGAGATGGGTCTACCTATCATCTACTTACCCTCATGTAACTCAAAATCTTCCTGTGGAACACAAAGTGATATTTTAAAGAATTATCAACCATTTTTGTCTGTAAAATGAAAGTTAATATAGTTCAAAACAACATTAGACCCATTAACTTTCATTATATGAACATAAATATACAGAATACAGAGATGTTTCTTAATATCTTCCTTTGTGTTAAACAAAGTCATGAAATGAAAAGAAATAAGCAGGACTACTGGAGGTGCCTGACACCCATATCTGAGAATATGTAAAAGACAGAGAAGAAAGCTCCTCTATATGTTCGAACAGCTTTTGGAAGTATTCCAAAGCAATAGGTGGTGATGCCCATGGAGGAGATCTGAGAGGTTGAATGGAAGAGACTCAGTAAGTGAGCGATAGCAGACAACAGTGTAGCAGGAGTCTGACTGAGCAGGCGAGAAAGGAAAGAAGGAATGACTAATGGTGTTATTTTAGCTCACCTCTGGTGGCAGGACTATGATGTGAACTTTATGCCCAATCTGCTTTCTCAGTGTAGCTCAGAAGCACTCACCCTGTGAGGGTCTTTCAGTGTGTTTCTGACCGATTGCAGGAAATGTGTGAGTAAATTAGTGCTCCTTTTTGATGTTATGTTATCATAGGTCATGATGTTCTGTTCTGAAAGAACTTTCTCATAAGCATCATTCATCCAAAATCTGTCAAGTAAAACTAAAATATTCAATACAGATTTGTCAGCCATCAAAAAGATTCCATCACATTTAGCCCTGCAAAAAATCTCACCAACATGAAAAACATTAATGAGTTTTTTTGGTTTTTTTTTTTTTTTTTTTTTGCAGGCTATTATGTTTTGCCCATTTTTTTGTTCAGGAGTGTTTTGTTCTGAATTGTCTGTTGCTGATAGAAGGAAAAAATACTGCTTAATACTAAAATTAAGACCCAGATTATTCTAAATGTGTTTTGTCCATCAGTGTCAACTTTAGATCCTGAAGAAAAATCAGTTGAGTACCAGCGGTCTTAGTGTTTGTTTCTGTGTATTGTTTTGATTCCAGGTGGTCAGTCTGATCAGGGCTATGACTCTCTGTCTAAAGAGGAGGTGAGGTTAGGAGGAGGTGAGGAGCAGAACTCATCTCCAGACATGAAAGAGAAGAAGGACAGAAACTCTTGCTCAAGTGAGTAATGGAGAATTCTTGTGTCCCTAAACATACAAAGAGTATGTGTGACACTGAGGACTGGAGAAATAGCTGCTAAAACAAAACAAAAAAACGACTTTGCCATCACAGGATTAAATTACATTTTAAAACGCATTGAAATAGAAAGCAGTTATTTTAATTGGCAATAATATATCACAACGTCACTGCTTGCTTTGTTTTTTCGATTAAATAAATGCAGCCTTGGTCAAATGCAGCCAACCCCAAACTTTACCATTTAAGTTAACAATTTAGGAACACACGTGAATTAATAATGAATGATAGTATATTTATAAATTAGATGAATAAACTATTATAAATATTGTTTATGGTCATTTCAATACAGCTAATGTGAAACTATTCAATTTATTTGTTTTTAAAGTGGAATTGCATGGCATCACTCTAGAGTTGGTTCACCCTCCACCTATATTACAATACCAACCAAACTAAAACACAAATTCTTTCCATGAGTGTTGTCCCGAGTTAGTTATGTAAAATTCAGTTTATCATCGTGCAAAAAAAGAAAGCACACGCTTTTATGTCAGGTTGTTGTGTTGTAATGCTATATAATGGTATGAGATGTGAGACCCGATGTGAGATACACCAATCAAAAAAGTTCCTGAATCTCAGTCTGATTTTGATTGGATAAAATTAAAGGAGAATGTGCCTATGCTGTGTGTGCAGCATTCAATAAGAAGGCAGAATTTAATTTTAGACATGCAACCTCTTTGCTTCCACCTAATGGTAATGTGTGGCACTGCAAGTCATTAAACTACTTGTTTATTTGCTTCTTTTTAACAAGTGGCTGTTTTTTTTCCCTCTCATCTCAATGTTCAGTGTCTCAGACTGTCCTTTCAAAGATCGAGGATTCATCCCTTCTGGTTAGAACCCATCCATCTGCAACCAATGGTGAAACCAGTCATTTCCTTTCTGAAGCCCTCCCAAAGACAAAAAGGCCAAACTCCCTGGATATTTTCGGAGAAAAGCCTGTAAGGCCCAGAACACTGGATCTAACCCCGAATAAGATGGTAGAAGGACTCTGTACTGAATCTGTTGAAGCACTGATAGAAACGGAAGCAGTGGGGGGCGTTGTGAGCCCATCTAAAGTTGCCGTGGAGAGGACTGCTAGCTGCATGGTTGCCATGGAAAAGAGTGTTGCCATGGAGAGGGAGCACATCGGCGTGGAGAGGAGCGTGAGCTGCAGCGGCGCTCTTGGTCGAGTGGTTAAGAGGACGGGTATTGAAGCAGGGTTTGATCCTCTGTCCCTCATGGTGGCTGAGACTAACGTCCACAGGGATAATGCGGACACCCCCACCGCCCGCCGAGACCTGGCTGAGGAGATTCATCACTACATGAACAACATGAGTAGCCCGTTAAGCCAGCGGTCTCTCAGTGTGGACCTCAAGGGGCACCAGACCCCGTCCCCACACAGCTCTCCCTGCTCCTCTCAGCTCCAACCTCAGCCACGAACACGACTCTTCTCCTCGCCTTCCCTTCCTCAGGGACGAGTGCGAAGGGTCAGGGAGCCGCGGCCCACCTCCCTGGCCTCCCCTTCCTCACCTACTCCCTCCTCTTTCTCCATGGACTCTCTGCTCACCCCGACCCTGGACGTGTTCAAGAGCAGCTTCCTCTCTGCTGGGAAGGGCGTCGCTGAGAAAGCCAGCCGACTGTATTCACGGCTTTCCTCCCAGACGTCCATTGCACAGGTATTCATGACATTAACCATTGATGAAGTTCTGGAAATGAAGGCCTTGTTTTTGCCGACTCCCTTCACCGCTACCTTTTTTTCCCGGATGCATTAGATAGATTAAAAGTGATAATAGATAGATAATAGATAATATTAAGTAGCAGTTGTAATACTAAGAAATATATATATTTAAATTATTTTAAAAAACTCTATTTACTCATTACTAATTTTTCTCACCCTCACCAGGATTTAAACTCTGACCGGGTCAGTGTGTCTTCACTGGGGTCAGGTGACCCTGATTGCTCCTCTCTGATGGAGAGTGACTCCTGTGTAGATCCTGAGGGGCTCTCTTCCCCCCAGCGTGATGCCATTCAGCCCGTCATGCGTCCCAAAAGAAGCCCTTACAGGAGCGGCCACTGCCTAGAAAGCCCATCCGCAGCACCTCGACTCTTCCGCCAGTCCTCGCTCACTGGTGAGTGTTTAAAGACTTTTTAAAGGGATGCTCCACTTTTTTTGGAAATAGGCTCATTTTACCACTCCCCCAGAGTTGAACAGTTGGGTTTTACCGTTTTCGAATGTATTGAGACGATTTTTTGATATTTCGAAGAATATCAGTAACTAGAGAGTTTCTGGTCTCATTGACTTCCATATTAGGAAAAAAAATATACTATGGAAGTCAATGAGACCAGAAACTGTCTGGTTACTGATATCCTTCTAAATATCAGGAAATCGGCTGAATGGATTTGAAAACGGTAAAACTCAACTATTTAACTCTGGGGAAGTGGTAAAATGAGCATATTTAAAAAAAAAAAAAAAAAAAGTGGAGTATCCCTTTAAAGAGATTATGACATTAATCACGGTTATTTTATCCTATAGAGCATCACAGTTCCGTACTGGAAGTAAGAATTCAATACAATTTCTCCATTGACATTTTAGATATAAGCCATAAAAACGTAACCATACATGGTAGACTTAAAACCAGCTACGGCTGTACTAAGTGATTGTATATGCTCATATAAACGCCAAAAGTTCATGGGGCACTAACTTTGTTTTAAGATAAATGCCTTTAATTCGCAATGTCTTGCATAAGTACTTCATTACCCACAATCCTGAACAATCCCACGGTAATGCATCTGATTGGTGGAAGTCGTGTAACTGACGGGTAAACCCTGCGAAGGTTCGTGAAGACGGAAGATCGTAGGGCTAGTTCATTGGTCGCACCTCAGATACGCCTCCGCGCCATTGGATGTGCATTTGCTGCAGCATAGCCTATGAGCGAGCCAGATGCTCAATGTTTTAGCATGTGCAGCTGCAAATGCGTTTTACATATAAGCTTCAGTAAATCGAGGAAAAGGAGTTTCCCTGCATATTCAATGGAGGAAAAATTTCAGATTTGGAAGTCACTCAAAAGGCTCTTTCACAGTGGCTTCAGTCGATTTCAGTGAGGTACTCGGAAATGAAAATATGAACACAGGCTTGTACCCTTGACTTTTGTTGGATTTTCTCTTTGTTTTTTCACTCGAAATGATATTTTGTAGAGTTCAGCCGTAGCTGGATATCCTCAGACATGCTCTAATACTCTTTAGATACGGATTTTACAAAATGTCAATGGGAGAAATTAATGGGAAATTTACTTGTGATGCTCTATTGACTGTTCTAGTTTTTAAGGTATTACACTTTTTTTATACACTGGTCAGAGATTATGACATTAATCACGGTTATTCTATCCTATTGACTGTTCTAGTTTTTTTAAGGTTTTACACTTTTTTATATGCATATAGTTTTTTGATAAAAATGTTTTATGTATGTCTAAGGAGTTTCTCTTGACGACTGTTGCATTAAAATAAAATATTGCATTAAAATAATTTTCTTCACAATATAAAAGCAGATTATTTAATTGAGTAAAAAAAAAAAACTCTGAATTTTCTGTTTGGGTTTTGTAGACAGTGAATTGAGGACATGTGGATGAAGTAAGCAAAATGGTGGATCTTAGCAAAATAGCTGGAATTACTTACAGCACATTTAATATTGATAAGTAGCTCATGTTCATTTGAAACGCCTCCCCTCTATTGGGGCAGATCTTTGTGGTTTCCCCTGAATAAAATAGACTAAAAATAGACGCTGTGCTAAAAAATTACTCATCTGGGTTCTCGTGGTGAGTAATACTCTGTATTTCGGTCTTTTATCAAGGTTAAAGTGTTGTACAATTTAAGAAGCAAGCCAATTGAAGGAGATATGTGAAGGAGGGGTCGTTCTAAATGTGAATAATTCATTTGTAAAGATTACCTTATTTGTAGTCTTCTGGGCCATTATGCTAGATGTTATGGGTTGGTGATTAAGCATGTTTTTGCACATGGACTGCTGTGTGCTGTTCATTGTTTCTGCTCCAGCAGCTGCAGAAGTAGGCCAGTAGACAGGGCCTGTGAGTGTGTCTGGCTCTGCAATAATGGGGTCTGAGAGGGGCTCTTTAATCAGGCTGATGGGGGTTGTGCTAGAGTGCTCCCCAATCATTCACATCCACATCCCAGACTTCTGTAGAGCCTTCAGCACCATCAGAATTAGCATTCATAATCCCTGCTGGCAATCACTGTAGCGGCTGTAGACCAGGCAAAATTATCTTTGCAGCCGCGAGAGACTAAACACTGGGAGAATGAATGCACTGCGACGCGCAGAAACAGTTTCACACAGCGATCCACTCATTTATTGCTTCTTGCACATAAAATACAACTGTTAGCCAGTTACCAGTTCATAAGTGCAGTGTGATTGCATAAAGTGCGGTCAACAGAAAGTGTTCGCTCCCAGGCTCACTCCCTCTCTGTCAAAGCCCCCATACTCAGGTGCACAGGTGTAGCAAACAAATACGTGCAAGAAACACATCACTTCCGCCCAAGCCCCGGTAGACACGCCCACCACCTACAATCTGAGTGCAGTAAAAATAATGAATGAGACCATAAAACCATAGGAGACTTACAGTTGGCTCTTACATTCCGGCCCCTAATTATTTTAACACAATAATTATACAACTGCACATTATGTAAGAGATCAACAATATGATTTTTTTTTTTTTTTTTTTTTTTTTTTTTTTTAACATAAAACAGTCCCTTCGAAAGTGTCTTTTCTTCTTTAGATCAAACAAGAGACAGAGTCCTTTGTCTTTGTAAAAAGTGATCTTCACAATCACTTAATTATGTAATGTAAAAAGGTCTATATAATAATGTCAAGATTAAAGTCAAAGTCTAAGAAGTTCGAAGGTCAGCTGGATATCCTCATGGCTCCTCTGCTTCCTGTAGAAGGCAAATCTTGGTGATAGGCCTATCCAAATGACTGGTCTTCGTCCTAATTCGCACTTGACGAACAAGTCCTCTTCTGTCAGGGAGAGTTTGCACAATCCTTCCTGTAAGCCATGAGTTGCGAGGGGCTGAGTCGTCAACTATGAGTACAATATCTCCAGTTTGGAAGTTGCGCTTGATACCAGACCACTTCTGACGCTCCTGAAGAAGAGGCAAGTATTCCTTAATCCAACGTTTCCAGAACAAGTCAGATATATACTGAACTTGTTTCCATCTGCGACGAGCGTAGATGTCCTCCTTTTTGAACTGACCCGGTGGTAAAGATGGCATGATCTTGAGCAGCAACAGATGGTTAGGGGTTAATGGTTCCAAATCATTGGGATCAGTGGATGCCTTGGTAATAGGACGGCTGTTGATAATAGCTTCTGCTTCACACAGAACTGTGTGAAGACTCTCCTCATCAAGGGTCTGCAACTTCAGGGTGGAATTCAGAACCTTCCTCACAGATCTTATCAACCTTTCCCAAACCCCGCCATGATGTGACCCTGTGGGGGGGTTGAAAACCCAATTAATTCCCTTTTGAAGGAGGGTGTTATTAATTAGGGCATGATTCCAACTTTCCATTGCCTCTCTCAATTCTCTCTCGGCACCAACAAAGTTGGTTCCATTGTCTGAACGCAGTTCCAATACTTGTCCACGTCTTGCTGTAAAGCGTCGAAGAGCATTGATAGAAGTTGCATCATCCTTGGACACAGATTCTTTTATGTGGATCGCTCTTATGGAAAGGCATGTGAAGAGAACCCCATACCTCTTCAATATACTCCTTCCTCGCTTAACTTCAAAAGGTCCGAAGTAATCAACTCCGACCCGAGTGAATGGAGGTTCATCAGATGAAACTCTGTCCTGAGGTAAATCTGCCATCTGTTGTTGGCCTGGAGCTGCATGCAGTCGTCGACAGACAATACATTTAGACAGGATTTTTCTTATAGCCACACTAGCCCCAGGGATCCAATACCTTTGGCGCAGACAAGCCAGCATGTGGTTACGACCACTGTGTCCCACCTCTTGATGTATGTGCTGAAGAATTATGTTGGAAATGTATAAATCCTTTGCCAATATGGCAGGATGCTTAGCTTCTTCCGGCATAGCTGCTCTGCTAAGTCGTCCTCCAACTCTCAAAACACCATCTTCAAGTATTGGGTTGAGTTTATAAATGTGACTAGTCCTTTTCACACTTTCGCCCTTTTGCAGACTGTTGAATTCCCCGGGAAACCTCCTTCTCTGGCAAAACTTAATAATCTCCATCTCAGCCTTTCTAAGTTCCTCAATTGAAAGAAGACCACTGGCGGTCTGAGCCTTGATACTCTGCATCTCCTTTTCTATTTCTTTTCCCTGTTGGTCCTTATCCAAGCCAGAATGAGCAAGAGTCATACTCAGTTGCTTCCTTTTCTGACTAAAGTACAGTAGTAGACTCTTCAGCTTAAGGATCCAACCAACCATCTTCTTCAGACGGATCCAAGAGGAGAAGTAGTTAATCAAGCGAGTGACTGCATCGATCTTCTCTTCAGCCTGCACAACATTCACAATCAAGACCCTCTTAACCTCAGGGTCATCTGGTGGAATTCTCACATGGCCATCTGGGTTTTCAGGCCAGCCCGCTTCAGGCCCAACCAGAAATTGAGGTCCAGACACCCATATGTTATCTCTCAGAAGTGATGTCACCTTTACTCCCCTAGAGGCTAAATCAGCAGGATTATTTGTGGTGTTAACATATCTCCATTGAGATGGACTAGATACACTCAGTATCTTTGAAACCCGATTGGCTACAAATGTACGAAACCTTGAGGTCTCATTGCTGATGTACTTCAGTACAGAAGTACTGTCTGTCCAGAAAATTGAGTCTTGAAGTTCCATCTTTAGCTCCTTCCTCCAGAGCTCATCCATTCGACCTGCAACCATGGCAGCCGTCAACTCCATGCGAGGGATGGTGATTGTTTTTAATGGAGCCACTCTGGCCTTTCCCATTATGAAAGTACAGTGAACTTTTCTCTCTATGTTGTTTAATAACAAGTAAGTCACTGTTCCATAGCCGCTCTCACATGCATCCGCAAAGTGATGTAACTGAGCAGAAATCACTTCCCCAAAATCCATTGGTTTTAGGCATCTGTCAACCTCAAACTTTTCAAGCTGCCAGAGCTCCTTCAACCAACCTCTCCACTCCTGTGCAGACAAGTCGGGTATAAGATCGTCCCAACCAAGGTCTTTTCTACACAAGTCTTGAAGGATCCTTTTGGCAGATAAGACCACAGGTGCCAACATTCCTAAAGGGTCATAGATTGAACTGACCGTGGAGAGAATCCCTCTTCTGGTTAAGGGTCGATCTTTGATGAGGACTTTGAACTTAAAAGTGTCAGACTGAACACACCACTGTACGCCCAATGCTCTTTCTACAGGAAGGGTGTCATTGTTCAAATCCAAATCCTTAACCTCTTTTGCTCTCTCTGTTGCAGGAATTGCTGCCAGCACGGTACGTCTATTGCTGATCCACTTCATGAGCTGAAAGCCCCCTTTCGAACAAAGGGCGCGAAGGTCCTGGTAAAGCGCTATTGCTTCCTCCTCAGAAGCCACTGATGTAAGGCAATCATCCACATAGAAATTGTGGAGGACTGTTTCGATTACTTTGAAGCTAAATTGCTCTCGATTATCCTCTGCACACTTTCTAAGAGCAAAACTTGCACAACTTGGCGAAGATGTGGCCCCGAACAGATGCGCTACCATTCTGTACTCCACTAGGCTTTGCTTATGGTCTCCATCCGGCCACCAGAGAAACCTCAACAGATCTGAATCCTCAACTGGTACTCTGACTTGGTGGAACATAGCCTCAATGTCTGCCATGAGTACAACAGGCTCTTTTCTGAATCTGGTCATGACTCCAATTAACATGCTGGTAAGATCGGGTCCCTGTAAGAGTTGAGCATTTAAAGATGTTCCCTGGAATGTGGCTTTGCAGTCAAAAACGACCCTGATTTTGCCCTTCTTCGGGTGATATACCCCATGATGTGGTATATACCATACCCTGTTGTCGCTCCGATCCAGATTCTCAATTGGGACCTTCTCAGCGTAGCCCTTGGAGATGATGTCATTCATAAATACTGTGTAATCAGCATGAAATGTAGCGTCCTTTTCAAACCTCCTTGTGAGGCTCATAGCACGCTGTTCGGCAACTTTTCTATTGTTTGGCATATTCACATCTTTTTTTCTTAAAGGTAAGCCAATACTATAATGGCCATCCACCAACTTAGCAGATTTTGTCACAAACTCCATGAATTGACAATCTTCTCTTGATAACCCCATCTGCTCATCCTGGCTACATTCAGGAAAATCAGCCTTTAGCTGCTCATTCCACAGATCCTTGAGGTTTGCAATAGAGATCCTATTGACAGTGACATCTGGCTGTCCACTAGCAATTTCTCTACATTCATCGCGTCTAAGAGGTCCATTTACAGTCCAGCCCAGCATCGTTTTGACCGCATAGGGGCCCCCCTCCGTACTTCGAGCAACTTGCCATGGCTCCAGTGCTCTAGGGACATTGGATCCAATCAGCAGGTCAATATCTGAATCAATCTCCCTTATCTGGACATGTCTCAGATGTGGCCATCGTTGGAGGTCTTTCTGTCGAGGAATATTGCCTCGATGAACTGGCATGTTTTTTTGCGTATAAATATCAGGTAGTTCACAAAAACAATCACCGTCTAATTCAGCCACTTCCAAATCTGAAACAATATGACTCCCAACGACCTTCTCCTGACCCATAGTACGAAGGAGAATACCAGTTCTTCGTCCCCTGACATTAAGCTTGTTCATCAGCCGCTCTGTACAGAATGACGCTGAGCTTCCAGGATCCAAGAAGGCATAGGTAATCAACACCTTGTGCCCCTTCCTATGTTTAACTTGAACTGGAACTATAGAGAGTGTACAATCATGGTCACCGGCCCCAGTAAGACCACTGGATTGAACAGAGATCAGAGAACTGCCCACTGCTGTCTCAGACTCTCCTTTGACTTGCACTAAATTATTTTCTTTCTCTTTTGGATAAATGTGAAGTGCAGTAGGGTGCTTCAGACTGCATACTTTGCATGAGAGACGCTTCCTACAATCTCGACTCATGTGCCCAATGCACAAACAGCCAAAACACACACCATGTTTCTTTAAGAAAGTAATCTTCTCATTATGCACCCTCTTTTCCAACTGGCGGCACAAATCCAATGTGTGCTCACCTCCACAAAATATGCAAGCCTTCATACCAGCTGACCTGTCCTCTTTTACTTTTGTTCCTGATTCAACTTTCCTTTCCACTGTTGCAACGGTGGTAGCAAAGCTACTTCCTTTGGCTCTAGAACTAGACTCAAACCTAGATTTTCTTGCATCCTTGTTTGCTGTTGTTGATGGTGTATCCTGTATATCCCCGAATAGTGGATCACTTGCTATCCTCACTTGTCTTTCGATGAAATCGACAATATCTATAAATTTGGCTCTCTGTCCACTCCTTTCCTGCAACTCACAAGCCACAGTTCTCCATCTGTCCCTATATTTGTAGGGCAGCCTTTTTACGATGGTCAGCATAGTGGTAGGCATGTTCAACTCCTCCATATATTCAACATCGTCCATGGCATTACAACATCCTCGAAGAAAAAGACTGTATGCTTGTAGAGATTTCACATCTTCTGATTTTATTGGAGTCCATGAAAGAGCCTTTTCCATATAAGCTGCAGCAATTTTCTGTGCATTACCAAAATGCTCTTGCAGCAAAGCCTTAGCCTTGGCATATCCTCTGTCAGGTGCCATATGTTGACAGCTTCTGACAAGATCCCTTGGATGCCCCCTGATGTATTGTTCAAGGAAATACAAGCAGTCTTTAGGATTATCAGCCTTCTCTTCGATACTGTGTTCAAAAGACCTCATGAAGGTATGGTATTGCAAAGGATCACCGTCAAAAATCTGAATGTCTCGTTTAGGCAGTAATGAAAGAGATTGTTGTTGAACCAATAAGGCTGTTATCTCATTTTGTTTTTCTAAAACTGTAATTATTTGACTTTGATCACTACTGTTTGTCACCTGTGTAGAAAATTGATGAGTGCTGTGCATAGGCAGTGGACGTGATTGTAACGTATCTTGATGTCCCGTGACTTCTGGACGTCTAGAGGATGTGGGTTGAGGTCGTGGTGATTGAATAACATTTCCCACTCGTTTTCCCACTCGTTCTGTACCAGAAAAATGTGGATTGGACTGTCCAAGCGTTGGAATATTCGTATCGGGCACAAATGATTTTGCCTCAGCATTAAGGGTTTTGGTTATCTTTTGTCCCCTTTCTAGATAAGAATTCATGCCATTGGACTTCACAGATGGATGACTTGAAACACGAGACCCTCTTGAGCCTCTCAGCACATTTACTTTAGCCACTGAGGCGGCTATTTCCACTTCAAGTTCAAACTCTTCTCGTTTTTTCCTTAGCTGATCCTCTTGTTCTTCTAACGCATGTCTGTCCTTTAATAATCTTTGTCTTGCAATAAGAGCAGCCATATCTGCCTCTGCTTTAATGCATGCTGATGATGTTGTTGAGATACCAGACCTTCTTCCAGCCGAGCTCTGCTTACTTTTAGAGCATTTACTTCCTATGTTTGACACACTGTCGCTTGGTTTAATTTCATCTTGTATAACAGAAGCTTGAACATTTTGCTCAGAGTGATCTGAAACATCAGACTCATTATCACTATGAGGTTCATCCAACTTGTGCATTGATTCCCTTTGTGGTACAAATATGGGAGTATCATATGTGACAACATGAGCAGCAGTAGGCCTACGGCTTGTTTGTCTCCCAATTTCAGAAAGCCATCCCTTTGCATCTTCCATAAATCCATTGTAGCATTTTAGTACATTCACGAACCATTCCTTTTGTTTTTCTTGTTCCTCTTCAGGAAGCATAGGAATCACAGAATCATGTAACACAGTAGTTTCATCCACCATTTGACTCATTTTCTCAAGATGGGATTGCACTTGTGGGGCATTATCATCCTTTTGCATGAGATCCTTTATTGTCTGTATTAGACCTTTAATTTTATGAACATTTTTTCTACGTTCTTTTTGTAGTGTTTCAATCTTATTCACCAAGGCCTTGGCAGTCATTTTGATTTTTCTCTTTTGTTCATCCATCTCTGAACCATTTGCGTCTGAGTTTGATTTTGATTCACTTGTTGCCATTTTCCAATATACCACAAATCATCCAAGAATCCGCGCCGTTCAATGAATCAATCCATCCATCAATCAATCGCGGCGTCATAAACCACATCCAATGACCAACAATAAACACCAGCAAACAACAACGCGTCCCCTATGGACGAGCGGCAGTAACCTTTTTACACTGTGTTCAAACAAACAACTTGCACAGCATAAATTAAAAAGTTACATACCGCTTCCGTTGCTGTATTGATCGCGGCCGGGTCTTTATCCTCCGTGCAGTAATGAATGAACCGCCATCCAACAGCAGTACCCGATATATTTCAGTGTTTCCTCTGATATCCAAAGCGTCCTGTTGCGATCCGCGATGAACAGCTCGTTTCCATAGAAAAACACTTTGGTTTACAACAAAGAACGTTTTCTGTTGACTAATGTAGCGGCTGTAGACCAGGCAAAATTATCTTTGCAGCCGCGAGAGACTAAACACTGGGAGAATGAATGCACTGCGACGCGCAGAAACAGTTTCACACAGCGATCCACTCATTTATTGCTTCTTGCACATAAAATACAACTGTTAGCCAGTTACCAGTTCATAAGTGCAGTGTGATTGCATAAAGTGCGGTCAACAGAAAGTGTTCGCTCCCAGGCTCACTCCCTCTCTGTCAAAGCCCCCATACTCAGGTGCACAGGTGTAGCAAACAAATACGTGCAAGAAACACATCACTTCCGCCCAAGCCCCGGTAGACACGCCCACCACCTACAATCTGAGTGCAGTAAAAATAATGAATGAGACCATAAAACCATAGGAGACTTACAGTTGGCTCTTACAATCACCTTGAAATCAATGAGACTTGTTTTTGGAGAAGATTGTTCTCTGATGGAAAACATCAGCTCTTCAAAGCGCCTTTTGCCACAGAGAGTGACTTTTATTTGTCTTTCGTCCTTTAGGTCCATCACTGACTATAACGAAAGCTCTGCAGACCTCAGACGTGTGTTCAGATTCCAGCTTCACTCAGTCCACGCAGAATTACGCCATTGAAGTGAGTTTTACTTACTTTGAATGACGCATATGTTTAAGGATTGCTGTAGCAGGAGCTATTGAGGCTAACTTTGATTGGCTTTCTAGGTACGTATGTCCAGTTGTTCACACTGTAACACCTGTGAGAGTTTGGTGTATGATGAAGAGATCATGGCTGGTTGGACAGCTGACGACTCCAACCTCAATAGCACGTGCCCTTTTTGTGGCTCTCCATTTCTGCCCCTGCTCAATGTGGAAATCAGAAACCTGGGTGACCAGGAAAGGTAATTTGGTCTCCAAATAAATCAGTAAACATTTTTTGTAGAGATATTCACCTTTTCAAACAGTTTTCTTCGGTTTCTACTTAGATCCCCCTCTCAAGACACACATACTTGCCAGACAGACACTGAAGATGAAGTTCCACAAGTTTATGATGTCACTGGCAATCTATCCTGCAATGGCAAAAAAGACCCGGTAAGAATACATTTCTCAGTCTACAATTTCAGTGTTTTGGAATCATATTTTGTAATCATCACTTTATTATGGAATTAATAGTGATTTATAATATAATGTACCATGTTTTCCAGAATATAAATCTTGATTCATCTGAAACGAGCTGCAACTTATATTCTAGAGCGACTTATATAATGTAATTAACATCAAGCTGGCAAAACGCAGACCCAAAACATACACAAAGGCCCACACATTTTTTTTAGTACAGAATAAGAGTGGTACATGAGTATAAGTTTATTTATAAAGCGCATTTCCCACACACTGTCCAGGGTGCACCCGGGTTTATTTTCCGGGAATAAATGATATTTTGTAATATTATATGTAATATTATATTAAAATATTATAGTATATTTTAATTATATATAATATTATATTATATGTTTGTGACTCAAAAGTTGGTTCAGTTCATGAGGCTGGTAGTAATTTTAGTCTTTCTGTGCTGTAGGAGCCAGTCACCGTTCCCTACCTGAGTCCTCTGGTGCTTTGGAAAGAACTGGAGAGCTTGCTGGAAAACGAGGGAGATCAGGCCATCTCATCTGCAGCTATTGTGGATCATCACCCCATTGTGTTCTGGAATCTGGTGTGGTGTTTCCGTAGGCTGGACCTGCCCAGCAGCCTGCCCGGACTCTATCTGAGCTCCAAACACTACAGCAAAGTTGCTCAGGTGGGTCTCAAGAATTCTTACATGATCTTCCTTTTCCCATTTGTTTTTTAATGAATGAATGAATAGTTGTAAATGCTGGAAACTGTTGGTGATGCCACTGCATTTCTTCATAACAGCTTGAATCAATGTAATGTACGTGTTTTCTTGCAGCCTCTGCAAAGTTTTGCATCAGAAGACAGTAAAAATGTCTTGGTCCAGATCCTGTGGGACAACCCCAGACTGCATCAGGACCCCATTCAGCCCTGCTACTTGCTCTGGAAATCATATTGTAAGAATATGTCCTACTAACTCATTTGCACAGTGAAAAGTGAGCTTTATGACTAAATGTGCACACAAGTGGTTCTTGGACAAAAAATTGCAACAAATAATCCTATTTATGCTATGGACATGAGTTATGCCCCAAACAATGAGCCTTTTTTTTTAGCAGATGTGTGGCATTATTTTTCTATGGGAACATATACATGACAACTTTGCGGTTTTTGAGAGATGGTTCTCACTCACTGCAGAACATGAAATCCACAGGGAGGAGTCGGATCCGGATCCAACTCCTCCCACATTACATACACCTAAAACTACCCAACTCCGCCCCTTGATCCCTAAACTCACCCCTCATCCTACTCATCTTCACCCCTTGGATCTTGATCCGACTCCTATTGAGGTGGTACTGGTTTTTGGTGTACAGACGACAGCTTTGTCAAAACGATCCCTGTACACACTGATCTGCGAAAGGACTAAAAATGGTGTATCATTCTGCTAGGTCAGTTGTTGGTAATGCCACTTTGTAAAGGAAATCTACTCGCCTATAGATTGAAAATGTAATACACATGCGCATGACGTCACCGTTTTCACAAATTTGTGTTTTTGTAGTTTACATTGAGACAATAACAGAATCGTTTTCAAAAAGTTGCCATTTTCAGACCCCCAAAATGTATGCCTGTAAATGGATTAGGCTCATTATATTTTTATATTTCATCTAATCATTTTTATTTTATTTTATTTGACATTTATTTGTAATGGTTTTAGTTACAATAACAACTCTTAGTTAGGCCAGTAAGCAACCAACCCAGCAACCCTATTGAAACTAAAAACCTCCTTAAAACACTTTAGCAGCTGTAACAGTAGTTTTGCATGCAGGTACCGGCCTTCTACATCAGTGTGTTCATGTTTTTTAATAGGTGCAAATCCTGCGGGATCTGCCGCCCTGTGGGAGGAGGAGCAGGCTGTGAGCTTAGAGCTGCTGCAGGGGGTCGTGAAGAGCATCCAGAGGAACGATGTCTATCAGCCCATGAGTCAGATACTGCAGATACTGGGCACCAGATTGGGCTTCAAAAGGCAACGGTAGGAGAATAAATGTGCATTAGCAAAGAAACAATCTTTAGCTAAACAAGCTAGTTTTAATGACTAATTTCTCTTGATTTTTTCATATTTAGGAGCTTATATAGAGACATCCTGTTCCTGTCTTTAGTGGCTTTGGGCAAGAGTAGCATAAGTATCGGTGAGTTGACTGTTTTGGTCATGTATAGAATTTATAATACTGTTCTTTAAGTGACATGTGAAGGCCAAGTATGGTAACCCATTTTCAGTATTTGTCCTCTGCATTTAACCCATCCAATCATGACTTCTACCAATTTATTAAGCAGTTGTCAAGACTGGTAATAATACATGTTTAAAATATATTAAAAATAGAAAACAATTATTTTAAATGGTAATACAATTTCACACAATGTTAGAGTTTTTACTGTTTTTTTATCAATAACGAATATCAGCGGGACCGGGACGAATATCAGCGCGCGTTATTAGTCAGCGTTTTTCAACACGTTTTTTGTGTTCACACCCAAGCAATTTTCGCTGACGATGAGCCGAGTGAACATGCGAATTCATTCCCTGACATTAGATGCCGCTGCAATACCACTCCATAACAGTTCTCTTTTCTCAAGATGTTTGTAGTCGCTGTCGCGTTCGTCATATAGTTCTTTATATTCTAGCACCAACGAGAACAGCAGCTCTACATTCATCTTGCCTTACATCTTCCTCGTCTTATTTCTTCCTGGCTGTGTAGTGTAGACGGTGACGCGTATATCTTCTTCGCCGTTGCATGTGTGGCTCGGCAAGAACGTTTTGTGTTTTGGCGCCCCCAAGTTGTGATTTACTGTAACTTCAGAAGCTTCAAACACGTGAGCAAAAGCGCCAATCTCATTGGTCGGATAGTTTTAACGCGGCACGTCAAAATAAAAAAACGAACCCGAGGCGTTTTTAAAAAAAATTACGCTTTTACGCGTGGCGTTTTACGCGTTGGCATGAACGTTTACATTGGCACCCTTTGTTTAGTAACGAGGCGTTAAACGTCGGCGAATAACTCAGAAGCTTCAAACACGTGAGCAAAAGCGCCAATCTCATAGGTCAGATAGTTTTAACGCGGCACGTCAAAATAAAAAAACGAACCCGAGGCGTTTTTTTAAAAAATGACGCTTTTATGCGTGGCGTTTTACGCGTTGGTGCGAACACTCACATTGGCGCCCTTTATTTAGTCACGAGGCGTTAAACGTCAGCGAATAACGCACACGAAATTCGTCCCGGTGTGAACAGGCCTTAAGACACTTCTTTTAAAAACCCTAAAAAAGAAATATTGCTGACCTCACATTTTTTAACGATAAAGTACATCAATAAATTTAACGTGAGCACTAGCATTATTACTAACATCTTCATTTATTCTCACAGATGCCTTCGACCGTGAATACAAAATGGCATATGACCGTTTGACACCCAGCCAGGTCAAAATGACCCACAATTGTGACCGGCCACCCAGCGCTGGAGTCATGGAGTGCAGGAGAACATTTGGGCTGCCCAATCTGTGATTCACCTCCTCTCATTCGTCCCTCCTTCCTCACATCCATCACACAGGAAGGCATCCTAGATGTCCAAGGCCCATCCAAAGAAGCAACTCTTTCATTCCTGCGATCCTGAACATTCAGCGTTACTAAAGCTACCTCTGGCTCCCATGAGGACTCCTTCGAAACCGTTCCTGTCTGTCTATGTGACTGTTGTTCTTCATACACTTCCTGTGAATATGCCACCTTATTATGTATATGATAATTATATTCCCCCTTCACTTTTGCTCTGCCTAACGTCTTGACCCTCGACCCACTTTGGAAGCTTTGGGTCGTATTCGAATCGTCTAGCACCGCTCAGGTAAACTTGAGTTCAGAGGTCATTGTAGATTAGGAGCAATATCATTGTGCTCAGGTCATTCCATCGCTCCATCCGTTCACGTTGAGTGAATCATGGAGTGGATTCGGGACCAGTAGCTGTAGAACAATCAAACTGATCACGTTTAGGACGCGTAGAAGCACAATGGGCGACCCCAACAAACACAGTCCTTTCTTGGGCGTCTAGTGGAACTTGTATATTTCACATGCTAAGAGACTTTTGTGTACATAGTCTATTATTATTTTGAATATTTGTATTATACAATTATATTTTAAGACTGGAATTTGTTAATTGACATGTCTCCATTTGTAAAGACTGTTCGTAGTGTATAGGTTCCTCTTTTGAGCGTGTGCTGTTTGTCGTCCTGGTCCTGGAGACCAGTCGTATGGTGACCGTCAGTGACACTGTTGTCTTGAGGTACAGAACTGGACCAAATATAAACTCCTGACTCACAGTTTACATGTTGAGAAATATGTTTGATGAGATTTTTGAACTAAGAAACGCCTTACCTTGGGGCAAAGAACAGTATGAAGACAAGTTTCCAACAGGTTATAAAGAGTTAAAAAATGGACTGTTAATATAAATATGAAGTCAGCATTTTACACACATTCATGTGTGCCATGAAGGTACGTCATTTTTTTTTTAAACATTGCTTTATATTGTGCAAGGATGCATAAACATGGGTCCCTGTTGTCAAGCTCCATAAAGCAAAGTACCTGAAGCATACAAGCACTTATTTTTACTCGGTTAACTCTTTTCAAATTAAATATGTTGTAACTGGAACTATTATATTTTAATACTTTTCATTTTTTAGCATAATGTTAATTGAAGATGCACTTTGAGTTGTGGGGTTAAGATTTCTCAAGTTTAAATGCTCCTAACAAGCGCAGTGGATTATGGAAAAAATAATTATACACAATGACATATTGATGTTAATGCCTCAAGTGAACAAACAAACAGATAATACTGCCCTAATAACTTTGTTTATTGACCTGATGCTGTGTAAAACTACAAAAATGTACAATTTATGCTGCTGTTAATATTTTAGCAGTTTTTCTATCACCTGCTTTTTACATTCATATGGCATGGTAGTGAAACGAACTGACCTATTTCATGACAAGCTACAGTAATTTAAAGCAGTTAATGTGTAAGGTGATATATTACATTGTGCTTTACATATCACTCCTTTTGTTACTTCTAATTTATATTTGTGTATATCATTATGTCAGATCTGAGCCAGGTCTTTAAAATTGTTTAGAACTGTAAGTAAACACACTTAAATCGATTCCAGTATGTTTTTGTTGCTGTCACTGGTTTGTTCAATGAAAGAAAGGGGCAGAAAGTCGCATTTGAAACGGCATTTAATTTTGTACTGACCCAACAAGTGAATATTTACAAAGAGCAACTCACAAGAGAGACATTCGAAAAGAACAATCATTCCCTCTATTCACAACTGTTTAAACAGCAGTGTGACATTTGTATGGAAATACACAACTGTTTATATCAGTCATCCTGATTACATTAGAATTTGTAAAGAATTCTTGTTACATGCTTGAGATTCTACATTTATGATGGAAAATCATATTTTACATACAGCACAACATCTGCATTTAAAATGCTTGCTAATGACAATTTTCCATGTTACAAAAATAATTCCATTGCAAAATGATTAAATTACATCATTTACAATAAGCTCACAATTTCTCCCAATGTGGTGAATTCTGCAGACACTTTAAAAATAATAACTCACCCATAGCTAGCTGAAAACACACATCAAATACAATTACAATATAAAGTTCAACAAAACAATTTGGAAACGTGTTCTTTGTTGTAAAAAGCAATGTTTCATGATTGGACACAATTATAGGCGTAATTTGAGACTGGTGGGACATGTCCCCACCCATTCTTACCAGGGTCAAGTTTGTCCCCATCACCTTTTGAAACATCTTGCGGCGCGGATGTACCTAATAAAAAAACATATCTCCAGTTGATTAGCAATTTGTTCGTTTGTGTTAAATAAGGTGCGAACTGGCGTTCTCGGATTTCATCAAAAATATACGGATATGAACGACGTGAGGGTGAGTAATTAAGAACAGAATTTATTTGTTTGGGTGAAATCACAAAACAAAATGCACACAAACATGTCCCTGATATACAATCAGTCTTGATACAATTACTGATGAGCATCTTTGTTTTAATGAGAGAAAAAATCAAATACACGTGCGGATTAGAACCCAGAATCTCGGGCACCCTTAAATGGTTAGTTCACCCAAAAATGCGAATTCTTTAATGAAGTAATTGCACACACTCTTGTCGTTCGAAACCCGTAAGACTATTGTTCATCTTCATAACAAAATTGAAGACCATTTTGATGAAATCTAAGAGCTTTCTGTCCCTCCGCTCCTACGCAAATGAAACTTTGATGCTTCAAATATTCTTAAAGAGATAGTAAAACAAATCCATATGAATGAAGCGGTTTGATGCCAAATTTTCTGAAGAGACACGGGTTGCTTTATATGATTGAATTTAGGCTTTTAGTCATAAATATTCATCAACTCAACTCACACATCCTTTGTGGTAAGCAGAAGCTCAAGCATGTTCGCTAGACAGCACGTTTTAACTTGAAGGTTCGGTTGAGCTTCTGTTCATGTTCGATGATCAATGTTTATATGAATAAAGCATAAATTAAATCTGTTCATCATATAAAGCAACCTGTGTCTCTTCAGAAAATTTTGACTAAACTGCTCGATAGGCCTACATATGTATTAGTTTATACAATCTCTTTATGAACTTTTTAAAACATAAAAGTGGTAGTTGCCTATGGAGAGACAGAAATCTCTCATATTTAATCAAAAAGATCTTCATTGTGTTCTAAACATAAACTAAATTATTGCGGGTTTGGAATGACATGAGGACGAGTGATTAATGACAGAATTTACATTTTTGGGTGAACTATCCCTTTAACCACAAGTCATTCATAAAGATCTATGTATTTATTCACTAATGTAAATACGCTCCAAATTAACAACATATTGTATAGTAGATGTAAGGATGAAAATATCACATTAAACATGAGTTCTATGTCAATAAACTCGCTCCCTGTTTCACAGATAAGGCTTAAGCCTAGTCCCAGACTAAAATGCATGTTGCTGTTTTGACTGAAAGCAACTTGCACTGATGTATCTTAAAATATGTCAGTGCCATTGTTCTGTCTCAAGATGCAAACCAGTAATGTTTTTTTTTTCAAAGACATGTTTAAAGCTACTTAAATATCCTTATTGAACTATAGGCCTAATCTAAACCATGTTTGTGACACCAGGCCTCAATGCAACACCTTCTGACATTCCTTGACATGGTAATAATACTATTTTTGTGCATTTATTATTGTACATTTCTGATGTAAGTTAGCTAACCAGTGATTGTGTATGTCGCCACGTTCACACAGAATCTTAATACGGTTCCGTTCACACACGGTTCGGTTATTTACGGGAGTGAGTCATGACAACCGCATTCTATAAACGAACTTACATCAAATTCTCAAGACTCACAACAACCGCAAAAACTCGTCATACGGGGTGAGAGCACCGCTCACAAAAGTAGTGTTGCTGGTTTTCGTATGTGGTTTCGATGAGAAATTAGCTGTGAATGTGTCATTGCAGGTTTTAGATCATTCAGTGATCTAGCTCCACCGGTCAGAGCTGCTCCCGCAAGTTTTGTGTTCAGCGCGCGACCACACAGATAGCCTATAGCAGATAGGCTAACTCGCGGCTCGATTGGACTCTTGTGGTATCAAAATTGATTGGACTTTTCAGTTTTATGGACGTCACCATCTTATCTTTGATATTCTACTTTGCTCACTCTCGCTATGGTCACTGGTAAGATAATTTGGGCTTGTCTCTCATTGCATGTTCATACAGACAGTATTCGAGATGCTACAAGTTGTAGTTTTAACGGGTCATTTCGAGACTCATACGTGTAACGAAATGCGGTTGTCATTCACAAAAATTGACAGTCTGAACGCATGTTTTGCATGCATGTCTTGGTAGGCTAATCCCAATATAAAAAATGGTTGAATTCAAACATTGATTTTCACAAATCATCAAGTGAATATGAGAACTTTTGGCTACTTTGTGGCCTTGTCTTGATTGGAACACTTCTGTGACCTTTGATTACGCAATCATAATCATAGTGTGTTTGTCAAGTCCACAGGGCAGTAGGGTGTCTTATTTGTCATTTTACAGTTCAAAAGGGTGCTCAAGTGTGCCTCTGTATGTGGCCTTAATGTGCCCTTTTGCAAAGCCCAGATTGGTGGGCCCACATGCAGTCTACCAGCCACAAATCCATATGGCATTACATTACTAAAGTATGGACGCCACAAATGGTGACCATTTGGGACAGGACCTGTGATTTTTCTGACATTACTGCATTCAATTTAACATGAGCTAAAAAAAAAAGTGTTACTAGTTTTTTTTGCATCCCTTTACAAAAGATCTTGCGTAATACAGAATAAGTCAACACAGTGTGTCCAGGTATGCTTTAAATGTGAGATATACTATATGCCAGGTTATAGTTCAGAACGTTTCAAATGACAGGATTGTATCCTCATGTACGTGAGTGAACATTAAGGTGTATGAAAACCTCAGGTGTGCTCAGATGGACACGGGACATACAATGATTCGATCTTCTAGCATGACACTGAGCACCAGGAATACAAAGTACAGGATGAACATGGTGAATCCCAACACTTTATTCATCCTCCACTTACAGGCAGCGATGGAGATAATGACGAAGAGGAGCATGAGGAAGAGCAGTACAATGGCACAGAATAGCCCATTACTACTCACAGTCACTGGGGCAAAGGAATGGTAGAGCGAGTACATCAGCCATGGCACCGGCAGTCTGTAACAGTGAGAGGTGATGTATATTTAAGCAATAAGACACAAGAATGATTTATTCAGTATGTATTCGATTGCAACATTGCAAGTGCACTATTACAAAAAAAAAAAAAAACAATAGTTCAAAAACAGGTTAATTTACATTTTTTGTCTATTGTGCTGGGCCATTTTAGTTCCAAACAAAGTTAGGGTTGGAACTAAATTCTGCAGGACAGCGGCTCTCTAGGACCGAACTTGCCTACCCCTGGCTTAGGGTGTTTAAGGGTTCACATTTCAAGGGTTGCGACTCTAGTGGGCTCTCGTGCAAATGTAACAGAGACGACATGCTAGAGGCTGCAGTCTTTAGCCTCCTTGTTAGAGCAACCGACTCTCACGCTGGAGACCCGGGTCCGAGGCCCGCACAGAGTAGGGAGAGTAGGACCCGGGTGGTGGGGTTACACAAAACGTAAGCACTGACTAACATCCGAGGGAACTATACTAAACTATCAAACACCTGACTCACTGAATATTTAGTTTTTCAGTCATCTTACCCCATGGTGATGTCAAATATGTTGCTGCCTACAGAGCTGGAGACAGCCATGTCTCCCAAGCCTTTTCGAGCCACAATCACACTGGTGATTAGATCAGGAATTGATGTTCCTGCAGCCAGAATGGTAAGACCCATGATCTCCTCAGATATGCCAATTGTCTCACCCACCTAGGAGATAAAATCTTGATAAATGCTTACTTTTTTAGGTTCTATTTGCTAATTCAGCGGCATTTAAGTGTAGCTTAAGAGTCCAAATACATTTTAGCAATAAATATTGGTTTCTATACTGACCTGATGTGCCCACCACACCATGAGATAGGAAAATATAGCAATCCATACTATTGAGCCAAGGAAGGTAATGACAAAGAACTTCTTGGATGCCTGTGAAGCACAATATATATGTCAGTTCTATCACATGTGAACAAGTAAAACAAGTATACAAGAACAACATGTGATTGGTTCTCACAGGGTTTCTGACATCTGGAACTGTCAGCCACAGTGGAAAGACAATGGGCAATAGAAACAAATATGTGGCCTGTTTGCGTCTGGTGTCTGGCCACTCTAAGGACAGAGGTTCTTCTCCTTCTTCCTCATCTTCATCATCGTCATCATCACTGTCTTCATCGCTCTCTTCATCACTGTCATCTTCCTCATCATCCTCTGAATCATCTGAACCTCCTGGCTTCTCTGAGCCTCCTTCTGCTGCGGCGTCTCCTTCCTTAACACAGAGCGAGAAAGAGACTGGCAAAAAACATAATACCCTCACAGAAAATAAAGAATTAGGAAAACAAAGTAATAGTTCACCCAAAAATGTGTTTTATCATCATTTACTTGCACTCCATTTCTCCAAACCAGTAGGACCCTCTTTCTTCTGTGGAACAAAGACGGCTCACTCTTTTCCATGCAATTATAATAAATAGGGACCACCAGAGCTTTCAAGCTTAAACGTATGCAAAAGCACAATAAAAGCATTATAAAAGTAGCTATTTAATCTAATTCAAGATGATCTTTAGCTCCAGTGCACTGCTAACCCAAAAAAATGCTATGACTGAGTGTGAGAGTTGAACTTAAGAGGAGAACCGAATTGTGAATGAATCATTCAGACCAGTTTTGGGAACTGAATTATTTGATTTATCAAAAAATCTGGATAAAAATAATGATTAGGAAATGAAGTAGCCATTTGTATTTCTTCTAAACACATCATGGAGAATAACACCATTAAATTGATGGAGCTCGAGTTCTCCTTTATTGGAATGCCATTCTAGTATATTCTTCAAAGCTTTTCCTTTTATATTCCACGGAGGAAAGGAAGTCATGATATGAGGGTGAGTAAATGACAAAGGCTTTTCATTTCTGGGTGAATTATATCTGAAATATGAATCACATACTATGTTTGACATATGGTCCCTGTCTGCTTTACAACAAGGTAAAGAATTGATAAGCTCATTAAAAGCACACAAGTTTCTCAGAGCTCCTGTTTCTTCTTCCACACTTTTTTTGAGATGCAATTGGCCCACCTTTTGTGCCTCAGGCTTTTGACCGGCGTCTTCTTCCTTGGCTCCTGGAGCCGCGTCTTCCTTGGGCTGCTGCTCCGTTTGACCTTCACCTTATTTAAACCAGGATAGTAAAAATATCAATCAAGTTTGCATTTACTTGTTAAAGCCAGCAATGCTACAAGCTCCTCTCAGGTGTGGAGTGAAGATTTCCTCAATAGGAGTGAGTAATGTTGCTATTTTCATTTGGCGGCAATTTCAAACACCACACAAGATAATCTGCAGTGATTCCAAGCCACTCATGCTTAATTCATGAGATGGAGCTTGGTCATTATGTCAGCTAATGTGCAAATCAGCTCTCAAGCAGAAACAAAAGGTGGAAATATGGAATGTGGGATGCTGTGTGGAGGGCAAAACGGGCCAAACTCTTGGCAGCGTGCCCTCTCTTTGTACCTTTCATCCAGCACACAGCTGGTACGTTACTGCTTGTGGAAATGCAACATTAATAACCATTTTGAATATGCAACAGAGCTCATCTGTGAGGTAGGACAATGCACCGTCCTGTCTACAAAGGTCTGTGCAATCATAATAGAACAGACTAAGATTATAAAATCTCACCTTCACCAGATTTTTCCTTCTTTTTGTTTTCTACCTTCCCCCGGGCCATGTCGTTCAAAATCTGAGCCTTGTCTTTAAATTTCACTGCAAACCAGGAAAGGAAGAATATAGCTTGAATGTAGACTTTGACTGAGACTGTCAGGGTCAACAATGGCAGTACCACAAATGACAGAAGCCCTAATTTCACAAAACGTCATTTTTCTCACGTCATCTCACTGGCTACGACAAAAAAAGCAATCACATCACAAGAATGACATCACAAACACTAAGCCCCTTACCTTTACATCCCAAAGAGCTTCTAGCCTTTGCATCTCCATTAAACACTGACTCTAATGAGTAAAAGTAGATTCATATACAATAAATACCATGGTGAGTTTTACAAATGCATCTTCAAATGCCCTTTAAAATTACTCATGTATGCACTGACTTGGATACCAGCAAGCGGCATCGTTAAATGTTAAAAGTTCATAATTGGATTTATTTAAAGAAAAATATGGACAGGTCAAAGTATAAATGCATAAGTGTGAATTTCATGAAAAATATGAAGAAATGTTTGGATCAGCAAGCCTGATTTCTTGAATTATGACATTATTTTTTGGAACAAATTATTTCACAATCCAGAGTCTTTATATATATAGAATATATATGTATATATATAAATATATATTATTTGAAATATTTATATTTAGAGATTGTTGATTGTTATTGTCTGTTTTATGTTCCGTTATGTGGGCTCTTACATTCTGTTGTTTCCTTTTGTTCCCTTTTCTTTCTGCTGTTTAGTTTCGGTTCCCCTGGTTACTTATTACTCCGTAGTTTGTTTCTATGATTTCTTATGATTTTCACCTGTGTCTTGTTTAGTTTAGAGTATTTATACTCCCTGTTTGGTTTTGTCTTTTGTCGGTTATCATCTATGTTTTATGTGTGAATTATGTGTTTGTGTTCTCCTGTGAACTCGAGTGTCGATTAAATGGTTAGTTCACCCAAAAATCAAAATTAAGTAATTAATTACTCACCCCCATGCTGTACCAACCCCGTAAGACCTTTGTTCATCTTCGGAACACAAATAAAGATATTTTTGATTAAATTTGAGAGCTGTATCACTACCTCATAGGCACCCTAAGGGATTGAAACTTGACGGCCCAGAAAGTCATTGAAGAAAATGTTTAAATATTCCATGTGACTACAGTGGCTCAACTAAGCGACGAGAATACTTTTTGTGCGAAAAATCAAACAAAAGTGACAACTTTATTCGACTTTATTAAACGACTTTAGATTTCCACAATGCATGCGCGAGAACTACGTTCTTATTCAACTGCATCTTGCGCAATTCTCGCGCATGCGTCGTGGAAATCTCTTGAACTCTTGTCTCAGGCCTACAAGGAAGAAAAGGAATATTCAAATAAAGTCATTATTTTTGTTGTTATTTTTCACATTAAAAAGTATTCTTGCCGCTTGATAAACTTATAGTTGAGCCACTGTAGTCACATGGAATATTTAAACATTTTCTCCAATGACTTTCTGGGCCGTCAAGTTTCAATCCCTTAGGCAGCCTATGTAACAGTGATCCACCTCTCAAATTTAATAAAAAATATCTTCATTTGTGTTCCGAAGATGAACGAAGGTCTTACGGGGTTGGTACAGCATGGGGGTGAGTAATTAATGACTTAATTTTCATTTTTAGGTGAACTAACCATTTAAAGAACTGAGATTAGGCATTACTTTACACAACACCATTTTCAACAAGAAACTGAAAACTTTGTATTCATTTTGCTGTTCATTTACACAACAACGGCATTTTTGGGGCCTGAAAATGCTAACTTTTAAAAAATCTGTTTCAAAATGAAACGATAGCATTGTCATCATTTGTGAAAAAGGTGACTTCATGTGTATGACGTGTTCAGTCTGGTGTGTTGTGTTTCTTTGCAAAGTGGCATCGCCAACTACTAGCCTGAAAACATAATACAGCGTTTTTAGTCGTTTCAACGATTTTTGCAATTTTGAGAACGTTGATGTCTGTAAAAACTTCAAACTTCCAAAGCTATTTTGAGAGTATGCAATGTAAGCGTTTTAGATGTTAAGTGCTTGTTAATTATTTATCAACCCAAATGTAGATACATAATGAACCTGTCACGTTTTGGTTTTGTTCATGTCATGTTCCATGTCTGTCATGTGATTCCCTGTTTGTCACGTAATCCTGCCATGTGTCTTGTCATTGGTTAATCGTCTGTTCATTGTTCACAGGTGTCCCTTGTCTTGTCATTAATCTGTGTATTTAAGCCCTCATGTTTGCCATGTGTCTTCTTTGTGAAGTATTGTTACCTGTAACCACTGTTTGGAAGTCTATGTCCACAGGTATGTTTCATGTTTTATCTTCTGTTATTTTGAATAAAACTGCACTTGGGTTCTCTCGCTACAACTTGCCTCCAGTGGATCCTTACAGAACCTTTAAATTGATCTCATTGACTACATCAGGGACCCTATCACAATAACAGGATTGAGCTGAATGGGAAAGCTGTTTCTCATTCAACCTTTATGAGCTCAATCAAAAGCAGCTTAATGATGGAGCCACATAGTACTGTGAGGTTTTTTGTGAGGACCCTGGGAGTGCAGGTGTTGAGGAGAGGCTGAAGGTCAAGGGGACCAACCCCAGCCAGCGAACCACTGACCCACCGGGACCTCGGCACCAGGGAGAACCCATGTGCAATGCGAAAATAATATAGTGTATGTTTAAATGGTCACATATACATTGATGTGACTTGACAAAATGTCATAGAGCCTCTGCGGTGGGCCCATCCTTCGTCTCACTACTATGAATCACTCTCCACTCCATAGACTGAGAAAGAGCCATTTATCTTCTTAGTATCAATCTGGATTTAGTGCTGTCATAATGTGGAACACGCTTTGCTAATCCATTTGTACTAGGAGAAGGACAAAGGGACTCTACTGCTACACTTCTGAACGTCTTACAGCACATGCCTGAGTGAATATAGGCTTATATCATATGATTGGTATTTTTAGCTATATACAATTTGTGTTTCGATATACAAAACAGTCTATAAAAAAATCCATCTAGCTAATTCCTCCAGTAAACCAGTAGCACTTTGTATAAATGGCATAATTTGAGTCTTCAAGTAACAAAAGAGCAATACATTCTTATCATAGACGTTTCCTGATCTTTTAATGTTAACTCAAAAATCCTTTTCAAACATTTCTAAAAGGCATAGTTCACTCAAAAATCTAAATTCTGTCATCATCTTCTCATCCTCTTTCCATACCAAAACTGAATGACTGAATGAAACAGAAGATAAAAAATATATATTTTGAGAAATGAGTTTCTTTGTCCATACTACAATGGAAGTCAATGGTTTGGTTCCCAATCTTCTACTAAATATCTTCTGTGTACCGTTGAAGAAAGTCATTCATACAGGTTTGCAACTACATGAGGGTGAGTAAATAATGACCACATTTTCATTTATGGGTGGACTGTCGCTTTAAATCTCCAGAATTGAAATTTGTAATGCTTCCGTGCGGTGTTTGCTTAATGAGTTATCATTATGAGGGTTCAGACACTGAAGGGCTCTTACCCTCACCAAGAGGATCCAGTGTGTGAATCATCAGTTGGAAGATGGTGTTCCTCATGGTGCTGTTGTGCAGAGAGGCAGAACTGCCCCCGCGCTGCAAAGTGGGCTTCAGCTACACAGGAGAAATATGATCGTGTCGAAAGAATTTATATCTGAACCTGCAAATACTGTTTGCCAAATGGACTTCATATAAATATGGTATTTAAGTAACAGTATGTTATATTAAGTATATTACTTCATATGAAAGGACATGTCAAATGTATCCAATCTTTTCAAGACTATTTTTTTAAGTTAAAATGCTTGACAACTATAAAAAAGAAAAACATCTGAAGGGCTGATTTCCCAGGAACAGACATTATTTTTGTAGTTCCATTTGGTGACAATAGTGCCAGATAAATCACACCCTTTATCTTTTACAATGATTTTTGAATCTAGACCTATTGACATATTTACATACTGTTTGTTATTTTTACATTAACGTGTATTTGCAAATTTTCGATTACCTTTAGTCGATCCGTGTCTTCTGGTTTAGGCGGCCTGTTCTCTTCAGCCGAAGTCCCGTTGTCCTGTGTGCAAAAACAGATTGAAACATTGACCTTTGACTTTCACTTCTAATTCTACTGTTCATTCACGTTCCCTCAAAGACTAAAAGGAGACCAATCAATTTATTGAACAAAGAGGATGTACCACGCACGTTTATTAATATTGTAAATTGGCTTTTATTTTTTCTATTTTCACTTTTCATTTTAATTGTTGTCTTTTGCCATATTTTAGTGCAGTTAATTGCCAAGGCAACATTTCTAATTTGACCTTTTTTGTTATGTTTTCTTGTTCATTTTTCATCTAACATTTAACTTTAGCATTTTATGTCAGCTTTATTTATCGGAAAAAAAAAATTAATAGTTTACATTCAAAAACAACATAAGTGAGCAAGCAAATATATACAGTAAACTATATGAAATTCTGTATTTTATCGTTACTGCTGTACTTGTTACTTATCTGTGATAAATTCAATCCAGTGGGTTTAGTTTGATAGAGATCTAGGCCCTCTGGGTCTAGTAAGCCTTCTTACACTATATAAGCTTCAATCACACTCATCAGATTTAAACACTCTATATGTTACACAGTTTGTACATCACATCAGACCCATAGGATTAAGTGAACATCTTTGGATCAGAGAGCCACAGTGTTATCTTAGTATTACTTTGATCACATAATAATATCCCTCCACTTATTAACGTTTTTTCACCGAATGAGACACATTTACAATAATAACCCATTGACTGTTTGTTACTGCAGCTTAAAGTCTCCTTCTCAGGTGAGTGTGATCACAGAGATGTTATGACAGATTATCAAGTGTTGATCTCTTCTAAGCTGATAGATGTTCAGGATGAAGAAAGGAACTTGTGAAAATGACCACACCATTTCTTTATGTTATGTGATAGTGTCACTAAATCAGATGGGGCCGTCACTGTGAGCCAAATGCACCTGCTCCAAATACCTCGCCTGCTGCAAGACAACTCATTAACAATGTCTGGCCCCAGCAGACACAAGCGATCCTTTTCATTTCTGTTTATCAAAGGAAAATGAAAACCCATGCGTATCTGTTCAATGAATAAACATAAGTGACTCACATTCACCTGAGTGGGATGCTATTATATCTCTGCTATCACGTCCATGAGCAGATATTATAGTGGTTCCTCATCACTGTCCTATCATCAACACTGTCCTAAACAGAAATAAATGTTTCTTGTTTCTTCATATTTTTGAAGCACAAATGGTAAAGCGTGGTGCTATTAATGCACAAGGTTTTGGGTTTGAATCCAAGTACTGATAAAATGTGTATTAAACTCACACTTTGGATAGAAGTGTCTCCTAAATTAATAAATGTAAATAGTGTGACCAGCAATGCTGCATTTTTCAATTTACGGTAGCACTTTATTTTACAGTCCCAGTGGTGCATGTGCATATTACTATGTCTTATAATAGCAATTACAATAACTGGGTTATGACCAGATACTAAACCTAAACCTACTCCTACACCTAACCTTAACTCATAAAGTTACTTATTTTACAGTACTTTCTTAGGTAAGTAAACTCTAATTACAAGTACTGTAAAATAAAGAGTTACCCAATTTACAAATACAATGACTTCTTTTATTATGAGCATGTTTGTCATTTCTGAATTCAAATTAATAGTATAGCCAGTGCCGTCCACCCTATGTACAGAGAAAATTGGCTGAGAAGTTAGCAAGGGGTCCAGAAACCACAAGGGAACCCCTGGAGACCAGCATGGGACGCTGGTTTGCATGGTCCCCATGCAGCATGGGTTGCGGGAGCTCAAGTGGACCAGCTAAACCACCTCAGTTTAGCTTGAGAACCGTATAATATGCTAGACCAGCAGCTCTAACCAGCCTGGACCAACATGAAATTCATGCTTGATTTTTCAGCAAAAAACTTCGACACAAATAACACAGCCAAAGACTAATTCTAATTGTGTATATTATTGGCAAAAGTAATGAAGCGTACCTTCTCAGGTTCTTCCACCGCGATGACTTTCACAATGTTCTTGTGTTTCATGAGCTGATATTTAAAGGCGCGCTCTATCTGAACATTGTACTTCATGAAAATAACATAGAGAGCATAACCGCTCACCAGCATCATACTCTCCCACCACATAATGGTGTTGTCCAAGAAGAAGATGATGAGCATGATGAGATCGACGATGTAGAACGACACGTCCCGAAAGAGAGGCCACCAGGTGAGGTAAAGCATCTCCCGGGAAAACAGCGCACACATTCCGATCACAAATAGGATGTTAAAGACAGCCGAGCCAACAATGGTTCCAATGCCCACGTTGCTATGAGAAATGAAGACACCGATCAAGGAAGTGAAAAGTTCGGGAGCAGAGCCTCCAGCGGCCATAAAGGTCGCCCCGGCCACATCGTCTGAGATGGCCAGTTTGTCTGTGATGACCCCCAACGTAGGGACGAAAAACTCATCGCAGACAATGGCCAAAGAAACAAACATGTATATCATTCCAAAGATGTGGAGCGAGACCCAGCCTCTGCGTCGATCCTCAATGGAGAAGATGTCCACCGGGTACTCGCCCTTCATGTGTGGTGCTTCTCCAGGGCTGGATGCTGTAGTGTTGGGCACCAGAGTGGTCGTATCGGTTTCTGGAGTGGGAACCGGGGTGGGTTTTGGAAGGTTAGGATCCACATAAATGCAGTGGACAATTGTCCTGTTTGCGGTTGTTGTAGGCTCCTCTGTTGTAGACGTTGTTTGGATGGGTCTATCTGTTGCTGTCTCTGACGGCTGGGCCACATCTGTGTGGTCGGTGCTCTTTGGCTCAACATTGGTCAAATTAGTCACAACCTCTGGCATCTCCAACAGTCCTGCATCCAGAGCAAGTCCGGAGCCATCTTCGAGGTCTCCTGCTCTCTGGGGCTCGGGCCAGGGGTCTGGAAGTCTGGCTCTGATAGTGAGTTGATATAAAGAACAAAGGAAAACCCCAGACAGAAGAAATATAATCCGGCTGAGCTGAAGTCTCTTTCTTCGAGTCAGGAACATTTTCTAGTGTGTTTCCTAATGGCCACTGAGTTGTTTTTTAGGGCAATGATACCCAGAACATCCAGAATTTCGCCCCAAAAGATGCAGGGGTATATCTCTCTCAGACTGTTTCATCTCATTTCTCTGTCGTCCAGGTTTACTCTCACAGACCTTACAGTAGATAAAAGGAGGAATACTGAGTGCAACAGTTGGACAGACAACACTGAATGTAGGATCTGCAGATTACTGTTGCTATTACATTTTTTTCTGATATGTGTTTCTCATCTAACCAACACATTGCATTGGATTAACAATATCTTAACAATTCTAGCTTTTCTAAAAATAAATAACGTCGTCAAAGGCACTCATGTGAATTGTTTAAATCAAACTTCTGAAGATTGACAAAAAGGCCACTGAAAGTAGTAAATTACCCTTGTATCATCATTTATGTAACCTTTTATAGATTTAATTCATTATCAATCAATCAATCAATCTGTATATCTATCACATAACTGAGTGGAGCACTGCATAGTTTAAATGGTTAGGGAAAACGCCATAAAAATGCTCCAAGGGATAAAATTGCCCCTTAATAATAATAATAATAACTTGACACTGCGTCTAAGTTAATTCATTTTTAGAAAAGCGTTTCTTTAAAAATCCCGTCTAAACAAAAGTATCATGGAATATCCGTCTCATTTATATTATAGTTTCTGTCCACCGTTAATAAGAATAGCACTGTCATTTTCAGAAGCAGCATAAAAACAATAAACAATTGTAAAAACAGTAGCATGAACACTGAAATGTAAAGTGTGACAGTTTGGTGGCAGCGGGTATTTTTATATCAGCATTGAACTACAAGAAATACTAATATGGATAAATGAACCATATTAACAATTTAAATTAAAACTTCATATAGGCTACTGTAAAAAAAAAAAAAATATAGCAGTAGCCTAATTGCGAACACGCTAAAGAGACCTACCGGTGCAAAGCGAGGCTCGCGCGGTGAGTTGAGCGCTGCTGTCTCACAGCTGGGCTGCAGGGAAAGGCACGGATGCTGTGAAGCGGCTACAGGTCAAGCAGGACGCACCGCAGGACAGCTCTTCAGCGTGGATCAGCACAATACCTAATACCTGGAGTCTGTTAAGAGGATTAGATGTAGCCTACTCTCTCCACTCTCTCTTATTAGGCATATGCCTTGAACAAATATCCCAATTATTTAGCTTATCGTCTCATTCATAATGGTAAAGAGTCAGACACGTGAAAATTGGTCATTAAAATACAAAATTAAAGTCTAAACCATCTTTTGGAGAATATTATATTATTACATAATTATGATGCTATTATGGATTACAGATTAGTGAGCCCTCAAGATTTTAAATCGAATTTTAACTGTTTTTTTGTTTTTTGTTTTTAATTCAAGACATTCTCCTAAATTTGTAGATTTCTGTATAGGCTATCTCCTGAAATTTTCTTTAGTTTTTCTATCTTTTATTTTAAGAGAGATTTTATTTTAGGATACAACTTTTAAAAATCACTTTCTCGAGCGCTTTCCTGGCTAGGAACGAGTTGGCGTGTTTCTTTTGTTTCCAAACGGTCCGCTTATCTCGGCGCACACTTGGTTAGGAAGAAGGGATTTTCAGCGATGGGTAAAATTTTACCATTTTATTGAAATATGCTAAACTGGGTGTTGTACGAGCTGAATTTGGAAATGGGAAGGACATATTATTAAGACTTTTAAGATAATTTGATGGTTTTCTTTTTATATTTAAACGAGAACGTTTGGTTGGACACTGACAGTAACACTCAACAGCTTTAACTTATTTACTTTGATTGCTCTGTTAACTTTACATGGGGAAATTATTTTTAGAAAGTGTTGGTCTCCCAGCCCTCCCTGGCTAGTTTTAGAAGGGTTTTGCATACTGTAAACTGGTCAGATTTGGGGACTAAATAGACCAGTTTAAATCAGCAAAGACGCGTGTAAATCAGCAAAGAGTGTAACTTAACCAAAATCAGAAAATGATTTTATATGCGTGTGTTTTATGTACACTGCAGCAGAAGCTTCTGTTGCCACACTAACATATGCTCCTGTTTTTACACAGACATCTCAAGCATACAGTCATAACTGTTTACATTCATAACTGTTTGTAAAGAGAAGAGTTTGCAAACATGCCTACTGTGGTTCTTATGGACTCTTCGCTGTCCATGACACGACCGGTGTCAGTGGAGGGCAGTGAAGAGTTTCAGAGAAAGAACCTGGCAGTTCATGGACTGACCATGCTGTTTGAACACATGGCCACAAACTACAGAATGGAGTTCACTTCACTTATTGCCTTCTCCTCGCTCTGGGAGCTTATGGTGCCATTCACTAGAGACTACAATACTCTGCAGGTAAAAGCAGAACATGTGTTAAATATAATGTAAATGCAATGTCTTAAACCTAATTCATCATTATGAGCCCTTATGATCTGTAATAGTTGTTGGGGGTCTTATTGTTATCTCTCATTCATTGTTGTGCAGGAAGCTTTGAACAACCTTGAAGACTATGATAAAACCTGTTTAGAGGCTGCATTACAAGGTGTTAGTAATGTAGTACAGCAGGAGTGGGGAACCGCTTGCCCATGCCAGGTAAAAAAAAAAAAAATCCAATTTATTAAAAATATTAGATATTATGGCATATTCAATATGTTAATCAGGCATATACACTTACATATACACGACTACTTGTTAAAAGTTTGCAATAACAAAGATTTTTAAATGTTTTCGAAAATCTCTAATGCACAGCAAGGCTGTAATTGTTTTGATTAAAAATACAGTACAAAGATTAATATTAATCAAATGTAAAAGAACTGTTTGTATTCTTATATATTGTAAAATACAATTTATTCTTGTGATGGCAAAGCTGATTTTTCAGCATCAATACTCCAGTCTTCAGTGTCTCATGATGATGATCCTTCAGAAATCATTCTAATATGCTGATTTGCTGCTTAAGAAACATTTCTAATTATTATCAATGTTTAAAACTATGCTAATGCTAAATCATTTTGTGAAAAAGCAAAATAAAGATGCTGTTCTTATAAATATTCTATTGATAAAAAAACTACTAGTATACATATTGGAATAACAACCAGGACCAGAATAAATGCAGTATGAAAAAAACAGTGTTATGTAAAATATTTTATGGACTACTGTACACAATACAATGAATGTAGTATATACAAAAATGTAAGTTGAAGATATAAATGTACTGCTCAAAATTGATCATGTTATGCCTCAGCACTATGTCTGATTAATCTGTTCAGTAAATTGTTAGGAATGATTTTTTATAATCGTTGGTAGAGTATGATGGTAGTGGTGCACATAAGCACTTTAGGTGGGAGTCTAAACATTAAACATAACATATTTGAATATACAGTACAATAATTGTACCATGATTTTTTCTGAAGACCATTTTTATATATAATGCTAAATGTACTAAATAATTGCTGTGACTGCATTTTCGTTGTTGATCAGTGTTTATGTTGTTTTTATGGTGGCCTTTAGGTGGTGCTGGTCACTGATGGTGCTCTGGGCATTGGTCGTGGATCTTTGCGTCACTCCCTGCAAACAGTGAAACAACGTGTGGAGGACAAGAAATTCCCACTTCCTTTCCCATTCCCTTCCAAATTCTATGTCATGTGCATTGCCAATGCAGAGGAGGTACTTCAGTGTTTTTTGCAGTGTCCTTACCAGTGTTATTTTAGTGTCATTCAGATACAAGATTGGTGCCAGTATGATTTATAGGCCAAAATGCTGAAACGAGTTAGCATTTGAGCTCTTCTGGTTCCAGTGTCCCGAAGTCCCGTCCCGGTTACTCGAAAGACCCAAATCCATTTTCTTGTTGTATTCTACAAAATAAAATACAGCAGTATTACGCCACTTGTGATTTTTTTTAAGCTGTTAAATATCTTGCTAACGTTAGCGATTGCTAACAAGTGGCTAAAGGGGACTACAGAGGCAGTTGGCTTTATAAAATGTCACCACGTTGAAGAGATAAGATCAGTCAGCTTTTACATTCTTGTTTTGCTTATTATATTATAATTGTGTTCTTGTAAATGATTCTAACTCAAACTTTGTTAGGAAAAAAACTAAAGGGGTTGTCTAAAGCTTAGTGATGGTGACGTTGAAGCCACGTGACCATGGTGTAGTTTGTTTATAGCCTAGCTTTAGCTTTTTACTTATGGCAACTGCATTTAGGTTTCAAAAATCATAAAAGTTGTTAATCTGTGAAAATTATCTTGATGGACAAAACATGTAAGTATCATAAATAGTTTTTGATCACAGAGCTTGTTTTTAAGTATAATTCAAAAGCCTTGGGAAAATCCTATTTCATCAAGGGAACCAGGGTGACGTTAACTGCTGGTTGGCCCACAAATTGACGTCATAACGGCACCACTCTATTATAGTTTTTATTACAAACAAAAACTATAATAGAGTTTTTATAACAAAAAATGTTTAGATTAAAAAAGTTAGTAATGGAAAAATCTTTTCCTTTTATGTGCTTGAATCCATGTTATTGTTTTGATGTCCTCTGAAGCTCCAAGCTACGGATGGTATGGATAACTTAGAGCAGCTGATTAATATGAATGACGGAGAGGGTCAGATATACACTATGGAGGGACCCCTTTGTCTCAAAAGTGTCCAGTCTATGTTTGGGTGAGTGATGTTTTTTCTTTGTGTAAATACCACTAAATATGTTCTGGTATTTTTGTTGTTTAGTCAACATTTTGTGATGAACAGCATCACTGTGTTTTTGTGTTGCCAGAAAGCTGATTGACCAGGCGTACTCTCCCTTCCATGCGGTGCTGCGCTGTGGGAACCTGACCTCTGATGTGCAGGTCTTTCCCAGGCCAGAGCCAGTGATCGTAGATGAGGAAGTGGATCCCCTGCCCAAAACAGTGCAAACAGGTACGAGCAGAGAATCTAATGTAATGTAAACATTTATAACTATACTTTTGTGTTTTTAAATTGTTTCCTCTTGACTAATTACAAAAGCATTTTATGTGAGAATGTTTAATGTATGTAATATTATGTTTAATGTATTTATAAATAAATAATTGTAAATAATTTTTATTTGTTGCTAATCATGCTAGATTCTATATAATGAGGTAATTGGAGGAAAGTGCACATAATGGTTGTCGTATATTTATTTTAGACTTGGAGATTGTGGGTTTTATTGAGATTGGAGACATCTCCAGCCCTCCGGTTTTATCCAGGCACTTGGTCCTGCCTATTGCTGTGAACAAAGGTCAGTATAATTAAAATTCTAAATAATTAACATGATCAATTAAATTCCATCACTTCAGAAGATTCAATAACTGAATGTTCTTCGGCATTTAGACTTTTTATTACCAATGAATTCACTTTTCTAGTTGTTTGATTATTATTTTAATTACTACTATTTTTCTCTCAAATACTAATTTCTATCCAATAATTATACATTAATTATAACAATGTCCATGACTTTTTAAGCTTTTATTCATTTCCATGACTTTTCCAATCACACTTTTAAAAATGTCCTTGTATATCTAGGTTTTCCAAAACCGTGAGAATCTTGGTTCATAAATAAAAATGACATTTGTTGAGGGATCAAATAAAATGAGAAATATAGTGTCGGCTTACATCTTAAAGCAACACGATGTAGCACTTTTTACCTTAAAATAATGTTTCCAAAATCTTATCAGTGGTTCATCAAGTCAAAACAGGGTGAAAGGCACATTTGCCATAGCCTGACAGGGTCTGTATCGCTTTTACTGGCACTTTGAAACTCCGGGGTTCGGGTAGTAACCCGACCACAAAAGAACTACAAAATTCGACTGCGTCTACGTCAAACGTTACAATAGTCATTATTTCGTTTTTCTTCCTTTCTAATGTCGCAATACATCATCCTTTCATGAAATCATGCAACATAATCTACCTTGTCTGTGGACCTCGTTCATTCTAAAGCCGGTGCTGGATAAACAACGAGCGTGCATGCGACGGTAGGCTAAACTATTTACGTCAGCAGTAATGGACAATTTCGTTTCTGACCAGTAGGGCGACCGAAGAGGAAAAGTTCCATGGTGTTGCTTTAATATTAAGTAGTTTTAACCCATTTTAAAGCTGGTTTTGTCTTTTTTTTTATCAATTCTTTTGATTGACAGAGGGGGATGAGATGGGTACGGGGACCTCTGATGAGACCGAGGAAGAGACCTCCACAAATCAGATGGCTGGAAAAAGCCCAAACTTCTGCGTTCTTCTACATGGCAGCCTAAAGGTGGAGGGAATGGTGGCGCTTGTACAACTAGGGTAAGGAGCAATATAAAAATATCCCACTGTTTCCAAATTTTTCAAAATGAGGGGTTTGTTTTCATTACCAACACATTTGAGATAAAATGATGTAGTTACTCTGAAATAAAGATTTGCCCTGTCTATAACTGCGTTTTCCTCTATCAGGCCAGAATGGTTCGGAATGCTTTACTCCCAGGCAGACAGTAAGAAGAAGTCCAATCTAATGATGTCACTCTTTGAGTTCGGCTCAGAGCCTCTGCCTTGGTTGGGCAGAATATCACATCTCGGACCTGCCTCAGGTAGCATGTTTTCGCAAAAAAATTTTTTTGTAACGGCCACACTTAAAAGGCCTGTTCAAATGGAATAAAAATGAACTGCATTCTACTGCATTATGCAGTGTGTGCAAGTAGTTAATAATTAAAACATTGAAACAAAAGATAGCAACCTAGACGGTTCACCGAGTTCAGTTAGGAAACCTGTAGGTAAATACACAAGGGTCAGGGATAACAGTAGTACCACACATTTGCATGAATACATTTTTTTTTTCCTCTCATGCTTTGCTTCCTTCTGAGACTAGACGTGTTCTCACCTACATGCACATTGTTTTGCATAACGTTTTGCTTACTGTCCAACGGAATAAATAATTATTCACCATGATTATTTGTTTGCTTGACCTACAGATGCTGCTGAAAATCCCTATGGTGAAGATGACAGTAAAAGTCCTTTTCCCATACAGCCGAAACACAAGAGAAGCTATGCTCAGAATGTTACTGTCTGGATTAAAGCCAGTGGACTGCAGGTATACATCTGATCACTACACTACAAATGATTTATATTTGACACTGATTAAATGTCATTAGAACTAAACTTTTTAATAATCACATTTGCAGACAGATGTACAGAAAATTCTCCGTAATGCAAGGAAATTGCCCGAAAAAACGCAAACATTCTATAAGGTGGGTGTGTGTATGCATGCATGTAATTTTCTATAAGTAAATTGATTTAATATATAAATATAAAAAATTACAATTTATGGATATCATGGACCAGGGTTCCTCAAACTTGGCCCTGGAGGGCCACTGTCCTGCACATTTTAGCTCCAACCCTGATCAAACACACCTAGCTGTGAGTTTCTAGTGATCCTGAAGACATTGATTAGCTTGCTCAGGTGTGTCTGTATTGTAACTAAACTCTGCAGGACAGTGGCTCTCCAGAACCGAGTTTGAGGAACCCTTGTCATGGACTGATTTATGATCCTTTTAATTAGTTAAAATTGGGGCTGTCAAACGATTAATCGCATCCAAAATAAAAGTTTGTGTTTACATAACACATGTGGCTGCACTGTGTATACTTATTTTATATATATATAAATACACACACATGCTTGTATATATTTAAGAAATATTTTCGTGTATATAGATTTATATAGGATTTTTATTATATATAAATAAAAATATTTTATATATAATTTTTTTTTCTTAAATATACATGCATGTGTGTGTATGTATATATATATATATATATATATATATATATACACAAAATAATTATACACAGTGCACCCAAATATATTATGTAAACACAAACTTTTATTTTGGATGTGATTAATCAGCCCTAATTTTAACTAATTAAAAGGATCATATATCAGTCCATGACAGGTTTCCTCAAACTTGGGTGCGATTAATCGCTTGGATGCGATTAATCGTTTGACAGCTCTAGTTAAAATACTTTTTGTGGTACATTTGTATTTGAATCACTGCAGGAATTGAACCGCCTTCGGAAGGCCGCTCTCGCCTTTGGTTTCTGGGAGCTTCTGAAGAATATGGCTGAACTTCTGGAGAGAGAGTGCACTCTTCTGCCTGACTCTGCCCACCCTGATGCCGCCTTCCAGCTGTCGCACGCTGCTCAGCAGCTTAAACTGGCCAGTAGCGGAGACTCGAAATACGCGGGCTTCGAACACAACATCACTCCCATGCTCACTGATTTCTCAGGGGGAGGAGGAGCTGAGCGAATATAGGATGGAGGAACAATACTCAATGGACAACTGCCTGAGCAATTATAGAGGAATGTGGCTTCATCGAAAAACTCTGCTCAACAAGCAATGTTTGTCCACAGAAAATGGGTTACAACAGCAGGATCACACAAATGTGGCATTTCAATGTTTTAGTAGTGCCACAAAGGTTGGGATTTGCTGTTTTGGTGATAGATTTCAAATAAGAGGAATCCTTGGACTTTGTGACAAATGATGACGTTGAGCACTCGATTCGAGGAAAGAAAAACATTAATCTGCTTTACAGGCAAATGCATTTAGATGGTTTTAGAATCTGTTTTCAGAGCAGTAAATGTTTGTGTATATAATGTTTTTTTCTAACATTGACTAATAGAAAAATGTACTTTATGCTTAATGATAGACATCTGATGTTTTGTTTCACTGAAATTTAATTAAACGTTTTCATTTGCATTTACACATTCATGTCCAGATCCCACATCCAATGACACTGAATTGACTCTTCCCATGTAACTTGAATGTTTTATGAGGTTTTCCCTGAGGTTCATGGTCTGTCTTGTTGTTTCTTTGTGCCAACAGAAATGACTGTTACAACACATCTCAGGGATTGACATGAAGAAAATGTTTCTGCGTTTCAGTCAAGTAAGCCTGTCACACAGCTAATCTACAACACAAAACCACCAAACATACATGAAATGTATAAATACCTTCATGGTTCTGGTTAGAATTCTTTTGGTAAGAATCTGTAGTGTTATAATAATAATTTTCAGTATGTAGAAATTAAATGCACTTGACATGGTTTTGCCTCAATAATGAATCTCAGTGACAAGAGGGAAAATATAAAGAGAGAAAAGGGAGGTGCAAATTAAATCAAAGAAAAGAGAGATAAGAGGAATAGAGCATGTGGTCCCCTTTCCCTCAGTTTGCTTTCCTCTTTTTTGTGCGAAACCGTCTCCTCCTCTGCTTGAACAGGTGGCGGAAGTTGATGAAGAGGCCTGAAATTACATGTTATAAAAATAATGCCAATTAAAGCTCAGCTCTAAAATATTGAATTGGCTATATGCTATTAATTAAAATATCTATAAGATGATTTAACAATCCTCTTCTACTGTAGCAACTGGACAAGTTGCTTTAGTCAAACGTGAGGACCATAGTTTCATTAGTAGCATGTTTTTTTGTGGACCTTACCCAGAAACATTAGCACCAGGTAGAGCTGCAGGATGTAGGAAAAGCTGAGCGAGAAACCGATGGCTTTAGGCAAATGAATACTGAGGAGTTTGGTTTCGTCAAAGATTGGGATGGACTGGACCACCGCCACGGCTGATCAGAACATAAGAGAGCATGAGAAAAGTTGTCAGTTCTCACTGTCTCATGAGTTTTCCTTATGATAGTCTACAGATACACATACCTTCAGCTAGCACTCCAAGAGGGTACAGCGGTATCCATATGGTGTATCTCAACCAAGTCAACAACTTCCATTCGGTATCAATGCAGGCCAACATGTAGAAAGGATACCTATAGTTCATTATTACAAAAGCAGGATTAGATATATCCGTTTTTATCTAACAAAAGTCGCTTGCAGGACCAAACTGTAGGGCTCAATATACACTACTGTTTGTATTTGGTACGTTTATTTTAACTTTTTTGACATTTTTGCGTCTTTTATGCTCGCAAAGGCTGCAATTATGTGATTAAAAATACAATAGAAAAACAATATTGTGAAATAGTACTACAATTTACCTTTTCTATTTAATTTTTTTAAATGCAATTTATTCCTATGATGTCAAAGCTGAATTTTCAGTATGATTACAGCAGTCTTCAGTGTTACATGATACTTCAGAAATCATTATTATATGATGATTTGCAGTTCAGGAAATATTATCAATGTTGAAAACAGTTAATATATCTTCGGAAAACATGATTTTTTTTAAAGGATTCTTTAACTAATGAAAAGTTCAAAAGAGCAGCATTTATTTGAAATATAAATATTTTGTAACATTATGAATTAATGGCTGAATTTAATGAATCCTTGCTAAATAAGATTATTTCTTAAAAAGAAGAAAAATCGCAGTGACCCCAAACGTTTTCACTCTAATATATATTATTTATTTTAATAAAAATTATTATTAGAAATAAAAATATGTTATAACATCCAAAACTCAGATATGCGCAGATATCTATTCTCATTTTTATTTAACTACTTAAAACCTAGTTTTGAGGTAATGAGTGTGACATTTCACTACTGGCAATCGGATGCGTGTCTCATAGTGATATGTTGTGTGTGAGCCCACAGGAAGAAAACTACTTGTTTTATCGCAATAGAGGAAGAAGTGTAGAAAAAAATACGGCTGTACAGAGTACAGACACCACACACACACACACACAACATCACTGCTCAAAGTCCATGAAAGCTCTACCTAAAACCATTAGCCTCAAATACAAACATCTTTCTAATATAGTTTGTATTCTGTAATTATGATTTAGGTTCTAATTTTCAGTATATTTAGCAATGAGAAGATGCATTTACTTAAACTAAGGAACGCACATAGGAAGCTGAATAATTAGTAACATCTGGCCCATAAAATAAAAAAAAATCAAAAAAGGATATCCTGCAGATAAAGAAATTCATACCACACATTGACACCAACTCCTACATTTCCACACCACTAGCAGAAGCTGCTCTTAAACATGATACAAGAAGATCACACACTAATATTACCTGAATATCTCAATCGTACTCCACAGATAGAAGACAAAGAAGACCACTGGCTTGTTCTGCATATCCTCTAAGCTACCAAATATGACAAAAAGGATGAAGTTTCTCCCCATCACCTTTAACGAGAGAAATGTAAATAATTCCCACTGTCATGAAAGTTAATACTCAAAACAAATAGTGCATTTAATTGGCAACTAAAGCATGGAGTGCTGTGCACTAGGCATACCTGAATGAAAGCAGGCATGACTCCAGTCTTAACCAACCCCACAGCAGGATTGATAACTTCCATTATTGCCAGCATCTGACAGAAGTACATCACGTCGGCAATGGTGTGAAACGTGTCGTAGAAAGAATCTGTTGGGTTGAAAAAAAAACTGTAAGGACCATACTGAACACTAAGTTTTGACACTGTTCATGTGCAATAAGATGCTCTTTCTATATATAAATTCAAAACAAACATTTGCATAACAGACCTGCAGGCCCTTCTCAGAAAAATTCAAACGAAATGTATTTTGTGACAAACAAATGCATCTTTTTAAAGAGTCTAACCTTGCCCAAGTATGAACAGACGTACAGTCATGTTGACAAAGATCCATGAATAGCCGAGGAACTGGACCAAGTTGTACATAAAGAGAAAACCCTTTTTCAATCCAAGATAAGCTGTGTAAAAAGGAGTAACGAATGCACGGTTATTATTTGGTAAGCTGATCCAATGTGTTTATTTCACACTCTTAGAATTAAAAATATACTCACGGTCCTTACGAACCCTTGACTCGACGCTAACTTTGTTTATTTTCTCTTCCTGTGAACAGAAAACACATCAGACTGTGAAACTCCTCAAGTATAACTTAAAATAGCAGACCTCTTTACCTTCTCTCTGAGCTCCATTTCTGCATCTGACTCATCCAGCCAGCGGTCAAAATCGGGTGCTAAAAACAGAGGCTTCCTCTCCTGCTTAGTGAGGCGATTCCACCAGACGTGCTCCTGCTTCTTTACCGTGATATTCACCTGCCGCTGGGTGGATTTGTGCTTCACCTGTGGACACAAACATCTTCATGTGGTTCCAACATAAGAACAGAACATGGCAGCAAACCAAGGCAAATGCACCGCGCTTCATTGTGCAACCACACGTTTTACATTTTACATGCAGTTTCTGATAGCTGTTACCTCAGGCTTAACCGGTTTTAGGAATTCCAGGCTAAATTCGTATTCATTTTCTCCTTTCGCTCCATGCCCTTGACCTCAAAAAGAGCAGAATAAATAAAAGTCACACAACGGAAGAGAAAGAGCATCCAGCTGATGGATAGTTATGAGATGTACCTCGGAAGTGAAGGATGTTCTCTTCTACACCAATAGTGAGATTCTGCGATAAGAAACAGAGTGAAAAAAAAAGAAGTGGTAAGTTTCAAGCTCCTCCTCCCACTGCCTGTTATATTAATATACAATGCCTTCAAATGCACCATGCATCTGAAAGATATTATAATATGTAGTTAATAATGCATCAGTAATGAATGCTTCGATATTTATTTTATTTCCCCTCTGAACAACTGTGTTTTTCTTCATTTCATGATAAAAGTATGATTTTTAGACCTTGAAAAATGACTCCATGGGCATTTTTATGAATATGATTTTTTCTAATTATGCCAAGCTTTACAAATGTTAGGTTAATTAAAAAAATTCAACTGCAAACACGGTGCCTTTGAAAAACATGGAGAATTGGTGGTATTGGAGTAAAAAAAACCACTGATTTATGGTACTTGATTTAAAAAAAATAGGTCACTTAAAAAAAATGTTTTCCTTCTACTATGGAAGTCAATAGGGTCCATCAACTGTCTGATTACCAACATTCTTCAAAATATCTTCTTTTATTCAGAAACTCATAACGGTTTGGAACAACATAAGGTGAGTACATAAATGATGACAGATTTTTAAGTGAATCATTCCTTTAATTTCTTGGCCAATTAAAAAGTGTGTCTGGTGTTATTAGGTTTTGGCATGTTAACATTTATTTTGCATTTCTGAGTTATATGGAGACACACTAAGAGGAACAATGTAATGATATTCTAACATGTACAATACACAAATTTATTTGCATAAAGGGACGCCATAGCAACCGTATTACTACACCACATCACCTACCACCTTTGTTCCAGAGCTCTCGGTTGTAAAATGCGTTTCTCTCATTACATTAATGAGAGGACAGGTCAATATATCCTGCCCTGAGAAAGCAATGAGGGGGAAGGGGGCAGTTCCTCTTTCTGTCAGAAACTGGATAGTAAATAAAACATGTCCTGCCATTGTAACTGAGCCAGATGGCTAGTGGTCCAGTAGGATCAAGTGCTGATCTCCCTTGCCGTAATCTTCATCTTTATTCTGATCTAGGCTTCATGCAAGTCCTGTCATCATCAGACCTACAGGAGGTGTTGTTATTCAAAAGAATATCAACCTAACACCATCCAGTATAGGTTCTGTAACCTAAAAATCTGGATATGCATACATATTAAATGCAATAAATGCGAAAAGAAAGAAGATGAGAAAAATTGCCTAGTATGATATAATTATAAAAGCATGTAAAAGCAAGTTTTTCTTACCTGTGCATCACTGATCTCCACTCGCAGGTATATCTCCCCATGCCGCTGTGCCCAGTACACGTGAGGTGTGAGAGCCTGCATTGCAAATATTCACATTAAAATGTGTTTTACTCAGATCTAACAATGAATGACAGGCAGTGTAAATCTTGAATCAAGCAGCCGGAAGACGTTCCCAGCGAATCTGACATGTCCAGAATATTCTTTGAATGCGCGTGCGCGCATGTAAAAGCAACACTCGCCGCCCACTTTTCAATTTTCCGGAAGTTTCTCATTTATGTTCTCTTAAACTCCGCAATATTGACTTTTATGCCTTGAACCAACCCACCCAGCCATGAGACCAATATAATTTCAAACATTGGTTTTAAATAAATGAAGCATTTGAAAATAAGAGAAAAAGACACAAGGCACGAGACTTGAGTATAGCGTCTTTTATGAGTCAATGAACTACGCTACCCATGAAGCACTGGGAATGACGTAATCGACTAAAATAACGACAATACATAAAATGTGCAACATTAGCTACAAATAAATTAAGAACATCTGCGATGTGCATGGATTTATAGACTATTATTATAAGCATGAAATACAAAATATATGATGTAATTGAGTTGCACTTATGGATTATGGGTAGGATAATTCGTCACGAATTTATTTTTTGGAAATTTAATTTCCATAGATAAAGGCGTAAGTACTATTAAGTTACATGTAGCAATATTATCTGTTCGCCAGCTTCATGGAGCATTTTACTGTGTCCACTTCCACCCAGTGACGGCGCTGTGACGTCCGGTGACGTCGTGTTTGCTCCACTGTTTACGGAAGTAAAATAAAACCTGAAGACAGAATGAGCGACCATTAACGTGCACGGACTGTAAATGTTTCTCATTAAATGTGCAATTTAAGTGTTCAATTAAATTCCTCATCCCGTGCTATGGTTTAAAGATGGATTTATACAAATACCATAACGTTACCTTGCAAAAGAAATGCTTTAGAAAGGGAGAGCTAATCGAATAGAACATTTTTATAGTTAACACGAAGATTGCGATTGCTATAAGATTGATATAATGCAGCAGGATTCTAAATCTAATCGTATACTAGACTTGCAAACAAATAGTACAAGGTTTAATGTTCTGGTCGGTTTGACCGGCAGTGTAGCTGCACTCAAGGCGCCTTTGTTAGTAACTCAACTCCTTGAGATTCCAGGGGTAAGTGTATTTATATTCCGACAGTTCAAACTGTGTATGCATGCTTGAAGCTGACAGAGCATGTCCCCCAATGTTATTTTCATTTCTCACATTGTCCACTAGAGGGTGCAATTTTTTAACATTATAAGTCATTTAAAATGACTACTACATGTCATGATTTATTGAATAAATAATGAACTCAAAATTTGTAAGATAGAAATCATATTGGGTTTTCAATTTTTAATTAAATTATATATATATATTTATAAATTATATATATACTTTTGGTTTGAGTGGATGTTGCCATTTTTTCCCTAAATTAAATGGAGGATATTAAAAGCATAATAGTTTGTCCATTTATTTATTTGGTTTACACATAAATTTACCATATTTGTTTAATTTATTTGACTTCCAAGTAGCCCTCAAACCATATTCACTTTATAGCCCTTAATCCTGTAATTGTGGACAAATGTGGGCACAGAGGACTCAGGTGTGATCCTAATTTTTATTTATTATAAATGTTATATCACTGTCTTCGACGAAGTTTTGTCTATCCATTATAGTGTTGTTGTTGTTTTATTTTGGGGGAATTTTTAAAAAATCTTCAAAAAGTACTATGTAAATTATGCTTATTTTTATGTTTTATTTTTATTTTATTTAACTACATTAAAATATCATTCCAATAAGTTCTTAGAGCTAAAACATAAAGATGAAGTGACTTTGCTGTCACCTGGTGTCTTATTTTGGCTGATTTTAGAATGCTCTAAATTACAGTTTTTCCCATTCATTTCTATAGGTGCCCATTTTTGACCCAAATACAACAAGATTAAGGAGTTTTTTTCACCCATTTAACATTGTATAATTGAGTCAAAAAAAAGAGAAAAAACTTAGAAAAAGTAGCCAAGTCTTGTACCGCTCAGATCAGGGGAAGTATTTTTTAAAAATAAATCAAAACTATTTTGCCCACATTTTCCAGAATACGGTTTTAGGGATAAATGAATGAGTAAATAAAATTTGTTCAAAAAACAAAACAAAAAAAACAAACATCAAACATAAAAAAAAAGTTGATAGCCTTGTTTTGTGAATTGTTTAATGATTTTAAGTGTCAGTCAAATACGAGTTGAGGGATGGGATAAATTGCATAGGAGTTGTTGTTTTTTTTTTTCGGTGAACCTATAATTTTTTCCCATTCTGTTTTCTAGGTTGATGTACGTGTGGTCACCACAGACCATGCAACTCATTTTTACGATATCAGTGAAGTCTCTGTTTGTGTGTACAGAGATAAGGATGAGTGGGAGGTGAGTACAGCCTTTGAAGAGGAAGAGATGCATTTTCATTAATCAAACAACATTACATTGTTTCCTGCTGTGATGTTACATCAATACACTAACTAACCTGATGTGAGAGTTTTAGTAGAAGATGTGAAAGGCTTTCCTTGTATTTCTATGCTAGATGTGGACAAAGCGCTCTGACCCTGTGCTACATATCGAACTTAGGCGTTGGGCAGATCTTTTAGTGATTGCTCCACTGGATGCCAACACACTTGGCAAAATTGCCAGTGGAATATGTGACAACCTATTGGTAGGTAAAGTATTAATGACATTGTCTGGTCTTTTATATGGATTTTCTTTAGATGCATTACTATATAAGTAAACTTACCCATTTTGTTGCTGACAGACATGTGTGGTGCGGGCCTGGGACACCAGCCGACCTCTGCTCTTCTGTCCTGCTATGAACACAGCCATGTGGAGGCACCCTATCACTGCACAGCAAGTGGCCACACTGAAAAGCTTCGGCTACGTTGAGATACCATGCATTTCTAAAAAACTTGTCTGTGGAGATGAAGGTATCTTCCAAGAATGTGTTTTTTTACGAGGCAATTGCTTTGATAAGGGAGAATGGAACAGATAAAAAAAATCTCATCGGTGTGTGAGAATCAGTCATGCATTATTCATTAACTGAAGATCAAACAGATGTTAAATGACAGGCTTTTTATTAGCATGCTTCTGAGGATTTAATTAATAATTTTTTCTTGTGTTTTGGTCCGTCTTACATTCCAGCCTCTGTATCTTCACAGGTAAAGGTGCCATGGCAGAGGTTTCAACTATTGTTGAAACTATCAAACAGTACACCCAGAAACATCCTGAATGACCTTAGACAGGGCCAGCAGGTCGGAAACACAAGGTTATCCACACATCGTTATTATTATTATCCATGGTTTATCTTCTATTACATTTAACCTGGATTTTGCCATGAAAAGCTGACATAGCACTGAGAAACAAACAAACATATTATTTTTCTGTCATGTAAAGTTCTTTGTAATGGCTCTATGTATTACATCTATTGAATTGCAAAGAAATTTAAAATAAATAGTTGTTTCGATATTGAAAAAATTCCAGCTTAGCTGAATGTCAGTATTGTTTCATTTCCAGATCACTTTTTCAGTGGTAGCTTATACACAATGTGTGACCAAAAAAAAAAAAAAAAAACTTTTCCTAAGTAACATGACTTTGTTTAGTCAATCTAAATTTGCTCATTCACTAAAGGCAAAATTCCTCATTCAGCCAATAAGTTAACACTTTGATAGCTTTACATATAGACTTTTAGGACACTTATTGTGTTAAATGATCCATGCATCTTTGTTTGTGAAGGAGAAATTGTCCTACAAACCCAAACATATTCAGGATCTCAGCACTGGACACACAAACCTCAGGAATGGTGACAATCAACAAACGTAAAAAGATGAGCTCTTAAGATCATGACGTATAAGTTATTCACGCTGCGTAATTCTTTGTTGTTTGACTAAATGGGACAACATTCTGTTGGTCTATCAGGGTTTTTTTGTGTGTGTTTTTTTACAGTGTATTGTCATTTATTGATACTAGTGTATTGTCATGGAATGATATCAGAGTAATGACTTCAAAATCCATGTAACACTTATGATCAATAGGGAGATACACAGGCTATTTAGAAGGGAACTAAATATTCATGGCTGGTTGTAGTTTACTTGATAAAGAACTGCTTTAAATGTTTAAAGTGTATGTGATCTAGATTTGGGATACATGTTCTCTGTGAACTCACACTTGTCTCAGAGGTCGAGTGAGGGGCCTCTAACCGCAACAGTAGCAAGCGGTCATGAAAATAGCCTCAGATTGAACTAGAAGATGCTGATGTACTTAACACCTCCATATATATTTTTTTTTTCAGATGCATATCCTGTTTGCAGGTTGCCGTTAGAAATGGGTTCCATCTATTATGTGGTTAACCACTAGTATGGTCTCATTTGGCCAAGATGCACCATAGATGCACAACTATATGATTACCTTAGATTTGGTCCAAAATAATAGTAAAAAAATGTTTTTTAAGGCTTCGTAAAATTATTGAGTGAAGTATATGGGTGATTTTTCAATTAGGGAAACATTTCTGTCCCCCAGGAAGATTTTATGGAATATGTAAAAAATAAATAGGTTTATATGATAGATTATAATAGCAATACTGTTTAATTATCCTTTTATTGGTAACACTTTACAATAAGGTTCATTAGTTAACATTAGTAAATGCATTAACTAACATGAACTAACGATGAGCGATGCATTAGTTACAGTGTTTATTAATCTTTGTTAATGTTAATTAATACAAACAGCTGGTCATTGTGCGTTCATGTTAGTTCACAGTCCATTAACTAATGTTAACTAATGCAACCTTTGATTTTAATAACGTATTAGTAAATGTTGGAATTAATATTAACTACGATTAATAAATGCTGAAGAAGTATTGTTCACATATTGTACATGTTAACTAATGTAGTTAACTAATGTTAACTAATGAACCTTATTGTAAAGTGTTACCCTTTTATTTTCTCCTCATTTTTAAGTGTTGAATTTCTTAGAATAATTATTCGAGGATTATCCTGACCAGATTTTTAAAGTAAAAGAGTTAAAAGGGAAATTTATCTTTGCCATGCCTAAAATTTATTCTCAATCAATTTTTATTTGTGTACATGTTTATTTGTGGAAATATTTATTGCGGTCATTAACATCAAGCCAAGCATTTAACAGTTTTCAGGGGGAATATATATATATATATATATATAATACTGACTAAAATAATTTCTGATCTCTAATCAGTGACACTAATTTCTCTCATAACCAAAAATATATATCAGAATTCAAAAGTGTTCAATCTTTCTCAACAAGAGACATATATATATATATATATATATATATAATACTGACTAAAATAATTTCTGATCTCTAATCAGTGACACTAATTTCTCTCATAACCAAAAATATATATCAGAATTCAAAAGTGTTCAATCTTTCTCATAAAACAAGAGACTGCTGTGATAATTGAGACCATTTTACCAATCAGACATTTAAAATAATCCCAAAGATGAAAGGGAAGAAACAATAGAATCATAAGATAAAGTGGTATATTGTTTGTGAATTTTTTAGCGACTTGAGCCAGGGCGAAAGGAGGGCAGTAGGGAGAGGGTGGCTCATACTGTAGATAAGCCAGGAGAAAAGTCTGGTTAAAGCAGTGTCCTATGCTCTTTCATTGAGATCTTCTCCTCAGATTAGTGAATTTTATTGTTTTATTGCAGTGTTTGATCTCATTTTTTGTCTCAGCAGGAAAACCAGTCTTACATAGACATGGTCAGCAACAATAATCAGATTGGCTGTGGCATTTAAATGTTGCTAGAAAATAAGAAAATATTTTTAATTTTGCCGCAGAAGTCGAGACTCATCAAGCCAAGCAACATTTCCCCAATCTTTTATTGTCCAATTTTGGTGAGCGCCTGTGATTTGTAGCCTCAGTTTCCTGTTCTTATCTGACTCGTTTTGGCACCCGGTGTGTTGTTCTGCTGCTGTTGTCCATCTGCTTCAAGGTTTGGTGTTATTTGCGTTCAGAGATGCTCTTCTGCAGGCCTCGGTTGTTACGAGTGGTTATTTCAAGGTTATTAGGTTATTTTGCTAAATCGAACATATTTTACGAATTGGCCAATTCGTATGAATTCGTACGAATGACCTACCCCTTACCCCGCCCCTAAACCTAACCATCACGTGGGTTTAGACAAATCGTACAAATTCGTACGAGTGAGATCGTACGAATTAGACACTTTTTAATCATGCGTCGAATTCGTACAAATTGGTCATGAGATAGCGTAGGTCGAACCACGAACGCTGTTCATACAGTTCAGAAGTTCGCTGAACTTCATACAGTTCAGCTCACTTGGCACGTCGTTCGTGGTTCGACTAGTCAAGACTGTTTTCCAAGATGGCTCCTGTCTGTATACACGAAGTGAACTGTCTTTATAAAATATCTTCTTATTAAACAGTTACAAAGTTCTCAATGCTTTGTTTTGCATGTAGGGACCCTCATTATGTTACTGTGTTAGTGTGGGGCTATTTTGAGCCTGGTTAGCGGTATTAACTTGAGATTTCTTTTTACTTATTAAATGCCCCCATATTCTAACATATATGCTAAACAGTTTTTAGAGATAAAACCCTTTACATTCGATTATCATGAAAACAAATCTCAGAGAACGGTTGACTAGGTACCAATGTGTAATTAGACCAAAGGTTCATTTTGCGCCGGAGTTCTCCTTTAAACCACCTTTCTTCCTCATTCTGATGCTCCGCTTGAATTTGAACAGATCATCATGACCATCTCTACATGCCTAAATGTATTGAGGTGCTGCCATGTGATTGGCTGATTAGATATTTGCATTAACAAGCAGCTGTGCAGGTTTCTAATAAATTGTATAGTGTATATAACTTTTATAAAATTATTACCAATGCAATATTTTCATATTTTGTTACATTTTCCATTTTAACTATTACATTAATAATTGTATGCTTCAAATTTGCTGTTCTGTTTAAATTATGCAGAAACAAAATGCTGTTTAATGACTTCCATTGTGACACCTTACCCATTTACATTACATGTTGTAATTGTTCAATAGGTTTTGTGCAAAATATAGAAATGAACTTTGCTGCATTGTATCAAAGGATCGATCATTTTCGTGTTAGTTCAGTCAACGATACATAAACTGGCAGATTACATTTTAACATTTAATCAAAACACTTGTTCATCCTTATTTGCTTAGCAAAACAGCTATGGTGTTGTCATCAGATGTGCTGCTTTACACACAGTCCCCAATCTGATGCGCTGTCCTCCTGTCATTGGCTGCCAAGCCAGACAGAGGGGAAACCTCTGTCAAGCACTGGAAAGTGGTGAAATCAACAAAGCATAATGTGGAGGAGGCTCTAATCTCTTGGCGGGCTAAATAAGTGTAAAATATTCTTAGTCACATGTGGGTTGTAGATGGCACGGATCGGTGTTATTCAAGGTCGGTTCGCTAAAAAGATATTTGTGCAGGGGAAACAGGAAACATCATGTATTGCGAAACATCAAGAACCCATTTATTGCACAATACTGGTGCACTTACGTTCAAGTCTCCTTTTACTCTTGAGGACAACAACAAAATATAATTAACATTTAATGTGTTTTTTTTCTCTATGTGTGAATGTCTATCGAATTTATGATTTTAAAATGCACACACAAACCTTGCAGACTTGCATACACACCTGGGGCTCAGTTACCCCAGCAGATTGCTTGATGTTGGAGGTGTCAGGTTGAGTAAACACTTGTCACATTTCCTGCCTGTAGTCCTTTAGGGATGTTGACGGGCCCTTGGTGCTTCTTCCCCAGGTAGCTGAAATGTAATATAGACATGGCTGATGTAACTCTACAGTTGAGTGAACTCATAGCGCATGAACTGGCATGGTTTCATCACTTATCATAAACATATCACATGTTCAAAGTAAACACATTCAAACTAGCATGAATGTGCTGCTGCTGCTAAAAACAAAATGAACACAACAGGAAATATTTGAGAATAAACCCTGTTATACTAGTTCATAATATTTACTGATGCCAATGATACTGATTTAAAAATGTAGATATGAACATAAACTAAGTTTAATAAAAGTTGTATTCATAGGTCAACAAATCAAACAAAAATCAAATCACTGCACATTTTTATTATGTAACACAGCACATGAAGATCAAGATCGAACGTTTTGGCAATCAGCCTTCTTCAGTGAAACATTATTGGTTCATGCTTTACTAATGTTATTAAATTAAACCTTATTCTAAAGTATTACCAATATATTCTTTTTATATCATATATTAAGAATTGATTTTATTTGAGCTTCTACAATCACAACAGTTGTTAAGATGTTCCTGATAAACATAGCAATCGACTTTTCACTATTGCCTAACTATCATATTTTCTGTTGTTTTCTTCCGGTTATTTGCTGATATTTCAATTTCCTTATTGTAACTGGCAGAAAGCTTGTCTATGTTAGACCACGCAGTCTCAGAGAAAGTCTCACCTTTGAATGTGTTATTTCAGTTAAATAGAAATAGGATTATGGTGTCAAATGTGACAACTAAGGGTCACATGTTGAACATCAGGCGTTTGTGCATACTCTCCCCTCCCCCTCCCTGGAACCGTTTAATATGTCACAACCGTCATGTTAACTTTGGCTTCCTTTTTCGTTTTATCTAGCCGAGTTATTTCATGACCTTTGTTCTCCCTCTTGAAATTGTTCTCTACTTGGATTGTTTGTAATGTTTAGATAAAATGGTAAATGTTTTGTGTATAAGAAAAATGGGGAAGTTATGAAGCTTCACATTATGCAAAAAAAAGTGTTTTTTTAATCTTTTGGACAATGAGTACATTTGTGAGAACTCATTTGTTTTTTTTATCTTTCCTTATAGGGTTTTAAATAAAGAACACCTGGTCACATGAAAACTGGAAGTGCAAGGTGTTGTGGGAAATCCTTTAGAGACCCAGTTCCTGAAGAAAAATCACTCCCTGGGGAACATTCGGTCTTACGGAGGACATCAACTTGTATGTAGTTGCAATCTCAACGACGTGCAAACAATTAGACACAGTTGACAGATGTTTAGCATCAGCACTGTAAACGAAAGAAATCGGGTAAAAATGTGTATTGACAGTAAAGCTTCTGACAGCCAGTTAACTGCCATTATTCATTCCACATGTCAATTATTTTGCAGCTAAAATAAACACATTACATTCTGTTAATAAATGACCTAAATCTGGCTTCCTAAACCATGACCAACCATTAACGAGGGCTCAATAAATGACAGACATCTCTGCTATCTGTGTTGTGTCGAACCTGAAATGCAGGGATTCTGATGAACACTTTTACAACATTTTGGATTAGGGCTATATATGGTCAACAACTTTATTTTATTCAATGCACACACACACACACTACTCTTAGTAGATGCACTTTTTTGGTGTTTTTAATCAGAGTAATTATTACATTTCATTCTCCAATCAGTCTGACTGTAGAAGAACATAAACCTTCCCTTTTTTCCCTCTAGCTGCACCTTCCGGATAAGCAAGAACCTGTGAGCGTAAACACTGAAATGAAATTATCATTCCCAACCGCAATGTTTGGACTACCTATCAGCTCTGTTATGAGTCTGAACAGGGGGTGATGGTAGCTTTGTGAAAGAGCACATGAGCAGTAAGTCCTAACAAGAAGTTACAACTTGTCTAATTTATGGTGTCTGACACATCAGTTTGAGGAACATTCTTTAAGGCAGTGTTGCCTGGTCATGGGAGAATCATGACGGCTGATTTCCTGTTACATTTTTTTATATCGTGTTTAGTTCTTTCTTTTTAGGTCAACGTGATCTATTGTCCTGAAATTGTGTTAGCGTGACGACTGGAAACATCTGCGTCTCAGGATAGATAAAAAGGGTCGTATTTCATTCCTAGACAGACAGAAATGTGGACAGATGCCAGTGCTCAGAGGAGTAAAACATTTGTTTTTGTTTTTTTAGATCACTTCTATGTGTGAGACGAAAGACAAAGACTTGTTAAAAGAGTGTTGCATCATTTCCTTTGTTCTGCCACTAATATATTCCTCTGCATATTGACTTTTGCATTAGCATGAGTTTATTGAGCAAACACAAATCCAGCAGAGCATATAGATGTCAGGTAAATAAACTCATGAAGTTCGTCACCATTCCAAATAAATTTCCGAGTAAATAAACTCCATTCCAAGTAAATAAACTTGTATAACACATCTACAGTTGGACTAATGAGGCATATGAACTTTATCAATCAAACGCTATCCTTAAACTGAATCAAACGGTATCTCTTCATACTAATTGTGAGTTTATAATCATAATTTCCTATCATATATTGTGTCAGAATCACTAAGTTCTCAGCTTCTCCGTCTGTTGTAGAAATGTGATGGTGAGAGGTGTTGGTCAGTTTGTTCATTCCAAGCACTGACTGGTACTTTGAGATTTTACATGAATGACATAATATTGCATGAAGAACGGAGCCCTGTATGTCTAAGCAGGCTACATTTCCATTTCATCCCTTGTAAGAAAAGCTATTCAGTTAGCGGAGCAACAAAACCTGTTGTAAGTTTGTCATGCCATCTTAAACTGACAGTTGGTGATATTTCCACGCAGAGGTGTGTGAATAGACATGTCAAACATCACAAACCACATATAGGCCTAAAGGATATGTGTGTTCTCATGGCTGTTAAGGCACTGGTTGATAGTAAACATCCTTTTTTTAAATTAGTCTTCTGTTTCCTATTAAAACTAATGTTTTAATGAGATTTTTTAGTGACTTTTAAGGGCAATAAATCTGCAGCGTCACTTATACATCACAATATTTCAAGAAAATAGGCATCCATAAATCTGAGACAACATTAATAATCTGTAATGTTTTTTTTTTAAACCTAAAGAGACAAGTTTGGAGATTTTGAATAATATAACTGACATAGAATGAAGAATATTTTTTCTAGGTCAGATTTAATCATTGTGAACCTTTGTACAGATCGTCTGATATATATATATATATTTTTTTTTTGCTTCAAGTGAAGCACAAGATGCTCTTTGGATCATTCTCAAATCATGCTGGAGAACATCATCATCATCATCATGTCTTGTCACAAACTTGTGGAGTTTGTCATTAAAACTAAAGGTGGCCATGAATACCAGGCATTCTGAGAACATTGCTCATGTTTTGCAGTTAAACTCTAGTAATTTAATCTGTAAAGATATGAGATTTAAATTAAATAATATATTCTTTAAATAATAATATAATGCAGAAGGCTTTTTTCACAGACCTATGTACTTTCTTTAATAATCTATGTTGTCAAAAATTCGGAATTTTTTTATTCAGTGCAACCAAGACAAAATATAATGTATTAAACATGTTTATCACTATCATACGTTGTTGTTTTAAGTCGAAATATACATCTAGCCTACCAATCACGCATGATTTAACTGCTACCGCCTGTGCGTTTAAGCCCCGCCCTCTTTCTCACTGTCGCCGTTCGATTGGCTATACGTGCTGCCACCGACATACTTCGACTGCTAGTGCTAAATAACCTTTCGGAAAATAAGAAGCAGCGACGTTAAAGCAGCATGCTTCTTCTCTCTGCTCTCTTGAACAATATTTCATACGCTCCCAAATCGTTTGGATAATACTTATGGGTCTTTCAGTTGTCATGGATTGGTTGCGGACGGATAGGAATTTCAGTGCACGAGGTGAGTGTTGCTGTATAAACAAAAGTTGGTTTAGAAGTTATTACAACGTGAACTTGGCGAAGGTTGACGAAGTTTTACGAACATGATCAATACACACAGATGAATGTTGACAACTGTTTAGTTGTGGTGTTACGGGTGTAAAGTTTGGCATTGGACTTTGAGACCGGTTTTCAGCGGGTATGATACACTATCAAAATTATCCGAAGTAAACACAGTGTAAGTTAATATATTAAAACACAGTTTACATTGTTTATTTAAATGTACGTTTAATTACGACGAATCTTCCACATATCGAAGCAGGCTCCTGAAGTTTTGTCGCTGTTTTCCTCCAGTTTATAGAAGTGTCTAATACAAATATTTAGATCAGGTAGCCTAAATGTTGACGGATGTTTACCAAAACATCCATAACGTGACCCAAAAATGGTGTCTTCTCTGAACTTGGATTTGCATGAATGAATTTGCATATTCGCTTCTTTCACATAATAGAGTCTTGTCTTCAATGTGTCAGGGTGCAAAAAGGTTGTGTACGTTTCACAGTATAATTTTTATGTTTATGTTAACATTCGGTAACTGGAAGTTTTAGCTCTTCACATAGGTCTTCTGTGTTACTTTGGCATCAATCATAATAGTCTTATTTAGAAATTATGGCCGCGTCCTAATGCGGCACGCGCCTATGATGCTCACAAGTGCGGACTACGTAGGCAACTCACGAGGTTTTGGAACACATCCACAGTATGCTGAAAGATGTTGGGGGTTGTTTCATCACTTTGAGACCTCTGGGTGGCCTCACCTGGGGACTGACTGTCTCCACCACTGATAAACCACTTAAATCCCCCTTCACTGCCAGTGTCAAGGCTTGTGTTACCCTCCTGTGAGCATCATTATGCTCTCTTTGCTCATTAGGGAACATCACAGAAGGGAATGAATCTCCCCTATACGTGAACACTGTTCAAATGGTAGCTATTGCCGTTTATAAATATTAAGTTTTAAAAATACAATAAATGTTTAATTTGAAACTTTTACATTATAAAAATATAAAGATATTTATATGAATATGAATAACATGTCAAAATACATAATTCAATTATTTTTCCAATTTGTTTAATTTACTAGATAACATAATATTGATTGTAAAAGCAGTAAGAGCAATTAGAAATGATTGTGTATACATGAATACGTATATCCTTAATTGTTATATTTTCTTTTTGTCCTAACTGAACTCAAAATGCATGTGCCAGAACATTTGTGTATATTTACACATAATTTACTTTGATATATTTGCCGAAATGCAATACGCTCTTGCACTCAAAGGAAGTAAGGTGCACCCACTGTTGTAAAGCAGAAAAGTGCCTGTTGTTTTCTTATTGTGGTTACCGCTCAAACATTTCTTCCTAATGTTTGGAGGATCCTGTCATGTGACATTTGCCAAAATAGAATGAAGAACTGTACAGCTAAGCGACTGTTTTAACAAAACCACAGAAAGGAAGGTGTTGCTAAGTAGATAAATAAACCACAGAGGTGAACCTGGCTGACTTATTTATACATATGAAGAGTTCAGATGCAAAAGCCTCTAAGTGCCATTTGAAATTTTCTTCTAGAATGATAATTTTTATCAAGCTTGTATATTTAAGTTCAGTGATTTCACTTAAATGGCAATGATGATTACCTATTAATTGTTATTTAAATGAAATTACTGAACTTAAAAATACAAGTTTGATAAAAATCATCATTCAAGAAGAAAATTTCAAATGGCATTTAGAGGCTTTTGCGTCTGAACTCTTCATATATTACTCTTGTCAGGTTACTTATTCCAGTGATTGTACAACATTGATAATGATAATTTAACATATACACCCAACTTTTCTTCTTATTTTCTTGTATAGATATGATTTAGCTGGGTCAAGTCAGAGCCTGTGAATCCAAGATGAGCAGTAAGCAGGGACGGAGCTGCATCAACCCTGTAGTTCAAAGTAATATGGAAGGTGCAGTGGGCACTGTAGTCCCCGTGGGGCACCCTAAAGCCGACCGCCTACAACACTATTCCCAAGATAAAGCTCTACCAATCAGCAGGGCTTATTTCCCTTACTCTCTCAGTGGACAAGACACTCTTGACTTTCCTTCTCCATGGGGCTCTTCAAAAACCTGCGTGAGAAATGGGCCGAGTCCAAGGATTCGTTCCTCGGCCACGGAGGGGTCAATTACAATTCCAGCTGTTTACAGGCCTGATAAAGTGTCTTTCGCAGTGGATGTTGGTGGTGGCCGGTGTGCTCTACCGCAAGAGTTGGCAGCGAAGCAAAGATTGGCCTATTATGCCAGCAGTCCCAGACAGCACAGTCCCAGAGCAGCAGGGGTCATCTCACCAGTGGCAGTTCCCAAGGGTCACATTGGAGGGTCAGATGCAGAAAGCTGTGTTGGGCTGGCTATTCCAAAACCAGTATACGGTCATAGCCCCTGCTGCACTGAGCGTGGATGCACTACAGGGCATAGCTACAGCATTGAACATGGACCTCATAGGATGTCCCCTCACATATATGATGGTGAATGGGCTGCTCATTTCAACCGTCTTGCTTACCTGCACAAAAAGGGCCAGGAAGCATTGATGCAACAAGGGTTTTGCAGTTAGAGCATGGTATGGAGGCTATAAAGGACGGAAAGACAGAGGGCTACCATGGTATCGGATCAAACGTGAGCAGGAGAGCTCTTCCTTTAATGGAACCGAGTTATACTTACAACACTGAACGCCCGTTTGTTGGTGCTACGCCAGAGTACTGCCACCGTGCCCCAATTCGTCCACAGATGCACACGGGTCTTCCCTATGCGTATGACCCAAGGACTATGGCACACCGTGGAGTTCCTTCAAAAGTATATCAGAACCATCCTCCAACATCTAAGTACACACGTATGCCTCTGTGTCCCAATGTCTATTATCCTCAGAGTCACCCTGAGGCTTACCGAACAGATCACAATGCTATTACAGATGAGCATAGTCAACATCATCAAATGAATCAGTTTCATCCCCCTCAAGCTGACTTGATGTCACCGTCCTGCTCTGTTGCCCCCCCACACCATCATCTGATCTCAAAATATCCTAGTTATCATCCTTACGGGGTGCATTTAAATAGTAGCCAAGCACCCATGCATGAGCAGCCACATCCCCCTTTCCAAGTGCATCAATCAGAGCGACCACTTGATTTTTCTAGACGAAGAGTGCAGACACCCGACTCCCCTCGGGAGCTTTATAGACAGTCTGGAACTTCTGGGGCTTTCCATCCTACTCCAGCGCACTACAGACGTCTCAGTAACGCCACTACCCTTGAACACTCAGAGATGTCTGAAACTGGTTTTCCTGTTGTTGGCGGCTCCAAAGAATTTCCTATGAAGTCCTCTGAAGAGGTATTTAAGAACAGGCATCATGTTTCAGATCCACCTGACCAAGATGTGTTAGCTAAAAGGCACAGAGAGGAACTTGAAACACACACGGACGGTAAAAAGCAAAAGATTGACTCAACCCATGAGTTGTCAGATGATGAGCCTCAGTCACCGTCCTCCCCACCGATGCCAGTTATTAATAAAGTTTTTAGCTTGGCTCCTTATAAAGTCTATTTTGAAGCTACAGGCATGTCGACTTCCCTAGGAGATTCAAAAAGTCCAAAGCCAGAGCTTGAAGCGACCCGGCTTAAACAAGAGCCGGAAATTGAAAACTGTGATCTAGAACCAAATTCAGGTGAAAGGGACCTCGGGTTGAAACAAGAAGCCCAAATGTCACCAGCTAACAGTGACAATCTAGTTGAAATTCCAGATACTATGAAGATCAAAAAAGAAAAACTGGAACCAGATGACGTGTCTTATCAGTCGGAAATGAAAGTGAGCATTGCTGAGGAGATGAATCATGAGGCTCATGATCCTGCGGTCAAAGAAGAGCAAAGGGAGTCGGACACAACTATATCTGGCTCTCTTCCTTGTCATGTTGTAGTAAAAAATGACTTTGAAGAAGAAAGCAACCCACCCTTAGTAGAAAAGTATGAATCTTCAGCCACATGCAAGAATGCTGTGAAAGATGACATGGAGTCAACACCTCCAGTGCCATTTCCGTTGACTAAATTCTCTCTCACTAATATCCCACCTCATTGCCTTAAATTATCAAATTTTAAGATAGTCATCCCTGCGATCCTTAAAGCTCCAGCAACACAACCTGTTGAGGTTCCTCAGTCTCCAGTGGAGGACAAACCACTTATGAGCAGCAGCAAACATGCCCGTAATCAGTTTATGGAGCTTCACCAGTCCCTCTGTAGGCTAATATACTGTTGTGTTACTCGAACCCCGTGTCAGGAGCTCAGGGACTGGTTGTGCAAACTGGACCTTCGAGAGTCAGGCAAAGCTCAGAAGGTGTCTTGTCTCTTGGGGTTGAAAATGAGGGAATTATGGCTGAAAGGTGAAGAGATGGAAGCGTCCCTTCAAAAGGTGGTCTGTCAGCTTCAAAGCTACGTTGAAAGCCGCGAATGTCCCTTTCCTCATGTCATGAGGGCTGGTGCGGTGTTCATTCCCATGTTGGTGGTCAAAGAGGTGCTGTTTCCTCAGGTTCAAGGCACATTCATAGACCAGGTCCTGCAAGAGCATCGAGTGGAGCTCAGGCCCACCACCCTCTCAGAGGAGAGGCAGCTCACTCAACTCCACAGAAAGGCTTTCTCTTCGAAACTCCGGAGACTTCTGTCCCTTAAACATCTGCCAGATATATATCCTGATGTCCTCAACCTTCTCTACCATGACAACGTCTGCAAGTTCATTGGTGAGTGCTGGATGGTTGACCACTATAAATAGCATAAGACGTTGGAATGCACAAAATGTTGGTACTGTGTCAGTTAACAGCCGTTATTAAGTTTGGATATTTAATTGTACATGCTCATTTTCTCTATTTTTACATTTAGATTATATTTGTATTCAAGTAACGCTCACCTAAATTTAATAAATGTAAATTTTAAATGTAATTTGATCAAAATTAATTGTTGCTGCCTTGTTAAACTACTTTAAATGACTCCTTTTTTTCACATCAATCTACACTCCATGCACCATAATGACAAAGCAAAAAAAAAAAAAAAACGATTTAATTTGTAAAAGTACACAACTCTCACTAAAAGATTTAACAGCATTAAATGCATATCAGAGCAAAAACCATGAGCTAAAAAAAAAACTGCATGTGGAGCTCAGAGACCGATCTGGGGAAGAGACCTTTGTGTTGAGACCGATCTGGGGAAGACTATAAAAAAAAATCTGCTGCATTACACAGAAGCATGAAGCAGCCTCATAATACTTACTGGAAGAAGTTAGGACCAACCAGGGCTGTGTTTCTCAAAGACATGAGCTAAGTTAATCATAGAGACCACTTGTAGCAATGGCTCTATGACCGACTTAGGCTTACGATTAAGGGTGCACCGAAATAAAAATTCTATACTGAAAACCAAAACCGAAAATATTTTTTCGTAATAATAATTTATTTGTTATTTGTATTTATTTAATTTACCACTTATCAAAATAAAATATTGTCCTAAAATCTATTATTATAAGAGCAGATAGCGGGGAGTATGGAAGCTTGTTTCCATCACTGAATAAAGAAAAAGAAAATAATAATTGCGACTTGTTATCTCATAATTGCGAGATATGAAGTCAGAATTTTTAGAAAAAAAGTCACAATTGTGTGTTATAAAATCAGAATTGTGTGTTATAAAATCAGAATTGCGTGTTATAAAGTCAGAATTGCGTGATATAAAGTCAGAATTGTGAGAAAAAAAGTCGCAATTGCGTGTTATAAAAATGACAGAAGTGTGCCTCTTTATCTCACAATTCTGACTTTTTATCTCACAATTGCGAGGTATGAAGTCAGAATTTTTAGAAAAAAAGTCACAATTGTGTGTTATAAAATCAGAATTGTGTGTTATAAAATCAGAATTGCGTGTTATAAAGTCACAATTGCGAGATATGAAGTCAGAATTGTTAGAAAAAAAGTCACAATTGTGTGTTATAAAGTCAGAATTGCGTGTTATTAAGTCAGAATTGCGTGATATAAAGTCAAAATTGTGAGAAAAAAAGTCGCAATTGTGTGTTATAAAAATTATAAAAAGTGTGACTTTTTATCTCACAATTCTGACTTTTTTTCTCACAATTGCGAATTTACATCTCACAATTCAGCCTTTATAACACATAATTGTGAGTTTATATGTCGAAATTCTGACATCTTTTCTCAGAATTGTGAGATATAAACTCAGAATTGTGAGTTATCAGGCCAATTCTAAGGGAAAAAAGACTAACTTTTTCCCCCTCAGAATAGTTTATATCTCACAATTCTGACTTAACACACAATTTAGACTTTAAATCTTGCAATTCTGACTTTATAACACACAATTGCGACTTTATATCTTGCAATTCTGATTTTATATCTCGCAATTCTGACTTTATCTCACGCAATTGCGACTTTATATCATGCATTTCTGACTTTATAACATGCAATTCTGACTTTATATCTCACAATTCTGACTTTATATCTCGCAATTCTGACTTTATATCTCGCAATTCTGACTATATCTCGCAATTCTGACTTTACATATCTCACAATTCTGAGAAATAAAGTCAGAATTGTGAGATGTAAATTCACAATTGTGAGGAAAAAGTCGCAAGTACCGTTTTTATTTTTCATTCTGTGGTGGAAACAAGCTTCCATAGGGGAGTGGATCAGTGAACGAAAGGGTAACATCATTTCAACAGCGTTGCCCAGCAGCATGGCATTACCACACCATGTTACAGCAAAGTGGTGCTATTGCAAACAGAAAAAAAGTCTACTACAGAGAATTTTCATGTCAGCACATTATTTGAGTGGACTTTGCTTTTCCGGTGAGAATGAGCGGTACATGAGTGGAGCGTTCACTTGGGCCGTGAGCAGCTTGAGCAGAGCTCCTCGCTGGGCGGCATGTATTTTCAGCTCATTTTTTGGCCTTTTTTTCAATTTCATCCAAAAAACGAAAAATACAATTTTTCGGAAGATAATTTATTTATGCAAAAATTTTGGTGAATCCATACTTACAATGCTTTTGGGAAACACAACCGAGGACTCTTCCAAGAGCTGGCCTTCTTGCCACACTGAGCAATCGATGGTAAAGGGCCTTGGTTAGAGTGGTGACAAAGAAGAGTGACCTCTTTTGTAGAAGGACAAACATCACTGCAACACTCCACTTATCTGGGATTTGAACGCCCAGACTCAAGCCTCTCCTCAGTGAAGACGCATGAAACCCATTGTAGTCATTTATTAAAAAAAAACACTGTAACCTGAGGGTGTAAAGGTACTTCAACCAAGTACATGCGTGCAATGTATTTATTTCAGTTTTTCTTTTTAAATAAAGGTGTTCCAAATCTGTTATTTGATTTGTCATTATGGTTTATGGGGTGTAGATTGGTGTGAAAAAAAAGTAATTTAAAGTATTTTAATATAAGGCGGGGTGTGGAGTACAAATACTTTTGCAGGTTGATATTAAAATTCTGTTCTATTTTGTTTAAATAAATTAAGTAAAAATGTAATATATTTTTTTATTTAAATTATTTAGACAAAAAATAGTACATTATTTTAATATCAACCTTGAAACTGTATGTAGTATTGGTCAGAATTTTAATATTGGTGTAACCCTAATACAACTTTTTTTGGTATTCTTAAAAAAATGTATTGATTAAATCATAGTTCGTTTTTGTATATTGCACTATGGTAGTTACGGTACTGTTATCCTCATTGCCTAAAACATACTGCAGCATATTCGGATCAGATTTATGGTTCCTTTTTTTTAGTTTTGTAACTGGTCTCTTCAAATAAAAAGCTGTCATGACTCATGAGGAGTGAAAACATTTTAATGACAAGTTCATACTAAACATATTATTTTAGGGTTACATTTCATAGTAAATGGAAGGATAACTGTGAATACTGAAACTTTGTTATAATTTTAGAAATATTCAATTTCAGTTCCACATTTTAAGTAAAAGAATGATCAAATTGTGTTGTGTCTTGATTGTTAGTTTATTGTATTACACATTCTGGCTGAATTCTTACTCTTTAGATAGGAGGCTCAATATTAAATAATCCATGATATTAAAGTTTAGTCCTAGATCAAGTCTTTAAACTGCTAAATTATTAGACATTTTATATTTTTTAAATGCGTATAAAAACCTATTTTATTCTGTTATTTGAATTATTTTTTATAATTTACAGTTACTTTAATTTCTTTAATTACATACATGGTGCATACCTGTGGTGACATCTCTTTTATTGTTCATGTTTTATGATTTATTTTTAATCATACTTTTGTCATACTTTTTTTGATTTGATACACGTTTGTTGTTGCAGATTCCACTGCTACAGATGGTGTCCAAAAAATGCCCAGGTACCTTCTTATTACTTCGTCCCCCAAAACTCTCTCTCCAGTCACAAACAGATCTCGTTGACAGTTGTAGAGCACACTTTGTAAATCTTTGAACCACTCATGTTTCTTCCTGGAGCAGTTGTGTTGCAGGTGTTTTCTGATCAGATATAGTCTGGAACGGAACAGTGAGACGCTTTAGGATATCTTTCAGTTTCAGATGCATGCACTTAAAGGAAGGAAGTTAGAATTCTTTTGGAGGAATGCTAAGGCGGGTGGGGGATGGAAGGGGTTGCCATATGCACTGGCGAACATTTCTCACCTGCAGTGCCATTACAGACCACCAGGTGGCCGCTGTCTGTTATGAGTTACAGACTTCAGATGGTTTTTTCTTTTTCCTTTGTACTACTAGTAGTGGGAAGTTCAGATCATTTTACTGACTCGGATCTTTGAATCTCGTTTCGAGTCATTTCAGCAGAATATAATTCAAATGTAGCCCAACATATCTAGTACTTACGAAAAAGTTGATTACAAATAAACTATAGGTAATGCAGCCAAAGCCAAAATATAAGAAACCGAAATGTTTAATTAAATGATGTTCCCCGCCTCTCGTGTCTCGATTCGAACTTCGAGACGTTACGCTAGTTCAGTCTCGTCAGTGTCTGATCTGGGCCATGTGACACAGCCCCATAAGCATTTGAATGCACTGCAGTACCGGTCTGGAAAGACAAAGTTTCAGGTCCGAGTCTTTTGTTTTTTAAGCCACAAATAGGGCTGTCAAACAATTAATCGCGATTAATCGCATCCAAAATAAAAGTTTGTTTACATAATATACGTGGGTGCACTGTGTATAATTATAATTATTGTATGTATTTAAATACACACACACATGCTTGTATATATTTAAGAAATATTTTCATGTATATACTGTATAGATTTATATATAATTTATATTATATATAAATATTTTATATATAAATCTTTTTTTTTCTTAAATATACATGCATGTGTGTGTGTGTGTATGTATGTATATATATATATATATATATATATAATACAAATAATTATACACCGTGCACCCACATATATTATGTAAACACGAACTTTTATTTTGGATGCGAACCCATAGGCTCAATGCAAAAACAGAAATGATTAGTTCATCTTTCGAGTCTTTCGTTCTTTTGTCACTTGACCGCTGGTATCTTGATACAAATACAATATTAGATTTGTATTATTGACTGCATCTGAAAGTACTGTACTGTATATTGTTTTACAATATGTGTCAACAAAGTCAGGTCTTGTGCCATTTTATATGAAGGGGAACAAAATTATTTCAGCAAAGTTGTTTTTCGGGTTTCCCCAGACCACAACAATGCGTAAGGATTAGGAGATCATCCCTATTTTTTTCTTTCTTTTTTTTGTTTCCTCTTTCCTCTTGTTTCCTCTTTTTCTGCAGTTTTCTAACATTTTAACCTTTTTTTAAAATAAATAATAATTTCAGAGACAATTTAATTGCTTTTTCACCTATTCTGTTTCATTAAATGGCTTATTGTTCTTATTGACATGGGTGGGTAATATAGCTTCTATTAATAGTAACCTGTTCAATTACATTTTATTAATGCTCCGGTTGTGTTGCTTCAAGAATGCATGTGGAGAATGCATGACTAAAAGATAATCGCTTATGAGGTGTGTTCATATAAATAAAAATTTTATATAAAAATTCTGGAGCAAAGCAAATCTCAAAGTTCAGTCTGACACATTTACATGGTCACTAACAACATTTCAGACAGAATGCAAGAACGTGTCCTGTGTAATTGGCCTTTAATACTAGTTCACCAAAAAAAATTAAAAATAATAAAACGAATTTATTTCATCTACTCGCACTCATATCATTCCAAAACTGTATGATTTATTTGGTCTTCTCGAACACAAAAGATAAACTCCTGGCTGTTCCAAAAAACACACCATAAAGGTCCATAAAACTGGTTGGAAGCCATAGGATATTCAATATTCCCTGAAATTCTCCCTATGGTTGCATACATTTAAATAGGCTCTATCAAGTTGCTTGGACTTTATTTTTTTAGAGAAGATAACTACTGTTTACATGTGTTATCTGCACTTTGTGTTTAACGCGGAGTTAAATGTTATCATTTTAAAAGATTAAATGATAAATGATCAAGTCCAAAAGAGATATAATACCCAACAAAGAAAATTCAATCTGTTCTAAACCTGTATGACTTAAAAATATATTTTATAGAAAATGTGAATATTTAAACATAATTAGATTTTTCATATATGTGTATGTTTACTGAATCTTTTTTTTTACTTTTTTACCCATTTAAAAATAAAGAAAACTATTCAAAGAATTTCTGTAATGTCCTACAGAAGAAGGAAAGACATACCTTTTGGAATGACGTGGCTAATTAGATGATGGCAGTTATAATTTTTGGGGTGACCTGTCCCTTAGTTCAACGTATGAGTGTATAAACCCATACCATGTCTGGTTTCTCATATATTATAATAATCTAGCTTTAATAGTGGTCATTTAACAAATGCTGAAACTAAATTCCAGTTTGTTTTCTTCCTACAGGAGCAGAAACCAGCTTAACCTTCAAGAGAGAGAGCACGGACAGCTCAGATGAATCGTCCGACTGTGTGGATGGCACTGAAGGATTCTACCCGGAGTCCTCCAGACCACTCTCCCCGAAAACCACATGTGTGGACAATTATTGCCCGAAGACAAAGAAAAAGAAAGGGAGAGTAAAGATTTCCTCCAAGAGGACATTTTTAGATGAGACCAGTTCATCACTAGAGGATGAGTTCACTGAGGAACCGGCGAGGTGGAGCGTCGTCAGTTCCATAGAGAGAGATGAATGGGAAGTGTCTCTTGTGACGCGCAATGACAGGGGACCACATGTGGAGGTAAACATTGAAGATGAAACCCAGGAAGAGCCTGAGAACTCCTCCTGGGCGCGACCTTTGACCTCTGATGACCTCTCCTCTGATAGCACCGAAGAGACTGAAAGCACGTCGTCAATGTCCTTTCAGAGCCGCAGATCCAGCTCAGCAGGGTCTGCTCAAGGCTTGTCCAAAGGGCCCTCCAGTATGGTCCTCAAGCTGAGGAAAGTCTTCTACAATGAGGGTCACAGGGGCAGAGTCCCCCACTACCAGAAGGTCACAGATTCTTCCGAAACTCCAGGGTTCAGACACACGGACAGTGACCATTACAGGAAAAAGAAACGCAAATCATCCCAGCACAAAAGACGCCGTGCCGACAGGGAGTTTTCTTTCAGTTCGTACTCTCAAAACCATCCCTACCTCTCAAAAAAACATGTTTCCAAGCACCGGCGCAGATGGGTCCTGCGCTCCGCTGTGCAGTCTGCCCACCAGGCCATGGACAACAGGTATCCTGAACTGGTGGGGAAGAGGATATGGCACTTGTACGAGGAAAACGACAAAACAGAAGTGTGGTACAGAGGAGTAGTGCTGCGCATCCATGAGCCACATACCAACCCTCTGAAAACTGTGTTTGAGGTCAAATATGATAGCGAGCCCGAGTGGCAGTACTATCTCGAGTTGCTGTTAGACTATAAGAAAGGATGGTTGAAAGTTGAGAACTAAGACTTGTTGACGGTATTATTGTTTTTATTTTGCACCTGAGAACTGAATTGATTCTAAACTGTGAATATGATTGAATTGTTGAACTGTGAAAATTTGAATTGATGAGCGAAGTTTTGGATGAATTTTTGCAAGCAAAAACTTGACACGTTTTAAGTTACAGTGTGTTCAGTTTCAACTCATCTTTGTTTCTGGTGTCAACAATGTTTCAGTTCTTGCTGTAAAGTTGTTGGCAAACATTCCCAGCAGCTGACATGTTGAAAACTGTTCCATGTGATTGCAAGGAAATGCTGTAAAGCAAGATGTTTAACTGTTTACAGAATAACTATTTTTTTATATTTGCTGTTGTCATGTTATGTACCTGATAAAATTTTAAAAGGTGGCTTGCTCCAATTCATTTTTTAATAAACATCCTTAAATTGACGTTTGAGATTTCATTGTGACGTTTTTTAAAGAGCTCTTTAGTGAATAGGCCTATTTATGGAAACGTGTTCCTACTTTAAGATTTAATAAAGATAGTTGTAACTTTGTACACGATTTTGGTACTATTTAATGTTTTTGAAGTTATTCTCACCAATGCTGCATTTATTTGATACAAAATAGAGGAAAAACTGTAATATTGTTAAAACTGAAAAATTATTTATTTATGTGATGCAAAGCTGGATGTTCCGTTTCACATGATTCTTCAGAAATCATAATGTGCTGATTTGCTGCTCAGGTATTTCTTGCTATAAAAAAGGTTATACTTTTTTAATTTTTTTGTGAAAGCCACACTAGCCTACATTTTTCTGGATTTTTAACCCTTTAAAACTTGATACATTAAAAAAATGGCAGAAAATTATATATTTTTGGAAATTAGATGTTTATTAAGCCTTGAATTAAAATAAAAAAAATAAAAAAAATTGCCAAGTCATTTTGTTTATGATATATTTTTTCTATCACATTTGATTCATCAGGAACGTTTTGCTTACAACGGTGTAGATTTTAGATAAAAAAAAAATCTATTATCTAAAAAATGTATTAAGCCTAACAGTTTAAAAACATTTCAAACATTTGAAAACATTTCACCGTTCATGTCTGTCAGTCATATAATGGATTTCTATGGGGTTCACCTCAAAGAGCATGCACAGAGAAGTCCAAATTAAACAAGATTAAATGACTCATAAATGTAAGTACACATTGATGGCCTAAGACAAAAAACGAGTGATTAGTGTGGAAAACTAACAGTATTTATATCGTTTTTACCTCTTGTAACCACACACACAAAGCGCCCGCACCCTCAGACCACAAAGCGCCCGCACCCTCAGATCACTTGGACTTGGCTGTGGTTACAAGAGGTAAAATCTATACTATTCGTTTTACACACAAACCGCTCGTTTCGTGTCTTAGGCCATCAATGTGTACTTACATTTATGAGTCATTGAATCATGTTTAATTAAACCCCATAGACCTCCATTATATGACTGACAGACATGAACGGTTTGACCTAAAAATATCAAAATTGAAAATACTATGGAAACTAAGACGCCTACATCTTGGATGCCCTTGAGGTAAGCTAAAACATATCAACAATTAATTTCAAAGTGAACTATCCCTTTATTGGTGCTTTATGTCTAAACAGTAATGTCAAATTGTAGTAATGTTATCTAATTTATGACTGTCGCTACAATGTCGCTACTCGATCCGTACCAGAAACACGATTTGTACTGCGCATGTGCGAGAACGAATTTTTTCTGCCACTTCCAGTCATCATCAATGTTTTTACGACAACTGTCATTCAGTACTCGTTCAGTACATTAGTGATGGGATTTATGGCTCTTTGAGGGGATCCGGATCTTGGCGATCCGTTCCTTTCAAAGAGCCGTTCAAAAGAATGGCTCTTTTGGCTCTTTTTAAATATTTAGTATAATCACTGGGAGGAATGATGAGGTGAGATTTGTAGTCAAATAATTCAAACTCAGATATCACACATCAATATCTGAGTTTGAATTATTCTGAAATATTGATTATTACCTCATTTGTCATGTGTGGGCTATATTTCAAAGGGTTGCACAACATCCCTCTGCTTAGAACGTGACATCACTATTTTGGATTTACCTTTAGTACAAAGTGAGTGTATGTGTAAAGCTGTTGACTTATGTTTTCCATACAATACCACAAGAACATTTTGATAAAAAACAAAAAATATTTAAAGTTGTAAATATATACTGTAGATACAATAACATTAACATGAACACAAAATGCAATGTAAATAAATACAAGCAGTTCCTTACTTTATGGCTTTAAAAAAAAAAAAAACTGGAGTAACCATGTGATGGCGGCGTGCACAACTTTTGGCTCCGCTCCTACGTGACATAGGCACGTAGGGTTATAAAAGATAACGTAAAAGATGCACGCGCGTGCACAACTATCACCCCTGCGCTGGGCACCCCTTCCCCTGTAACTGAGGAGGTAATTTATGTGCATCTGTGTAAAACACGCATAGGAAAAAAAGAACGACAGAAAGAACGGCTCCCCTCCTGCCGCGACTCGGCTCCCATCGTTCATGTTTATGAGCCGTTCAAAAGAATCGGTTCGTTCGCGAACGTCACAACTCTACAGTACATTCAGTACAAGGACAACCCAAAACCAGATAAGGTATGCTGTTTCTGGACCATTACACAGGCTTTTAGATGTCACGGTTGATTTGGCCTTTTCTAATTAATAAGCTTTTGGTAAGTCAGGTGATACACGTTTAAAGTTGAACGAAATTGATCAGTTCATCATACCAAGAGGGACCACTCAGAAAATAGGTCAAATAATTTTAATAATGAGTCTGACCTCCTTTATTGTGGAGAGAAAGGGAATCATGCTTTTTTATTATGCTATCATGACTTGTATTCGGCATCATAAAATATAGCCATTTTGTCTTATTTCGAAACACTGAACATCAAAATTAAGATATATTTTTTTATTTTTGATGTAAATCTAAAAAGATACAGGACAACAAAATAAGTAAAACAAAGGAGACAATGCAATTCCACAACAACACTTTATACAAACCCATCCAGCAATGCAATTATGAGATTACATTTCTAAAATGTACTGAATTTAAAACATTTCGTATGTATATGATGTTTACCGAATATAATTAGGCTACCATGTTTATTTTCAATGCAAAAGTCATCCTTTTAGATACACTAATCCGGTCAGTGCCTCACACCCGAATGTATATTTAAATTTCTTCTGGAACAATATTTAATAGAAACAAAGATAAAAAAAATAAAAATAAAAAAGAACTGTTTCTGTAAATAATGTAAAATATACAAAACACTTATTTTAGTTCTTCAAACTGTGTTTTAAATTTTGATGTAGTTTCAAACACATTATATGATCGCAAATCGACAGTTTAATGCAGCTGCCTAACAACTTTCCTTGTTTTGTTTCACGCACATGACGTCACTCGGCGTCGGCCCGTGACGCTGCGTCTCTTTGTTGGGCCAGCAGTAGCGTCGCTCCTCTGTTGTTGTTTTCTCTGCTGCTGGAAAAACTGGAATGCTAGCAGCTAAAGAAGTATTCTCGTTTTGTTTTGCTCTGTCTGCCAAATAACACATAAAGAACTTATCTCACTTGGCGTGTCGCTACATTAAAAGCAACCCAGTCATGGACTCAGACGAGGGTTACAATTACGAATTCGACGACGAGGAAGAGGAATGCAGCGAAGACAGCGGTGAAGATGAGACCGCGGACGACACCCTGGAGCTCGGCGAGGTAGAGTTGGTTGATCCCGTTGTGGCCGGCGGAGAGCGAGACGACTGCGGGGATACCGGGGGAAGCGGCCTCGGGCCCGGGCAGGATGAGGAAGATTACCGCTTTGAAGTTCTTACTGCCGAACAGATCCTGCAGCATATGGTGGAGTGTATAAGGGAGGTCAACGAGGTCATCCAGGTAAGTGTTTTCAGGGCACCCTCTGGGCTCAGATCGCCCTGGAATACCCGTTAAAACAAAAGAGAGTTTTTTTTACACCGTTCTGGGAAACTTTGCCCCGCCGTTGGCAACACGAAACGTGAAAAAGCCACCAGTTGTCCTTAAGTGAATGAAAAGACAGTGTTGATACGTCAACAAGATACATATATGGTCATGATTGTGGTTATGAAGGAGCATGTTTGCGTCAACCCTGTCCTCAACTCATCCAGTAATGACATAAGATGCTTAACTAACGTTAGCTTCTAGTTCACCTGCATATAAAATCATGCTGACTGACATGTCTCCCTTCAATGTGCTTAATTTAAACAAAAGTACATTTCTATTGCCAAAAACGTTTGCATCTAAACTTATCATAAACCACGTCACATAAAGTAAAATAATGATATTGTAAATCTCTCCATTTTATTTGAGTCCCCTTGTTCCTGGTCATACTAGCTTAGTAAGCTAACCACGAGCAAACAGTCCCTGTTTAAGTACATTAAAAAGCTATATTGCGATGTCTTCATATGTTTCACATGTCTTTATGTCTGGTTGTTGATAGTCCGACGAAGAAGGTGTCCTCTTCATCATCTGTTTAGCTGGGATATTGGTTATGTCGCGTTAGCATACGTGAGTTACCTAGGTCTAGTTGCTCCCGACAACAACATGGCGGAACCGTTGCTTCATCATGGCTGGTTATGTTTGAGATTAAACATTTCAAAATAGCTTATCAAAGTGAATTTGAGTCATGATTAATGTTTGCTTTCTGCTGCAGAGTCATAGCCACAGGCTGTTTACAGTCTCGTGAAGCTCGACATTTCACTCTGCTAACCGCAGTTTGGTTGTTTTGTTTTGTTTATGCTGGTTAATTTACATATTTTGCGTTTATATGTCAGATTGGCACCTTCTATGCAGTCAGCAAACGCCTTTTTATGTGTGCATGCTGTTATTGTGATAAGTTGAAGTTAGCTGAGTGATGCTGTGCCTCACTTTTTAATACATCTAGTACAGCACACCCATTTCTGTGTTGGAGTTTAATCTGTCTGTTTGTCCCTGTGCAGTGCAAGCTTTCTCAACACGCCTGACATTTTTTTCAACTGAACCCAATGAAGACCCTGGTTTAGTTCAGGGATGGTTGTGAAATTCTGAAGCTTATGCTGGTCATGTCTCCTCGTATCCCTCTGGACTGCCTTGTCAATATGCACTTTGATAAACTTTTTGGAGTTTTGTGGTACTAGCTTTGTCTCCCTGGCAAGCAAGAATGCACTATGTTGTCTTAATAATAATAAAAAAAAACATGCCATTGCTGCTCTTTGAAGCATTGTCCACAAACCCCAAGATGTCCTTGCAGTCTCTATTGATAACAAATACCCCCCCCCCCCCTACAAGGGGTTAGTATTTGTTGTAACAATCAGCACTGTGACATTAGTAGTGCAATATTTACACGTATATTACATGTGTATTAGACATTCAAATAACATTCAGTTATTTGGGCCTTCATTCATATGTTGTCAAGTAATAAAATGGCATGGTAATAATCAATATCAGTTGTTTTCCTGACAAATTATTCATTTAGCAATGATTTAAGCTGCAACTTAGGTGTTTGTGACCATTAACTCACTTTATTACTATTTTTGTCAGTATGGTGGTCAAAAGTATAACTGATCTGTTAGTAAAAAGTAATAGTATATACTTTATATGAACTATAGTGTAGTCTTGTACACACAGACACACACTTGCTGAATATAAAATAATTGATGCCTTTGTCTTTTGTTACAGAATCCTGCTACAATCACTAGAATATTACTTAGTCATTTCAACTGGGACAAAGAAAAGCTGATGGAAAGGTAATTGTTCTCTGTGGTCTATTCCCTCCCACCAGATTATTAGTAAGCTAACACCTGTCTCTATTCAATACTGAACCAGCAACGTTTATCTCTTTTGCAGGTACTTTGATGGTAACCTGGACAAGCTGTTTTCAGAGTGTCATGTTATAAACCCCAGCAAGAAGTCTCGGACACGCCTCATGAACACAAGATCGTCGGCACAGGACATGCCATGTCAGATCTGCTATCTCAACTATCCTAACTCGGTCAGTGCCCTCAGCGCAAGTCGCTTTCGTTGCCTCAGATGAATCTATTTCCACGGCTGCTGTGCTGGTATTTTATTAGCAGACTCGCATGAAATGAAATCACTCACACTGTTCTGCACATCCTCTCTATCCCTGGGATGTTCTTTCTTTGACTGTTTGGCTAATTTGATTAATAATTTTAGTCAATAAAAAAGTGTGATACTCTCATCTCTATTTAATATACACTACTGTTCAAAAGTTTGGTTTTGGAAAGATTGTTTTTTTATGTTTGACCAAGGCTGCATTTATTTGATCAAAAATACATTAAAAAATAATGGTGAAATATTTGTACAATTTAAAATGTTTTAATATATTAATATGTTATGTATTTATTTAATGGCAAAGCTAATTTTTCAGCATCATTCCTCTTCAGTCTCACATGATCCTTCAGAAATCATTCTATTATGCTAAGTTTTAAGAAACATTTCTTATTGACAATTTTTTGATAATTAATAAAATGATATATATTTTATTGATATACTTTTTAACGGATATCATTTTCTCATTAATATTAGTTGAAAGATTGTTTGGAATGGATGAATAGAAAGTTCAAAAGAACAGTATTTATATGAAATATTTTTTTTTTTTGTAATAGTCACTTTCACTTTGGATCAATTGAATGTGTCTTTGCTAAATAAAAGTATTAATTACTTTCATAAACAAAATTGGAGCCCAAACTTTTGCACAGTTGTGTATTTGCTATATTTAAATCCGTTCTACAGAATTCCATAGATTTCCTCCTAAAATCATTTGATAAAATGCAACATCTGAAGATTCCATCTGTGGCTGTTTATTTCAGTGGATCTGTTGAATCGCTTAGCTGTGTGAACAGATTGTTTACCATGTGGATTGGATGCTGTTGCATTTTGGGGTATGTGAAGGTGGTATGCAGTATTATTTGGATATGTCTTGTGTTTTCTTGTTTGCCACTCTGTGCTACACACTACAGTGTCTCAGCCGCCAGGAAGGATTTCTAACAAGCTCTTTTCGTCAGTAATCTCTTCACTGGATTACTCAAATTGTATACAAAGCAGCTGAGGAGAGGAACAGGCGGGTCTTTGGATTTGCAGGAAACCTTGAGAAGTGTTGTGTGTATGTCAGGGAAAGGAAAGGATAGATTAATTGTGGCATGCATGTATTGTTTTGATTAACTTTTTCATGTGGCTGTCTTGAAAGAAAACTCTGGATTAAGCATCAGAGGATTTGGAAACTGTCCTATTTATTGCTTTGAATTGTGACTGAATTATTTAACTGGAATAGCAATCGGTGAATGTTCCATACTGTTTGTCTGCTCGAAGTAAAGGGTCAGTGAGTTGGGGTCACAGCTAACTTCATCTTTGGGAAATTTAACTGTCAGAAGTTTAATGTTGAGTTCTGCTTAAAGGGATAGTTCACTTTGAAATTAATTTTTGACATGTTTTAGCTTACCTCAAGGGCATCCAAGATGTAGGTGTCTTTGTTTGTTTCCATAGTATTTCCAAGTTTGACATTTTTCGGTCAAATCGGTGTTGTCTGTCAGTCATATAATGCAGTTTTAGGGGGTTCACCTCAAAGAGCATGCACAGAGAAGTCAAAATTAAACATGATTTAATGACTCGTGAATGTAAGTACACATTGATGGCCTAAGACACGAAACAAGTGGTTTGTGTGAGAAAACGAACAGTATTTATATAGTTTTTACATCTTGTTAACAGCCGTCGAAGTGATCTGAATCATATATCGAAATCGTCTTCCATTGCGATTTCCTGTATATCTAAATGTGTTTAGTGAGAGGTAAAACTTTCGAAATCTCCGTGTAAACAATGCATGATGTAGACGCGCGAGAGATCACTTCCGGCGTAACGTCTGGAGACGGTTCAGTTCGGTTGAGTTGGACATCTGCTTCAGATCAGTTCTACGGCTGTTAACAAGAGGTAAAAACTATATAAATACGGTTCGTTTTCTCACACAAACCGCTCGTTTCGTGTCTTAGGCCATCAGTGTGTACTTACATTCACGAGTCATTAAATCATGTTTAATTTTGACTTCTCTGTGCATGCTCTTTGAGGTGTACCCCCTAAAACTGCATTATATGACTGACAGACAACACCGGTTTGATCGAAAAATGTCAAAATTTGAAAATACTGTGGAAACAAAGACGCATCTTGGATGCCCTTGAGGTAAGTTAAAACATATCCAAAATTAATTTCAAAGTGAACTATCCCTTTAACTGAGCTTAATCTGATTGCGGGTGAATGCAGGATATCAGTTTATTAGGATGATTAATTTGACCCAATGTCGAATTCAGATTGCTTCATAAAGCTGACCACCACTCTGTTCCCAAGAGATGTTCCCTAAATACCATTAGTGCCGTCTGCACAGTGTTGTTAAACTACTTGTGATGTTGTTGTAAGCAATACTCTGCTTGCGTCAGTCCTACCACAAATATTAAGCTGATTTATTCTTGCCTGTGTTGTCTGTTGTCCCAAGAGAGAGAATCAGGCATTTACTACCAGGGGGCCTGAAACTTGAGCTGGGTGGTATGACAATATGTATTGTTACTACCAGAGTTTGACATTAACTTTTTCACTTATCGGCCTGTTTGGCTTCTAAATTTTTAAGTTACCTGTCAGTCAGAACTTTTATTAGCCAAAAAAGACGAAATTAACCAGATTAACTACATCTTCTTAAAAAACGTAAACATAATTAACATAACAATGTTGAATGTTGGAAAATAACAGTGTCTTTTCTGTAAACAAATGCTTTTTAATCTTCGCTATTGCTTAAATGCAAATGAACAAGCGCGCTGTTATTTTCCAACATTCAACATTCAAAGCTTTTACCTGCATTTATTTGGCTGGTTGGCGGTTGTTAATTTCAAGCACTAGACCACAGTATTGTCTATCCTTAGAGATTTTGCTATAGTGTGTATATCGTTGTATGTAAATATATAGCACTATTGAAACTTCAGAGTGATGAAATGCATGAATGAAAATATAAAGATATATTTTATATCTTTATATAAAGATTTAAAGCTGACTGGCACCCTGCCAAAGTGCGCTCACAGAAAGCTGCCTGCAGAAGGCGATTGTGAATTTGGGTCGTGCTTGATGTTATAGGGTTAGTTAACTCACCTTCATGTCCTTCCAAGCCCGTAAGACCTCCGTTCATCTTCGGAACACAGTTTAAGATATTTTAGATTTAGTCCGAGAGTTTTCTGTCCCTCCTTTGAAATTGTATGTGCGGTATACTGTCCTGTCCTGTCCTTGTCCAGGAAATAAAGTAGTCCATGTGACATCAGTGGGTAAGTTAGATTGTTTTGAAGCATCGCAAATACATTTTGGTCCAAAAATAACAAAAACTATTTTTTTATTCAGCATTGTATTCTTTTCTGGTTCTGTTGTCAGTACACGTTCACGAGTCCGCAGTGACGCTGATGACGTAAGACGTTTGCTGCTGACGTGTATCTGGTGCAACCATGTTTTCGGGTTCAAATAAATATGGCTGGGCAAAAAAATGCATGTCTTCCTCTGTGTCGAAATATTGTTTTATTTACAGCGTGCGTCTACCTCAGAGTGGAAATGAAGCTTGGGCGCACTGATAATACATCAGCAGCGTCACTGAGGACGTATGAACGCGGATTGACAACAGAACTGGAATAGAATACAATGCTGAATAAAGTCATAGTTTTTGTTATTTTTGGACCAAAATGTATTTTCGATGCTTCAAAATATTCTAACTAACCCACTGACGTCACATGGACTACTTTGATGTCTTTATTTCCTTTCTGGAAAAGGATACATATCGTAGTTGACAGTTTTTGAAATGTTTTATGAACTTTCTTTGTACAATTATTTTTTTAAATTGTGTTTGATTAAAAAAATAATAACTACAGGTTAAATAAACCTATTGCACCTTAAAAACATAATTTTTTCAGGTACAATAGGACCGAAATGAGAAACAAAATAACTATATTGTGATGTGTATTATTATCATGAAATACAATTTCTCATATCATGAAGTAAGAATTTGGTCATATCGCCCACCGCAAATGAGACTTTAAAATGCATGACTAAGGGATACTTTGGCTATTCCCGACACTTATGTCACCTGTTCAGAACTACTTCATAAGATCACTATCTGTCTGAGCAGCCTAAACAATAGTGTTGTTGGTTTTATCAATCTGTTGAAGAGAAAAATGCTCCTTGTATTTCATGGGCACACAACAGGGAGGTATATATATATATATATAAACTCACACACAAATGTTGTAAACTATACAGGGAACCCCAGCTGGTTCATTAATATATTTAGCCCAGCCCTAATGAAATTGTATTTAAACATTTACATTGTTCTCAGAACTTGTGTTATTAATATGTTACTTCTGAATTTAAATGTGGATTTGGTGTCGGCTGTTCTTTTGCAGTACTTCACTGGTCTGGAATGTGGGCACAAGTTCTGCATGCAGTGCTGGGGCGATTACTTAACCACCAAAATCATAGAGGAAGGAATGGGACAGGTACATATTCCAGCTCTCAGTACACATAGCCATTGGATTGGGCTGTTATAACTTATTATACCAAAATGTCAGTAGTTGATACCAATACCAGTGGATTTTCATGGCTCTTAATGCCACAGCAAAACTAAAATAAACACACCTTTCTTTAAACATTTGAAGTTTAATAGTATACACTACAGTTCAAAAGTCTCGGGTCGGCAGGATTTTAAAAATGTCTCATTGTGGATACATAAATATATGTGGATATTTGATCAGAAATACAGTTAAAACATTGTAACATTGTGAAATATTACTTTATTTTAAGTAACTGTTTTATATTTTAATATTTTGAATTTGATCTGAATCTGAATTTTCAGCATCATTACTCCAGTCTTCAGTATCGCATGATTCTTCAGAAATCATTCTAATATCCTGATTTGGTGTGCATTAAACTTTTCTTCTTAATATCAATGTTGAAAACCGTTGTGCTGTTTAATATTTTTGTGAAAACCACAATACTTTTTTTGCAGGATTCTTTGATGAATAGATGCTTCAAAAGAACAGCATTTGATTGAATATTTTTGTTATGTTATAAATGTCTTTACTGTCAGTTTTGATCAATTTTATGATTCCTTGCCGAATAAAAATAAAAGAAAAATTGTAATCGTATTAATCCCAGACTTTTGAACTGTAGCGTAGCCGAGAAGTACTTCTTAATTAAGTAAACATTGCTTTAAGTAAAGTAAATGAAGAGCAGTGATTTTAAATTTTTTTTCTTCACAATTCATATGTAGACATTGCTTGCTTTATATTGTAGACATAACTGGCAGTCGCTGTATTTACACTGCAAGGTCCAATACACATATTAAATGTTTTGACACCGACTGACTGTTTGTCTCATGTGAATGTGACAGACTATATTTATAGCATTTTAAGTGCATTTGGCATTTGTTGCGTTCCTATTAGATGCAGTCTCTCTTCTGAGAGCACTCGCTCTTACACAAATACACATGAGAAGGCAGCCAATCTCTCTGACAAGCTGATGTAAATACTGCAGCGGTTGTGTTTTTAGCTGTTAAGCTATTCGGTGGCCGTAGCAGATTTTTTTTTTTCTGCCAACTGACATTTTTTGTTTCTCTAACCTATTGTAACATAAGCTTGTTTGTTTCCATTCTAGACTATTTCTTGTCCTGCTCATAGCTGTGATATTCTGGTGGATGACAACACAGTCATGTAAGTGTTTGAGTAATAAATCAGTATTATTTTTGTGTTAACATCCTCCAAACATTTAAAAAAAAATCTCAGTATTATAATTGTTTTAAGAATCATATCCAAAATCATGCCATTGAAATTCCTCCAATGTATTTTTCTAAGAGTAGTCGGTCTCCTCTCCCTTTGTTTTAAGTCACCATTGCTTGTGATATATAAAAGTCTCATAAGATGAATTCTTCTTAATGGTGTGTTCTGAAGTATATTATGGGTACCCTAGATGAGCTGATAGTTTATTCCTATTCAGAAGTAGGACACTCTGTTACCTTGTCTTGCTGGAAGTGTGAGTCACAACACAGCACCTCCTGTCCATTCAGTTAGATTATTTTGGATCCGCAAAGTTGTTTTAACCTACATATGATCTCCCTGCTGCTTTTTAGATGCATGTACAGGGTCTGATCCTTTTTATATGCTCTCTGTGGCCTTTGGTGGAAAATAAATATATTTTGTTGAAGCATGCATGTGTCTTTTTGTCTGATCTAAATATGCCTCAATTCTTTCAACAGGCGACTGATTACAGATTCGAAAGTGAAGTTGAAGTACCAGCATTTAATAACCAATAGTTTTGTAGAGGTGGGATTTCATTCCATTATATTATATAGTGTAATCTGGGATTTAAAAAAAAAAAAAAACGAAATAAAAGCTTTAAAGGGATACTCCACCGTTTTTTACATTTATTAATTTAGTTTTAATTTACTTTTATCCAAAGCAACTTACGATTGCTATATGTGTCAGAGGATTCGAACCTGGGTCTCTCACACCAAAGGTTTGTGTCTCATCCACTTTGTTAGCACTTAACTAGCCCAGTTCATTCATTAGGATCCAAGCAGAGAAGCGACCAAACACCTCCACGTTTTCCCTATTTAAATACAGTTACACGAGTAGTGTAACTTGACCAAGAATGGTGACACAAAATAAAGCGATGCGCTTTTCTCTTCGACAACAGTAATATCATCACTCCAGAGAGGGAGGAGAGGATTTTTCAGGAGTGATGATATTACTACGCCGAGTCAAAGTGCTCCCAAGCACTTGCTGTGGTATTCTGCCATACAATATAGTTATCCACTTTAATACACGCTTAGAAAAGCGCAGCGTTTTATTTTATGTCACCGTTCTTTGTTGAGTTACACTATTCGTGTAGCTGTATTTAAATAGGAAAAAACGTGGAGGTGTTTGGTCGCTTCTCTGTTTGGATCCTAGTGAATGAACTGGGCTAAGCTAAGTGCTAACAAAGTTTTGCCGCAACACAGAGCGATTTAGTGCACGCTCTGAGACGAAAGAAATATGTATCAACTCATCTTAGTTAAGGGAATAGCATAGTTTAATATGAAAAAAAATGGTGGAGTATCCCTTTAAGATTTTTACTGAAATGGTTAAGATGTTTTAAGATTTCTTGGTCATCAAATCATGTGAACAATTTGTACTAAAGGTCAGGTTTCTTTGCTTTTATTGAAACAAGACATTTCTCAAATAATGCTGAATAACATGAATCATCAGATATGGAAGCATTATCACTTGTGATTTTGTAAATTTGGTTTATTCTGGTCTCTTTATCTGCAGTGTAACCGACTGTTAAAATGGTGTCCTGCACCTGACTGTCATCACGTTGTCAAAGTACAGTACCCAGATGCCAAACCTGTACGGTGCAAATGTGGTCGGCAGTTTTGGTAAGAACTGAACTGAACTGATAATGAGATCAAATACTTTAAGTATGTGGCCTCAGATCAGGTTTAGGGCTTCCAACAGCTCAGGGCAGACCTGATCAAGCCAGTGACACTAGAACTCGGGTAGTTATGATGAATGGATAAGATTACCAGTGCCATCCTGTTAATTTTACTGTGCAAAGAAGAGCCATTACATATATATATATATACACTCACACTTTTAAAAGACAGTGTTTTTTTGTTATGTTTGTGCTAGATCAGAGAATGCTTATGTGCTCTCAATTCATTTGCAGCTTCAACTGTGGAGAAAATTGGCACGACCCAGTGAAGTGTAAGGTATGTTGAGGACTCATTGTATTTTTAAAAATCCTTAAAGGAATAGGTCACCCAAAAATGAAAATTCTGTCATCAGTCACTCATCCTCACGTTGTTCCAAACTTGTATGAATTCCTTTTCTCTGTGAACTATCCCTTTAAGATCAACTAGAATTGCACAACAATGCTATCAGTGTTTATATATAAATACATTGAGTCATGGTTTTGTGTCTTGTAACGTTTTTTTTTTATTGTCAACAATGGCTTCTGTGTTTTTCACAGTTTAGCAGTTACTGTTAATTCTGACAGAAAAACCTGGATCATACATTTCTATAAATACACTTGTTAATTTATTTTTTACATTGAAGTGTTTTTACAAAATGTATGTGGAAAACACCCACTGTGTCTAAATTCTGAGGCAAAATGAGTAGATATTTTTTTTTTAGTAGTAGAATGCACAGTTCTATTGCCAATTAAGGTAGGGTAGGTAATTTCGGAGAGGCTAGCAATAGCAAGCTAGCTCTGAAATCGTAAGATCCCACCCCATCCTCCAAAAGCCAAGCCTCTCCAAAACATATGAACAAGAGGCAGCCTTAAATTACCTCATACATATAACACAACAATAATAATGAATGTAAACAGCTTAAAAAGCGCTGATACCACCTGACTGCTGCAGATTCATTTCACATTGATAGGTTTGCCATAGAAATGCATAAATATGAATCTGTGGATGTGAACTGCACAGTAGAACATCACAGGTTGCCAGCTTTTAGTTAGGGTAGTTATAGCGTGAACACATAAGCTCATTGTTTTAGTTCAGCATGAACCGTAAAAGGTGTCTGCTGTTTGTTTGCTCTGTGACTCTCCATTGTGAAAGGACAGCAATGAATGAAGTAATGCACATTAACTGTGTAGAAAGCAGGGAAAATGTTGATTTGGCGTGGCAAGTTTTTCTCTCTGAACAAAGAAAGCTAGCAGACTGCCACCTCTCCTACTCTCAGCATTAAGAGGCTCTTCAGAGACTTGTCTTGTTATTGTGGGGGTAGTCTTGGCAAAAACAAAGGAATCTTCTAGTCCCTTGTGCTTCTCATATGGGGATTACAATCATCTTCCATTGAGAGAGAACATTTAACCCTTAATAAGCACTGCCGCAACTCCCTGCTCTTGCACATGTTTTTATGTAATATTCTGTGTCATGAATACCTCACTTTTTGATTCTTGTTTGTCCTCTGATGTTATTTTACCTCTCGATCCCAGTGGTTAAGAAAATGGATTAAAAAATGTGATGATGACAGTGAGACATCAAACTGGATCGCTGCAAATACAAAGGTCAGTGGTTAGACTCACTTTGTGTGGTGATTTATTTTTTATTTTTTTTGATGACCCAGATGAATAACAGCCATCTTGCCGTTGTGTTGCAGGAATGTCCGAAATGCCACGTCACCATAGAGAAAGATGGTGGCTGCAACCACATGGTGTGCCGAAACCAGAACTGCAAAGCAGAATTCTGCTGGGTTTGCCTGGGGCCCTGGGAGCCACATGGCTCTGCATGGTAGATATATAGATGTTTTTTTAGTTATTTTTATTTGTTGGTGGTTTAAGGTTGTAAAGACAATATGCATATCTTCTGGGCTGTTAGGATTTATCTGCAAGGATTGCAGTTTTTCCCAACCTGGACCTTATATGCTTTGTGGCTACTGGTTGCAAACAGCTAATAATCACTTTTATTGATTCTATACGCAGTATCTCAACTTGCCGATCACATTTTAATGATGTGAATTAAGGTATGGTGAAGCTCAGCCACTATAAGGTGTGCGTAACTCAGACAACTCCTTACCAGTCGGCAATAACAGTAGCTGCTCTTTAGTCTGTATATGTTTGCTGTTCTCCTTCAACTTTTTCCATAGGTTTTCTTATATGTAAGAACAAAATTTTGTTCATTGTGATTCAAAACTGTGATATTGCAGTCTTTTCTCATTCACCTTTACTGGACTTTACGTAGTTATCTTCTAAGCTTGGGAATGCAATGCCTCTATGACAGCATATGAAAACTGTGGAGTGACTTTAATTCGAAAGTGTTCTGTAAACACTCCACTCCGTGTTTTCCATGTTTCACTATGCACTGGTGAAAGTAACCAGATTCCAAAAAAATGTTGCTCCCTCTTGGTGATTGACTGCAAAGGTCTTTCATTAAGCTTGCTTTTTAATGTTATGTAATACTTGTCTAAAGATTTAAACTAAAAAGTACAACTTTCAATCTCCGTTTTTCACAAGAAAGTGAAATTTCCCTCAGGTTAACCTAAATGCTACTATTCTACCTTCTCCCAAGGTGACGTTTACATATGACGTCTGGGATCAGTAAGGTCCATCTTAAGCCCGAGAGCTCAAAGACGAGCTTTCCCCTTCTCCTTGTTCCATGCAGTCAACCGTTTACAAATCACTTGCAAACATCACCTAGGGAAAGTGACTCATTTAGCTGGCGACCACTGAAAGTCTGATTTAATGTTTCATGATGTGTTTGTAAACAGATTTTGTTGAAATTTACATTTGTTTATTGATGTGCAAAACATTATTGGCTAATAGAACTAATTCTCGGAATGTGTGTGTGTTTTTTTTTTTTTTTACCCATAGGTATAACTGTAATCGCTACAACGAGGATGATGCCAAGGCAGCGCGGGATGCTCAAGAGGTAAATAATGTCAGTCCTTTTGTGCTGGTGTTTGAATATGCAAATTTAGTTCTCAATCTTAAACATTCTTCTAATCCTATGTTGATTTGTGTTGCGCAGCGTTCCAGAGCAGCCCTGCAGAGGTACCTGTTCTACTGCAACCGCTACATGAACCACATGCAGAGTCTGCGCTTCGAGCACAAGCTGTACGCCCAGGTCAAACAGAAGATGGAGGAGATGCAGCAGCACAACATGTCGTGGATCGAGGTGCAGTTTCTGAAGAAGGCCGTGGACGTGCTGTGCCAGTGCCGCTCCACGCTCATGTTCACCTACGTCTTTGCATTCTACCTCAAGAAGAACAACCAGTCTATCATCTTCGAGGTATACCAGAGATAGCCATTTGTAATATGATTGAATTGTGTTGTCAAAAAAATGAAAATGAAAATGTGTTTGCACCCAGAATAACCAGGCAGATCTGGAGAACGCCACCGAGGTTCTGTCTGGATATTTGGAACGAGACATCTCCCAAGATTCTCTGCAGGACATTAAGCAGAAAGTACAAGATAAATATAGGTAAGTGTACAAATAGAAATTTTGTTTAACACTAACATTTGTCTGACTATGACAAACATGGATTTAAGACCCATTCACAACAAGTCCAATACAACGTTTGCTAGCAGTTTTTGCTGCAAAAAAAAAGAAAAAAAAAATGTTCAGGGGCATACCAAGCCATTTGTGGACTCGCTAATTAATACTAACGCTATAAATTAATATAAATTCCCTTGTTTGATGTGTACCTTAAAGCTTGAATGATACAATTTTGGTATTACGTTTGTAACTGTCTGTCATTTATTGATTTGCCAAACGACTGTAATTTTCTTCAAATCTACCACTTACGGAGAGCTTTGGTTAAGCGGATCCACAACAGCTTTGGTGCCTACGCTCTGTTGTTATGTATCGTCATCATTGTCCCGCATTCTCATTGGTTTGCTGGTATATTGGGGATTTCATGAGCAGGGAATGCTGATTTGCTGATAATTTACTAACCCCCATGTCACCCAAGATGTCCATGTCCTTCTTTCTTCAGTTGAAAAGAAATGAACGTTTTTGATGAAAACATTCCATGATTTTCTCCATAATGGACTTCAATGGGAACCAAACTCTTCAAGGTTCAAATGAGAGTTTAAGCTGCACTGAAACTCTCATTTGGACCTTGAACCGTTTGGTTCCCACTGAAGTCCATTATATGGAGAAAAATCCTGGAATGTTTTCATCAAAAACCTTAATTTCTTTTCGACTGAAGAAAGAAAGATGTGGACATCCTGGATGACATGGGGGTGAGTAAATTTCCCAGCAAGTTTTTTAAAAAGTGAACTACTCCTTTAAGTCGACATTGACATCCCTAAAAATACATTTCAAAAACAACAAAACATTCACTCAAATTTTCCACAGACAGTCTAGCTCCCTAGACCCCAGCTTGCAAAGGTAAATTTTTGATTCTCTGGCCTCACTCTCTGTTCCTTTTTAACAATCCACGTTTTGATGCTCCTGTGTGCAGATACTGTGAGAGCAGACGGAGAGTGCTCCTGCAACACGTTCACGAAGGCTACGACAAGGACCTGTGGGAGTACATCGAGGATTGAGGCTACACCTCTACACCACAGACTCTCTGAGAGAAAACTCCACCCACTAGAGCGCTGATGCAATGATAAGAGAGAGCAGCACAGACCTCGCTCCCTGGCAAACCGCCCTGCGTTGCAGAATTTTTCCAGATTTTTGTTCCATGAAAAGCATAAGAGTAAATTATATTTAAATGAAAAAGTTAGAGAATATAAAAAAATACAAATATTACATGTTCAACAGTATTGTTAGCAGCGTGAAGCGCAAGACTGAGAAATCCAACAAAAAGCTCGCATTGTAAGGTCTTTTCCCTTCTTATCAGTTATGTTTGTGGACGTGTTCCGTTTGACTTTATTTTATATAATCTTTTTGTGTGTGGAAAATGGACTTTGTTTTCAAAATGGCTTTAATTCTGACCATGTCTGGCGAGATCCGTGTTTGGGTTTGCTGAATGTTGATTGTAAGGAGACGACGTTTTGGCACACAGACGTTAGTGGCATAGGACACAAAAAACACCAAAAAAAAAAAGAAGAAAAAAAGGCAAAAATCGGTATTTTTCAATTTGTAAATAATGCATATGCATGGAAGTTAAAGAGTAAGAGTGGCATGTGTTTGCATCATTTTTAAAAGATATTTATCTTTACAGATATTAAAAAAAAAATGTATATTTGCTGTGTAGATTGAGTGTCTTTCCTATCTTGGATCGCCCCTCTAAGGAGGTTTGGACTTGACATATGCTTGACGTAAATGGGGAGTCTCCCTCCGCTCCTCCCCTTTGCTCCTCAGGGACGGAGCAGGGCTATATTCTGCCAAATCCAGCAGATCATGCCAAGGTGGTGCGCTTCTGCCGACTAGAAGTTTTGTGGGAGCTTCTTGGCTTTACAGTTGGAGGAAATGGGGGTAGTTTAATGTTCGCTGCTTTTTCCAAGAGTTACATTTTTTCAAACAGAACAGTGGTTTTCTCTGCTCTGCCTTTGCTGTTATTCTTCTCCTAGGCAGATTTAGGGTCGTATGATTTTAAGAGTTCTGAATGATTTCTGAGAGCCAAACTGAGTGACATTCACTCATATAACCTTTTATATTTTTTCTTTTTGTCTCTCTGAAGTTAATTCTTCGTCCCTGACCCCGGCTCGAGGTTCTTTCTCTTTCCGCCCAACATTCACGTAGATTAAATTGAACCGATGGGCCTGTTGAGCTGCTTTCTTGACATCTGTTATCAAGTGTTCTGACTGAGCCATTGACAAACAGGGTTAGGCATTTCCCACGATCCATTTTTTTTTTTTAATTTTGCACACCGCAGAACTAGTAGTCACTGTTATCTCCACACTGCTTTAAAGTAATTTAGTAAAATAATCACACGTTTGCACCCGGGATGGGTTTCCAAAGGACCGTTTGAGTCGTGATAGTTTGCAGAGAATGTGATGTAACCTTTGTACTGTGATGTTGCATTTGTGTACACTTTGTTCATGCAAAAATGTACAAATTGTGTGTGTGTGGAAACACCGTGGCTATCATTGAAGCACTGAGACCCTCTCTTCAGGGGTACTGGGGTGGGGTTCCGGGACAGACACAGGTAGGACGGTGTCATTGTAGATCAAGTTGGTTTATTCAGAGAACACCAAAGTGTCAGTCTCAAACTGGTGAATTCTGCTGGAAGCTTGATTCATATATTGGCTTTTCTTTCTTTTTTTTTATTTCAAATGTGCGCCATGAAAATAAATGTCCTAAAATGCATTCTTCATTTAAAGTAATGTCATTCTCTTGTGTTTGCCTATTAATCGTTTTACTTTGTGTGCTGGGAATGATTGCAGTTTGTTTTCAAGTTGTGAGTGCCGAGATGGTCTTCCAGGTATAAACATACATCAATTGACTATTAAATGAGAATTAGACATTTCATGCAAGCTTATTGCAGAATAATAAATTGGAAAATCTTTCAAGTTTGGCTACTTATTTTGCAGGTCCCTGTAGTTTCCATTACAAATGAATGCATGGTTTGTTCTGCAAAAACATGGAATGGTTATACTGCCCCTGAATGCAGTGTGTGTGTGTAACGGTCTCTTTCCGGCCTGTTTGCTTTTCAGTTATGCCTATTTGATCATGTCTGGTAGTTCATGGGCATCCAAAATTAACATTCAAGATAACAAAAAGCAGCTACTCTCATTTTGTTGAGACATCCAAAAACTTTTAATACTTTTCTACATGTATCCTTTCTTTATGCGATTATTATTTTTTTTGATTTATTGTATACATAGTGTACAAATGTGTAAGAAATTAGTTGTTCGTTTTTGAAGAAAACAAATATTAAAGTGCAAAATGTTGCAAACTGCTTTAGTTTGTGCGCTTTTGTTTATTTCAAGCTATTGCTGGTTTGGCGTATCTAGGTTTTGGTTGGCTTGGATTGTTTGTCATTAACACAAGCGTTTTAATGCTTTATATAAAAGAGCCTCGTCCAAAGGATTGTGCAGTCCACAAATAAAGCTCATATATGTCGTAGATAACAGATATTTGAGAGGGAGTAGTTTTGATTTCAATGTTCACAATGAAAATGTCCACAATAGGGAGACGAATATTAACTGAGGTAACTAAACTGAAGAATTGTGACAGTTGTTAAAGGGATAGTTCACTTTGAAATTAATTTTTGAGATGGTTTAGCTTACCTCAAGGGCATCCAAGATGTAGGTGTCTTTGTTTCCACAGTATTTTCAATTTTGACATTTTTCACTCAAACCGTTGTTGTCTATCAGTCATACACTGACTGGAGGCTAAGGGGGTCCACCAAAAAGCATGCACAGAGAAGTCAAAATTAAACATGATTTAATGACTCGTAAATGTAAGTACACACTGATGGCCTAAGACACGAAACGAGGTTTTTTTGTGAGAAAACGGACAGTATTTATATCGTTTTACCTCGTGTAATCACAGTGATGTACAAGTGATCTGAATCAGTTGTGCAATGTACAACTGAACCGAACTGAATCAGTTCAATGTTACGCCGGATGTGATCGCTTGCGTGTGACGTCACTCAATATTTACATGGAGATTTCGGAAGTTTTACCTTTTACTAAACATATTTAGATATGGGGAAACCACAATGGAAGACGAGTTCGGTACATCTAAATATGTTTGGTGAAAGGTAAAACTTCCGAAATCTATGTATAAACAAACAGTGACGTAGGCGCGCAAGCGATCACTTCCGGCGCATGCGCAGACCAAAGTGCCCGTGCCGTCATGGCTATGATTACAAGAGCTAAAAACGATATAAATACTGTTCGTTTTCTCACAAAAACCGCTCGTTTCGTGTCTTAGGCCATTAATGTGTACTTACATTTACGAGTCATTAAATCATGTTTAATTTTGACTTCTCTGTGCATGCTCTTTGGTGGACCCCCTTAGCTTCCAGTCAGTGTATGACTGATAGACAACACACGATTTGACTGAAAAATGTCAAAATTGAAAATACTGTGGAAACAAAGACACCTACATCTTGGATGCCCTTGAGGTAAGCTAAAACATATGAAGAAATTTATTATTAAAAAAAATCTATCTATCTATCTATCTATCTATCTATCTATCTATCTATCTATCTATCTATCTATCTATCTATCTATCTAATATTATCGAACTGCATAAAACATAAAAACGCATATAAACGCAAGCATAAAACGCTTGTGCATATATGCAGTTTCTTTGAAAACCTGTTGTATCTATTTTGATACGTGTATTCTGCCATCTTGTGGAATTTCACTGTACTGCAGGCAGTAGAGGGGTTGTAGCTACTTGATCCGTAGCTCCGTAGATAATTTTTATTTTGGGGGGACTATCCACGATTCATTGTCACTACACACGATACGTAGTTGGATTTTTGTATTACGATATATTGTTACATAACACAATTGAACTAAAGCCTACAGTACTCCTAGATTAGTTTAAGCCATAGCTACCTTTGACGATAAAATTCGCAGACAACAGGTGTCTCACTTTCCGACGCTCCTCGTGATTGTTAGGCATTTCAACTTTTAAGAGAAATTCTTGAATTTTAACATAAAATGCAAAAGAATTCTTTTTTTCGCAAATGCAGGATAAGTACAGTACAAATCGTGGCGGTAATGTACTGATCGAGTAGTGAGTGACAGTTGTCGTAAAAACATTGATGATGACAGGAAGTGGCTGAAAAAAATCTTTTTGAGTAGCCACCATATGGTAGCCGAACAGTCCTGTGTCTCAAAGAGGCGGAACTAAATGAAAGGAAAGTTGTTTCTACCGGAAACATTTCGAACAAGTACGCGTTCTCCCGTTGCCGTGGCAGCAGCGACTTCAGGAAGAACGTTGGGGCTATTTAGGATGGATTCACAAGAGACAGGTGATTAATTGTTTTAAAATATTAATAAACGTGCGAATTGAAAAATCATCGACTCCCGTTTGGTTGTGCACTGGCGTCTTTAAAGTTGCAGTGCGTCAGCCATGAACCTGCTCTACAACCAGCTAACGTTAGCTTGCTGAAATCTGGCAGACTAGTTTCATGATTGCCATCATGTCTGTCGCGACTGTTCGCCGGATATTTAAAATTTTAGCTGTGCTTTTTGTAACGTTATTTACACTTCTTTATCTCAACTTTTTTTGAAACCCAAAAGATCTGCTGAGTGGTATCGAGAACATAGTTGACATGCAGAATTTGGAAGAAGAGGACTTTGCAGTTTCAAAGTGAGTTATAAAGATTGTTTTCTGTGAAAATGCTAACAGCTTTATCAAATTTACACATCCATAATATTTTGTCCCTTCAGATCATCAGATGCTGATGCAGAATTTGACATGGTAATTGGGAACATCGAGGACATTATTATGGGTATTCATCTATTATTTTATTAAATCACTTATGACCATAACTTTAAATCATGAAAATAATCTAGTAGAATTCATCTTTAACAAGGGTGATTCTTGCATATCTGTCAAAAACATGTCCCAGAATTTATGTGGGAAATGTGCTTTTAGTGTATGTATGTGTATATATATATATATATATATATATGGGTTTGGGTGAAATTTGGACCTAGTTATCATGAAATTCACCATGTTGTAACTAACACATTTTCTCCACAGAGGATGAATTCCAATATCTTCAGCAATCTTTCATGGAGAAATATTACCTTGAGTTTGATGAGTCCGAGGAGAATAAGCTCAGCTATACACCTATATTTAATGAATATGTACGTGATACTTTGAGTTTTAATATCATACATTTGTGACCCTTGTTGAGATGGAAATGTTAAACTGTCATTTATTTTTTTTTTTTGCGATTTCAGATTGAAATTCTAGAAAAGCATCTGGAACAGCAGTTGGTAGAGCGAATTCCTGGATTCAACATGGATTCCTTCACCCATTCACTTAAGTATGGCGAATTCACCAGCTATTCTAAACCCGAGTATAATCCTATATACTGTGTGTATATATAATTTATATATATTAAACTTAACCATACAGACAAGAGCCATGTCATGTGCCCCTAAATATGATCATGTAATGTGAGGGACCCCCATCCTAAAACTTGAAAGGCAGCTATATATATTTCAAGTATAATGTCCCAGTTTGTACTATAAAAAATTATATTACAAATATGTATAAAATAATATTTGAAAAATATTTAGCTTCTATTACTTTACATGTATTGTTTATTTTATTTTTTTATTATTTATTTATTTAGTTTTATATATATATATATATATATATATATATATATATATATACACACACACTGTTTTTGCGGCCCCCTGGACCACAGTTTAAAAAACTCTGGTCTAAAATGTTTTATTGTAATACACATAATTTACCACTAGATGGAGGTATTTACATTGTAAATTATTAGTGACTTTTGCCTGATGATTTGTAATTCTTTTCTCTTTTTTCCAATTAGACAGCACAAAGATGAAGTGTCAGGTGACATACTTGACATGCTGCTCACTTTCACTGACTTTATGGCCTTTAAAGAGATGTTCATTGATTACAGAGCAGTAAGTAAAAAAATCTGTTCTTTTCTTTAAACTTCAAAATACAGGATTTATACTGTAAAATAATGTTTATTCCGATTCTTCTACACTTAAGAGAAAAGCTGTTCTGCTTAATTCACTTTGGCCTACTTTTCTACTACCATGAACAAAACCTATAAATGTGCCAGTAGTCTGTGGCAGAAACTCATTTTCCCGTTCTGTTTATAGGAAAAGGAGGGTAGAGGATTGGACCTTAGTACCGGACTGGTAGTGAAGTCATTAAATTCTGCTTCAGCTTCACCTCTGACCTCCAGCATGGCTTCACAATCGAGCTGAACCATTGAAACTGGGGATTTCATGTATTTCTCCCCTTTATAAAATGAATATACATTAAAACTTCCTTTCCGACTCATCCCAAAATGAACATTAATACTAAAGTGACCGACGACAATCTTTGTTCATGTTTAGAAGTAAGATTGAGATTAACCGTCAGCTCATTCAATGAGACTCTTTTAACAGTATTCTCATGATCTGTCACTAAATCCACCCAGTCTGGATGAGTTTTTCATATCTTGTTTTGGCCTACAGTGCAGCAAAACACTATTTCTGTTTCTGACCAAGTTGATGTAGAAATTTTTAATGAGCCTCAACATCTCAAAGCTGCCATTGCATACTTTCACACAAGAACCCCTCCATTTTATATATCATTAGATACCAAAATAATTCCTTTCACTTGACAATCAAAAAGGGCTTTTCATTAAAAAAGAATTATACAATGTGCCTAATATGACAACATTTCTGAAAACCCCTTTTTAACATTCACAAGGCTTGAAGTTTCCCCAGGTGAAATATTACATTATTAAAAAAAATATATGTTTATACAATTACCAGAAACAATGCAAATAAACTCGTAGGTGTTCCATGCTTTTTAATGTGATGTTGAGTCCATGTTTTGGATTTATCTCATATATTGTGAAAGTGAGCTTTTTAAAATAATATATTTTGTTGATGTATACAGTGCAAATTTCATCTTTTTTGCTCCCTTGTTTACATACAATGTGTTGTTCCTACTAGATGAATGTTGTGTAATTGTGTATATTTGTTTATTTGTATATATAGAAATATTTGAGCCCGAGAAGAAATAAATACAATTTTTCTTTAATCATATTTCATCAAAACAATGAATCAATTTCGTTCTCGAGCATAACTGTACAATATTGCAAGAACATATTTGTGCTTAGGTTGGTAAGATTTTTTTTTTTAAAGTTTTTGAAGGATTCTACAATGCTCAACCATGGATGTTTGGTCAAAAATACAACAAAAACAGTAATCTCGCGGGGGGAAAAAAACATTTAAAACAACTAAAACAGGATGTAATACCTGTGATGGCTGTACATGGTTGTATTTGTTTTTCAGGTTTCTTTGATTAACAGAAAATTCAAAAGAACAGCATTTATTTAAAATAGAATTGTTTGTTACATTATAAATGTCGTCACTTTTAACCAATACCGCCGTGTTGAATAAAACAAAAAAACTTATGGACTCCAAACATGCTGCACGTGCAGGTGGTGACTCTCACTACACACAATGTCCATCTTACAAACCATCTTGCAATTATGCTGGCCACCGTTATTCTGAAGGGTTGTCGGACGTTCCTGAAGAGGATTTTCAGCAATACCAAATCATCCGAGTATTATCCTCTAGTAAGTGTCCTCACACGGAGTATGACAGTGTTAATCAGAGGATGGTCTACACAGGCACTGTACTTCCCGCTGCGTTTTGCCCTTCACCCCTCCAGCCCAAATAGGCAAAGTAGCTGCTAGCTGCATATAACAGGGTCACCACTATGGCAAAGAACTGCAAGAAGAAATATATTAAGAAAAATTAAGATCTTACCAATTTTACTCAAGTCTAAGATGAAGTTTCACAAAATAATAATTATATATAATACCAAGTTAATAGGGTCCAAAGAGCATACATGCAGGTTGGAAACAAAATCAGTATGAGTAAATATAACAGAATTTTCAATTTTGGGAGAACTAACACTTGCCGTAATACAAGCTAAACCCCAGATAAATGATTTCAGGGCACAATTCTGTTTTACCTTTATGAATATAAGCAGTCATTGAGAAGATATGTAGTTTTAAAGATGCTGTAATAATTTAGAAACTTTAGGGTGTTTTCACACCTGAAAGTCCGCACCAAGGTCCAAACCAAAGTTCACCTTTTGAAACATTTTATACTTTCAGAAAGTTTTGGTATGGTTTCACACTGCAATTTTGCGAGCGCACTAAAGAACTTTACGTGACATACTTGTGTCCTGTCATCATTTATGTGGCTGCATCTTGACCATATCTTAACATTGATTGGTTTTGTAAATGGATGGGCGTTTGATGTCAGCGTGTTGTCAATTCACCCTCAAAATCAAGTGGAAGTTAAGTAGGTAGAAATGGGACATTTCTCCAGAGTGTGTTTGTGAAGTTTTAGCACAAAATAGCCCACAGATATTTTTATATAGCATGTTACAATTTTGAGCCTGGCCCTTTAAATGCAAATTAGCTGCTGCAGAGGGCGGGGTTTCAAGAGCTCCTGTTCTTAACAGCTGCGATTACAATTAGCGTACCTCATGCAGACACAAAGATGGAGAGACTCAAGAAGAAGTGACAACATGTAGAATGCAACAGGACGTCTCTGAACGGTCAGTTGATGAATTTATGTTGCTGATGTGAAGTTAACTATATTCAATTAGGATATTTTGTAAATCGCTTATATAGGAACTGTTGTGAGATGCACACAGAGTGAATTTCTATAACATGTGAAAAGATGGATGCTAAACTTTGAGTTGACTCACAAATGTACTCTTATTCAACAACTTTTCTTCTCAACATGGACTGCGTCTTCCCCGGGCGTTATTTTTTTTCCCCCAGGATGGTAGGGGGAGGTACGTACATTTTTTTCACCTCTGATTGTTCATTTGATTTGGCCGTGAAACGTCCTCTCTTCAGGTGAGAAGTTACACACAACCTGTAAACCTACCCATCACACACACACACACTAACCAGACCCTTAAACCACTCATCACACACACACACACACACACACACACACACACACACACACACACACACACACACACACACACACACACACACTTACCCAAATCAAATAACCAATCAGAGGAGAGACCTTCTAGCCAATCAAAGGCAAAAAAGACTGTCCCTTCCCCTACCCATCCTGGGGAAAAAAATATCACTCCCGGGGGCGGGTTTATGTACATTTTAAGGTTGGTGATGTCACTAACCAGGGAAGAATGTCATGTAGTCCCTACCAGCCGTTAGTTGTAGTCCTTTTCTTTCAAAGCAAATATCTTCCTTTGCTTTGAACTTTGTAACTTTGAGCATTTTTTATGCTCAAACAGCAACATTTCACACTAACTAAAGTTAGAATGGTGAAATCATACTTAACCAGCCCTTTAAGCTGTTAACCTTTACACATGGAGGAGGTATAAATTGTGATTACACTCCTCCACTGTAGAGAAGAGTGGGGTTGTCATGTGCTTGCTCCACATTTTAATCTGGACTCTGGCCCATGTGGTTTTTAAAGCCCAAATAAAACCATTATACTATACCAAAATACTACTCAACAGAACCTTGCTTTTAAACTCATCTGACAGTTTCACATTTTTACCATCTCCTAAAACCCTTTTATTTGATCTATAATACTGTATTGAGTAATGAAACACGCTTTATACAGTTAAATTGAAGGCCTTGCTTCAGATTAGATGCTTTGGCAAAATTTAGTAAGAAGGCTCTCAGGCTCACCAAGGCTGCATTTATTTGATCAAAATATTATAAAACATTGTTACAATTCTTTTTTTTTTTAAATAAACGTTTTTATATATTTATATATTTTAAATGTAAATTATTCATGTGATGGCAAAGCTGAATTTTCAGCATCATTACTCCTCAGTCTTCAGAGTCACATGATCCTTCAGAAATAACTCTATTATGCTGATTTGCTGCTCAAGAAACATTTCTTATTATCAGTGGTGAAAACAGTTGTGCCGTTTAATTTTTTTTGTGTGGAAACCAGAATTAATTTTTTTCTTGATTCTTTGATAATTAATTTAAATAATAATAGAAATAAAAAAACTCGTACTAACTCATACTTTTATAGGTAATTTGTTAGGTCTTGACATCTTAATCACCTGACCTGTTATCAGTGGGTGCTTTAGATACACCTTACTTTACTTAAGAAATGAGGTGTGAAGTGTACAGTCAGACACACCTCTTTCAGGACATTGTGTGTGACTGTGTGGAGTGTGAATTCAAGAGATGTTTTCACTCACTGCAGAAGTTCCCAGATAACCACGGTAAAGCCATGGAACGGATGCAGCATTAGCCAAAAAGGCAGTTAGATATAGAACAGCTGCGACTGAGTAAAACACCATGAGCTAAAAGGAAGAAAGGGAGACATGATTACAAACTTGATTTTTATCAACAAAGTCTTGATTAAAATATGCCATCTCCTCTATGAGACGAGTGAAAGTCTCACCACCAAAGGCCAGGGTATTGAGGGTAGACTCTGATGAAACCTCAGCAATAGTACAACCAACAGGGCGATGCTCAAAAGCCACAGAGTCACGCTGACAAGCATGACCCAGACATAAGCAGATGCAGAGGAGAGTGGAGTACTGGCGATCAGTGCCCAAACCAGTAATCCAACAACCTAAACAGAGGATGATATAGGAAAAATACGGTCGCTTAAAGAGATAATCCACCCAAACATTTTTTTTTTTTTATTGTCTGTCTGTCCTTACAACAAAGTCAGTGGAGTTTAAAAACAGCATTGGACCCTATTGACTTTCATTTGACATTGGCCAAAAAAACCTTTTTCCAAATGATCTTCTTTTGTGTTTCAGAGAGGAAAGCAAGCCATACATGTTTCAAAAAGACACAAGGGTGACTAAATGATTGCAGGATTTTAATTTTGGGGGAAATTAACCTGTTAAATCAAGAAAACCTTTAGTTATAATATTTAGTGTATTTCCACTATGGCTTTTCTAAACGTAAAGGCGTTTTAATTAATGTTGATGACATACTATATAGTGATTGAGTGTGAATCATCTTGGTGATGGTCATTAGATAACTTATATTTTATGATATTATTATATCATATTTAGAATTGGAAGTATTGATGTATGTCCTCAGGAATGTTTTCACAATCACAGTTATACATTTAAAAAAAAAATATACAAGTACAGAAAATGCCAATACAGAAATATATTTTTTGTATGAAGAGATGGTGTCAATGACATTCATTTGTACAATGAATATCAAAAGTTCATGATGTATTATTCATCTGATGAAAGTCTCAGATTTCAGGCTGTGTCTGACACAAGATACCAACAAACAACAATTGTGACTTGCTCCACAGAATAAAGACTAAAAACAGACACATCTCAGGTCAAATATTCACTAAAGCTCAATATTATTGCATTTATATGTACTAATTCAACAATGATTACATAAGTTATGTCTTTGTTTTGAGGGAAGCATTTTATTAGGGTAATTGACCCAATAAGCGGTGATTAGATAGATAAGATCAACTTCTTAAAGGGTTAGTTTACCCAAAAATGAAAATTCTGTCAGTTTTAACACACCCTCATGTTGTTCCAAACCTCTATGTGTTTATTTGTTCTGTTGAACACAAAGGAAGATATTTGGAAGAATGTTTTAATCAAACAGATCTCATTCCCCATTGACTACCATAGTAGGAAAAAATACATACTATGGTAGTCAATGGGGAATGAGATCTGTTTGATTAAAACATTCTTCCAAATATCTTCCTTTGTGTTCAGCAGAACAAATAAACACATAGAGGTTTGGAACAACATGAGGGTGAGTAAATACTGACAGAATTTTCATTTTTGGGTGAACTAACCCTTTAAATACTGATATTCAGAAATGTTTATTTTATAATTTAATTAGTCATTTATGTTTTCTCATAGTCAGATAAATATTTTGCTGTATGCTTTGTCTTGATAGTTGCATGTCCATATGTACTGCTGAATCTAGTTTTAATATTTCTAAATAACACAGCGACATAGTTCAGTGAAACACACCTAATACAAGTACCAAAATGTAAACATTACATTTACCTCTATGCAAACTCTGTGTAAGCATGCAGGAGTGTGTGTGGTAATAAATCTAACACTGGCACAATATCCTAGTTGTATGAAACATTATGACCATTATCCATTGTACATGGGCCTGGTTAGTTTCGTCTCAGACAATGTCTCAGTATTTCAATACTGGAAACCCAGCATTATTTCTAAAGAATGAAGAAACAGCATAGAAAAGTGGGTGTGAGTGTATGAAGGGAGAAAGATATAGTTTTCAAAAGCAGAGTAAAAAACACTTTGTATGATAAAGCACGGAAAATGTAATTGACATGTTTTTCAACTTACAATCTCAGCCAAAAGAAGAATACCAGGAATGCCCTTAATGAAGTCGATGTCAACACTCGATGGGATTCCATAACTTCTTTGAGGTTCTTGAGAGCTCGTCTGAGTGCTGACCTTACCAGGAAAATCTGCCATTTCTTCTCAGTAAAAAAGAAAGCCTGAAACTGAGTGGAGACAGACCAGAACAGGTAATGCAGGTGTTGTCACTACCTAGCAACTTGGTTTTCTCTCTTTCACACCCTCTCTCTCTCTCTCTCTCTCTCTCTCTCTCTACCTACCTCTGCACACCTAATGTATTTAATGTGATCATGCTGGTTAGGTGGATACATCTGTTTGACAAAGTAATAAATAACTTCAGTAAGGATAATAAAAGTGAGAAACCTCTCCCTTACTCTTATAAAAAAGGAAACAGCAGGATAGCAAACAATAAGTTACAATTAAGGGTTAAAAACCTTAAATGGACATACTCATTGACAGAAGAGGATATGTTGCATGTACACAAGTATTACAAGTAAAACAAATTAACACAATTTTACACACACATACTGTGTGTACAACACCGTATATATATGGTCATGGTGGTGGACTTTGAATGTTAAAGCTACCCAACAACAGTGCAAAATTTGTTCCTGTAGCTATTGAATCTTATCAGTTTTTCAACATAGAACGAAGCTTTTAAAACAGTATAATTGAAAGTAATGGCTACTTTTAACAATCATAACATTCGTCATTCAAATATGAAACTGTTTATTATGTACAATACTCTTTCCTATTTACAAATTTCATTGCACTCCTTGCTTTGAAACTCAAGTTATATACAACAGTTAAAAAACAATTCTTTAACATATCGTGCACTAACCCGCAACAGTCCTTTCTGTACTGTTCTCGTTGACCTCAGGTCATTTTTAGACACTTTTCTGCAGCGGAAAGATGTAAAACTGTTGTCGTTTATTTTTGCTGGTATCTACTCTCTGTGAGGTATGAGACAGACTTTAGTCCCTGGAGAACCATCCAGTTAACCTTTTCACCACAAAAAAAGGTTGTCAGAAGTGGGATTCGAACCCACGCCTCCAGAGGAGACTGCGACCTGAACGCAGCGCCTTAGACCGCTCGGCCATCCTGACACTGTGAACTGGGTAATTTTTGGCCGTCTAGTGGTGGTGACCTCATTTTTCTCTTGTCTGCCATACACAGCCATACAATTTATATTATATCCAACAATGCTTCACTCCAATATTATGAAGGTGCAGTCTCGGAGCCTGCATCTACAGTCCCCCAGCAGACAGACCCCTCGTTTTTTGAGACAGCTCCTCCTGCTGTTCGAAAGATCGTATTACAACCGCACTGCAATATTACGGTCTCGTTTTATTTAGTTATCCATATAAATATTTGCGTTCCCTGCTTAATGCATGTGCCAACAAAACTCATTGTTACTGATGGAAGGGATACAATTACAAATTGTACTATCTTCTAAAAAATAGTATGTGATATTATATTGCTACAATGTTTTATTTTTTATCAAAATATTTTCGGGGGGAAGAGGGCGAAAAAACATACATTAACGGCTCAAATTTTGTTACAAACTATCTTTACAAATATTAAATGGACTTAATATGTTGTATCTATGAGCTAACGTTGTTTGATTAAAAAATAAATCAAACGAGTAGGCTACTACGATTTGCTAAATAAAATTGAAGATACTCACGTTTCTTAAGTTCTTCACATGTTCTTCACATGTTTATCCGATGCAATTTGATAGGAGGCGCTGTCTCGAAAAATGAGCTTCACTGAATCCTGCAAACTGTCCTTGCTTTTGGTGTTATAGAAATGGCCACCCTAGATGTCACAGGATACACACACACACACACACAAACATTAACACTATGATGTAGTAAATAATCTACATAACATAAATTGTATGGCTGAAACAAGAGAAAAATGAGAAAAATAACGTCACCACGACTAGAGCGCGAAAAAGCCACTACACATCTGAATGTCAGCATGGCCGAGCGGTCTAAGGCGCTGCGTTCAGGTCGCAGTCTCCTCTGGAGGCGTGGGTTCGAATCCCACTTCTGACAACTTTTTTTTTTGTTTAACTAGATGGTTTTCCAGGGACCAAAGTCTATCTCATACCTCACAGAGAGTATATCTCAGCAAAAATAAACGACAACAGCAAAGTTTTACATCTGTCCTCTGCAGAAAAGTGTCTAAAAATGACCTGAGTCAACGAGAACAGTTCAGAAAGGACTGTTGCAGGTTAGTGGATGATTATATGTTAAAGAATTATTTTTTAACTGTTTGCTCACGACTGGCGACGGTATTTGCCCTATTAGCTTAGCTCCTCCCTTCAGTAACTTAGTCCGTTTATATAGCTTAACCCTCCCCTTCCGGTTAACCACCATATTTCGGAAAAATATTGTTTGGTAGTCAATGGCGAGAGACAACAAATATTTTGATCTCGTTTGAATTGTGCCCTGAATTACACATATGATGTTTGTCAATTTAAAAGATACATTTTAAAGTAAAGAAAGTCGCAGTCTGATGTAAAACAGTTGAGGTATAAGTCTGTGAAAATATGTAATTACAAAGAACTACAAACCCCAAAGGAGCACATTTTCTCTCAATGAATGCAGCTAACTTTACTGAGGCTAATGTATGTCATTGTTTCTATAATCTTACGTTATATTCGTAACGTTACGCCGTCATACCTGAGTGTTTTGTACCAGACCGCACACACACAAGCAGTGGATCTTGCTCGTTGTTTCGCTTCCCGGGAGCTGTAGTTCATTGAGCGATTTTCACATAAAACTAAATGTTACTCTTCTGTTTTATGACAAACTGCGACGTTTTTGACTTTCGGAATAATTTTTTAAATTGACAAACATCATATGTGTAATTCAGGGCACAATTCAGACGGAATAAAAAGATAAGTTGTCTCTCGCCATTGACTACCACACATATTTTTTTCCGAAATAAGGTCCCATGAGCCGGAAGCGGAGGGGCGGGACTTAGTCTCTCTATTTAACAGCAACATTCAAGTAATAAATATATTTTTATTGAAGCTACTAAAGTTATTCAATCAAAAGCAGTGAGTAAATTAAGTTTTTTCTTTTGTTCGGTTCAAATTAGCACCATGTACACCACTGCTGTCACTTTAATACACAGATCTAATATGCACATTGGGAAAGAGAACTTAGTTTAATAATCACGGGACACGTTTCTGTGCGTGTGCTTCGGATGTGTGCCTCAGAAAACGGAATGTTTTTCTTTCCATTTAAAAATGGAATCATCAATTACAAGACGGTATAATAAATGATCTGTGGGGTATGTTGAGTTGAAACTTCAGACACATTCTGGGGACACATGATATTTATAATACATCTTGTAAAAAGGGCCACTTTAATGGTGCTATATGAAACTTTTCTTCTAAAATGAATCCCTTTTTTATTGCCTGTGTGTGAAGGGGTTGTAATCACACATTACAATGATTCACTTGTTGGGTTTTGCTATTAACTCTGAAGGCCAGTGTTCCTATTTATATGTGAAGTCTCCGGGTCATTGGATGTGACGTGTATGCGCGCTCCCGAGCCTCTCTCCTTTTTATATATGACGGCACTGCAGCGTACGACATGGAGTCTGATAACACCAAAACACTCCTGCCTCCAGCACAACACAGACTCCAACACAAACTCCACATAAATATAAAAAACTAAAATGAATCTGCTGAAGCTCGTCAGGCCAAACGTGAATCGGATCGACTTAGGACGAAAACACGGATCAACATCGGCAGAGTGTTTGAATTATGGAGACCTCTGCTATTTTTATTGTGATAAATTACAAGTTTTCAGATATGCTGAAATAATGGTAAACTAATGAAATAGCAAGGTAAACTACAACATATGAGACATGAAATTATTAGAAAAGACTGTTCCAGGATAGCAAAAAGTAGGTGCTTTAGGATGTAACTTTTATTTTATGTACTAGATCTACTGTCTAACGTCACTCATCCACTACTATCATATTGTTTATAATACAGATTTACAGACATGTTCTGTACAGTAATGTTACTTCCAACGATCTTACTGTTACACTGAAATTGTTCAGTCTAGTTCACTAACTGTTGTCGTTATCATATTATACATTCACCTATGTTGATATTGCTGATTGTAAAAGATACACAAATAGTTAGTGAAATGCCTTATGTAGATAACACCACAAATGTAACATTATCATGTTACGAGCATGGAGCATTAGTTCAACGTCAAGCTGATAAAAGTACCATATTATTGTAACGTTTCTGTGGAAGTTTACATGAGTTTCCAGCATGTTCTGTGATGCTTTCTCCGGTGTGTTCGAGAACTCTTGTAAAAATTGGTTGCAATCTGAAACATCACCGATAGAGGCCACTAAAAAATACATATTGCACCTTTAATACTTTATGAGTTTGTATTTGAAGAGTTATGCATAAATATAAAATCCAGTTAGAATTGAAAACTTCAATTCAAATAGGAAAACTACAAAAAAATATTATTTATAGGAAAAACAGGAAATTCTGTCAGTGGCAAAAGAGAATCATGGCGTTTACTGTAAACTCAGCATGTGGAACAATAAGGACAAGTAAATAGTTTATTTTTTTTAAACAAGGTTTTAGCAATAATTTTTTACTTATTCAGTAAAAAAACACTTTTCAGATTGTTCCAATGCCTCTGCATTGGTTTCCGTACAGTAGAGGTCTGACAGATTACAGTAGTAAGACTATGCGAGTTTCCTCTGAACCTTCCTCTTTCTTTACATTCATTCATTTAGCAGAATCTTTTACTAGTATGTTCCTCACTTGTGTGACGATAACTCTTTGATGATTCATCAGTTAGAGCGTAATGTGAAATTCAACAAAAATCTGTGTACATAATCTTTGTGCTTGCTTTATGGAAGAGGTGGTGTGGGTCTTTTTTCTGAAAACTACCCTTTCCGACATTCCTCATCTAAGTGTCACACACATGCTTGTTTTTTTTATGTGTAGGTGTGGTATGGTGTTGTTGCTTCCCATCATATCAGCAAGACAGAGACCGTTCTGTGTGCCTGTGTAATCAAAAAGCACTGTAGTAATGTCACAGCATGGTGAGAATCCACTGCCGCAGAGGTCATTGTTCTTCCAGACAATACAGCAGACACATGACTTTATTTTGGGAAAGAGAATTCTAAATGATCTATGTGACTCCCAGTTGTTAAAAGTTTAATGCTGTCATAACATCAGTGAGGGAGCTTAATGGAATTTAATTAACTCCACAAATAGTAGGGAAATTTCTCACAAAATTATGTCACAGGTTTTAGTTGCTTCCGCAATATGACTCTTTGACCCTTATCTGACACGTCAGGCATTTCATGCCAGTGCATTACACTTTATACATTATAGATAATAATATATGTGAAACTGTTATATTGTGCATGTGACGGAGAGTTTGTGGAGGAAAGGATTTATTTGAGTGGATTAAGTCTCTGAAAATATTTGATGACCCATTTGCCTTCATGCTGTTGAACATTGAAATAAAACTGAACTAAAGTCAAATGCCTGATTTTCATTTTTTATGCCAGGAAAAAGTTTAGCCTTATTAAATCCAACATTTGAGGCCTTCACATGACCCAGGAACACGTGTTAATTCAATTTTTCTTTTCTCCCATGGTTAAATAGGAAACTTACAGAGGAATTAAAAATAGAAAGAAACTGACTATGAGTCTGGAAAATAGAGGTGTGGAGTAAATCTATGAAATATTATGGAAGTGTCATCCAACCATCAGAACTTCTCTTTTTAACAAAGGCCCCTGTGTGTAACCCTGGCCCTTACGCAAAACAGAGTGCTTCCAGTAGTGACGTGTTTCCAGAAATTACGCTGGTTGTAGTAAATTCCCTAGCCTTCATCCTTTTTCCACAGAGGCAGAGGTAGAGCTATACACACAGATCACTGTCTGTAGTACACAGCACTTCTGGCTGTTTGAGGATCTTGTATGTGTGTGTG